GAGGTGATGAACGTGGCTCGCAATAAAAAGTTTGCCGGCATCTTAACCACCAACACAAGCCCTCTGACGCAGCAGTTGGCCAACGTCCACCATTACAAGACGTTGCTCAATTACCAGGTCAACGAGTTCGTTAGCTCCGATGGCAGTCGACCATTCCGGGATGCACCCGACGATCAGCGAGCCGTCGTCCACTGGAGGGAGATGGAAAGCCAGTAGGATATATCCAAGTTGGATCTTACAGTCAGATCGATGTAGCTGACAAAGCTATTACTACCTCTTCAAGAATAATTTTACTTTTTGATTATCTTCCCTCCAAGCACAAAGCTACACTTTGAATACAGTTTTTTAGTATTTGCTATTTACTAGTCTTTTCTTTTGGTATATCATTTTTACCTTTAACTGAGTAATAACCAAAAGTTTTGCGGCTAGAAAAGTGTTTTCATTCATTTTCGCGCCTTACGCACGGTGCGAGCTTTAGTGAGTGGCGCCCAAAAAAATGTTACGCTAATTGAGCGTGAAAAGTAACATGATGGAAGGGACTGTTGGGAAAGGTTCGAGTGGCGAGCAAAACGCTTTGACAAAATGTGCGTAAAAGCTAAATCCACTCCATTAGAGTACAGTGTAATGATTATTCAGAAGCTTTTTTATACGCGGCTTTTGGCATGCAATCAATCATTATGGGAATTCAGTTGACAGATTCCCATAATCTAATATTTAAAGTTGATTTATGTGTGTAGTAAATATATACTTTAGTAGCCCATATCTAATTAAATTTTAATTATTCGAATAGAGGACAGGATTTTAAGGACGGAACACCAACTCATACGTGTATTATACATATATTATGCAAAATGCATTAAATCAACTTGAGATTCAGAATCCCCTTAGAAATAAAGATATAAATACAATAAAGAGGCGTACAAAATCGGGTTAACCTATAAATTATTAAGATAAAGTTACACAAATGCTATATTAAATCATTTAAAACCCACCATAACCCAACGGAACTAACAGAGAGCAAGCCCAAGGGGTGAAGTGGAGCAGAGTTGAGAAAGTGATTAAACGATAGCTGCTGCCATTAGTGCTTTATAAAGACAATTCGCAAATGTTATGGAACCCGTTCCACATGTCTTGTTATATACAAGGAATTACGCTGTATGAAGTTATGAACTATATATAAGATAAGATATAGATAGAGTTCGGATTGGGATATTTTAATTACTTCATTAACATTTAGTGACACTTTTGCATAGATCGCATTGAAAGTTGTTATGGGGAGCAGCCATTAAGTAGTTGATCAACAGCAGCTGCAGCAGGTGCTTAACTCTCGACTAAAGTAAAATGCAATTGAATTATGCGATTCTGCCCGCCCCACATTAATTATAACCTGACTAAGACTATAGTGCGAATTTAATGATAATTTAATTGCACCTACATGTACAAGTACCTACATGTCGCTCAGTTCGATCGAACGATTCGATCAATTTACCATTTCGATGGCGCAACAGTAAGTCGTCAGCTACAACACTTCCGCAAGCCGCCCAAAACAGACAATATTGTGTGTTCCAGGCGGGAGTGAACGACTAACAGATACCCTGAACTACAGTTGTATCGCGTAAAGTTCAATTGAACGATCTCTTTAAGGGAACTAGTTCACTGCCAATGATGCCCTTCACTCCGAAAATGAATATCGAATAATACCAGAAGTTCATGATCGAAATTGGGAACTAAATTCTATTCGTCTGTCACAACCATTGCCTACAAAGCATTCTACTCCAGTTCAGGGTACAGAATCAATAATATATAAATGAGAATTCTTGCAAGTAATCATAGCCAATGTTGACGGTCATGGCGCCCATAATATATAAATGAATTGTTATACATACTATAGACAATTCTCTGGTGTATTGATATCTAGATCTCCCAAAAGAAACTGCCATTGTCATTGTCATTGTCATTGTCATTTTCGCTGTTATTGTTTAACATGACGTATGCGTGATATGTGCAACTAATCAAAACATTTCAAACTTGGCGCGGAATAAACACAACAAAACACACAATAACCAAGCATAAAACAAGCTAAGTCGGCTAGCATTTAGCACCGTCAAAATGTTTGTGTAAATAAAAACTGGAAAGAACCGTTAGCATTGGGACTGACGAAGTCGCGACACCCTAAAATGATGAGATGCTTCTAATCTATTTCTCTAATGGCTTATCACATGTGTTACAAAGCTCATATTCATATCAGCATAGTCTTCGTAAGAGTATAAGACGCAGCTGCTTACCTGTATTTGATTGCAAACTGATTGAACTGTAAATCGTCATGTTTCATTAAAGCTGCTCTTGTTGTTGTTATTGCTATAATTGGAGTTCAGCTCGCTCAGGGAAATACTTGCCAGAGACATTAAAAACAAGTTGCTCTGCTTCATCACTCAATACGTCACAAATTGCCCGCTAAAAAAATCACAGCCTCAAAGATGAAGAAAAATACGAAGCGTTGATTCGTAGAACTCACTCAAATAAAAACAAATGCGTCACTTTCTTTGGGGAACTCCACTCAGTTAGCCCGAGACTCTGGAAACGTGACTTGGCCAGCTAACTGGAATTATTTGTTGATTATGGGCTATTTGAGTCTTTGGCCTCAAAACTGAGCGAGTTTTTGACTCGCTTGGTGAAGTTTTAATTCGTATTGAATTTTATAACTAAAAACTGATATTTGGCAATACAGATAAAATAAGTATCAATATTATCATGAAATTATACCTCATATATATATATATACATACATATATATATATATATATATATATATATATATATATATATATATATATATATATATATATATATATATTAATATTGCCATGTAATGTAAGTGAGGAAGTTAAATAATAGGAATAATTTTTAATATATATTCAATATATTCATTACTTAATAGACATAGACATATAAACGTTAGCAATGGTCAGAAACCAATGAAGCCTATCGAAGTGAGCCAGCCAAAGAGGAAGATCCGGACTCGCAAATCCATTGAGAACCAGGCCGAAGGCCAAATCCATTTATAAGCTTGTTTCATTGTTAACAACTATATCCTATTCTCGTAAAGCGAAGTTGGCAATAAATCGTGATTGTATTTCAAATGCAATTTATTCGAACAATTAAAGGAAGCGCATATTTGTTAGCTTAAATGTGTAAAAAATGCACAGAATTTTATGGTCCATAAGCTGAACTGGAAATTTTATAATTGCGGACAATTACGATTACATTATTAATGTTTTTTTAATTGCCTCTACGATTGTTACGTGTGTAACTATTATTCATATATTTGGCATAGCTAAATTGACAAAAGTGAAACTAAATAATGTAAGGAAATATTATGCAATGGCAGAGTATTAATCATGGATTGGCAGTTAGTTAATGGCATCAATCAATAAATAATTTCGCTTATTCAAATCTTATTCAATAGTACTAAAAACGAGACTGATCGACTTGCAGATATCCTGCATTAATTTCAGACATTCGAACTGTCCTCGAGTTCTGTCTTTCGCAAGACTCATAATATATTAATTAAAATATATTAATATTATATATGTATGTCTACGAAAGCAACTAACGTACCCTTTATATCGATGTGGCATGGGTATCCTCAGCCAATCGCATCAAATCAAAGCGAATCAAATCAAGCTCGTATAACTAATAAAACAAGAGTCTATGCAAATGCAGCTCACATATTTATATACATTTGTTGATAGTCTATTGGATTTTCTTGAATATAGATATATTTATTTATATATCCATGCATTATTTATGGATTTATAATGTGCCATACATATGCATATGTCATAATTTATGATCAATCTTAAGTCAGCTCATTTGATGCGGCAACAAATTTTTCACACTATTCTCACATATAATAATGCACCGAATAATAAGAGATCTGAGCATAAGGTCAACTAGTATAGGAATATGTTTGAAGCATTCACCTAATCCATAATATACTACGACTTTATACTATATTAACTGAACGGCAGTTACTTACAAATACGAACTACAAATTGCGAGCAGCGTAAGTGAAAATTCCCTCAGAAAGGCGCGCGCCGACAATTCCAGTTTAGAATTTTAAATTTCATTCAGTATTCGAATGGAATCCAAGTTGTCAATACCCTGGAACCAATTAAAAATAGTAAGAGAATGCTGATCGGGTACAAGTATCTTTAGACTATATCTGTATCTATATATCTGTTTCGATACTCATAGCTCAGTGACTATTTGAGCTATGCTTATGCCTCTTTCTAACGAATACTCGCAAACTTTTGGAACATGATCAGTTACTTGCACCGACTCTAGGGTATCTGCTAATTGAATTTCAACAATTTCACAAATGCTGGAACCAACAGGCAGTTCTTTTGAAGTGGGTACAGTTTCTTTTTGTGTGTCTTTTAGCAGTCATAAGGGCTATGCGTCATAATGCATGGCTATGTCTCTAATGGATTTCCAAACAGAGCTAGTCACACTATATATAAGAGTGGGTGAGTGTGTGTGTGCGTGCGTGTGTGCATTAAATTAGCGCTTCTCATTGCCAGGAATTCATTCATTTCATTTCCTACGTCACTGAACTTGACTCAAATTAAGCGAAACTAACGCAAAAAGGCATCTCAGCTGCATCGAAAACGAAACAAATGAACAAAACACATATACTTATTTATCCCTTATTTATACATACATATACGATTACATATACATTTATACAACGTATATGATCTTCGAAAGGCTATTGCAGGTGCTTGAAGAGCAGGAACTGGTTTTAGTTTCAGCCGAGCCAACGAACAAGAGCAAAGCCAACATCATCGTCACCGACGACGCAGACGTTGACGCCGAAGCCGACTGCGCCGCTGATTGCTCCGCTGACTGCATCGCTGACTGCGCTGCCGATTGCACACTCGATTCTGCGGCATATAAAAGTTAGACGCGCGCTGTTGTTCTGATTAGTCTGCAAACGCCGCTTTCGAGTTCCGTAGTTCGTTAATCACGAACAAGAGAAAAACCCAACATAAATTTTTTGGGCTGCCTTTGTAAGCATAGTGAATCGCATGTGAAGTGTGAGCCGCGTGCTGGAAACCCCAAAAAAAAAACAACAATTATTAAAGATCAAAAGTTTTAAAGTACGAACAAACGTATTGAAAATATTACGACAAAACTAACTTGGAAAATTGAAGCGTGCTGGAAAGTGAAAGAACAACAGACCTGTAAAAAACAAGAGGAAATTAATATAAACACTTAAATACTAGTAACAATAAATTTGAGTAACTAAAAGTACGTATACGTAATACTTAATATATGCCCAACCTGATGTGCAACTGCTCATCAAATTAGCTAAGTTCCTCCTGCCCCTCCTCTAGCCATTTGCAAAATAATAATTGAGCTCACCATACGTAAGATTCAAATTAAAAAATTTTATTACGAGACACTCATTAAAAAGGTCTAAAAAACAAATTTTATTAACCATGAAAATTTAATTATATATATTACGTAAATCATATTGATTTAAAAAGAAGAAATACATGAAGAACTTTATAAATGAAATATAATTTTTAAAAATTTAAGCGACTAACATTGAGACAATTTGAACTAAAATTAATTGAACTCATGTAGAAAATCCATTTAAGTCTCAGTTTGGTCTACATTTTCTTAAATAACGGGCATTAAATATATAAAGAACGTGAGCCAAGCATTTGCAACTTAAATATTCAGTTCATTGCACTAGCTAACAAAATGTTAAGCAATATGAATTCCCAATCAAATGTTCGTGAGTTCAGGTGATTAATTTTAATATGAAACTTGTGAACAAATTGGTAAATGGGTATTCGAAATTTTAGCTAAGCGTCCGACGCTTGCTTTATTGATTATTTCGATGCAATAAAAGCCAAAGTGTATTTTAAAACTTAATTATGATTATTTTTACATCTCGAATGAGTCCATAAATCTGAGACGAAAATTGAGGAACTGCATGCCAGAAAGTGTCTCGTAATTAGCTGAGTATAAAATGAAAGTCGATTGACGACAATGCAGCAATGCATTCTTTTCAAAATGTTTGTGTCAAATGCAAAAGGCAAACAAAACTCAAGGCGAGGCCTACGGAAAATAAACTTCAATTAACAATTTACTGGCAACCGTTGCAGTTGAATGCAATGCCAACATGTCATAAAAAAGTTAATAGCTAAAAAAGACAACTAAGACGAAATTTACCTATACGAAGATTAAATACCTTTCAGAGAGACATTCCAAATTCGATATAAGAGATTTTGCTTATATTTTATAATCATAGTAGATATATATAGATATTCACTGCAAATATGATACTCATCAAGTATACAAACATATGTTGTGACAAAATAAGAGTGCCCTGTCCAAGGGTATCAACTGCGCACTAATAACAAATTCAAGCAGCAAAATATTAGTAACTTGAGTGGAATAGCCAAACAAGTTGCTGTGGCTATGGCTCTGGTTGCAACAACTTTTGGCAGCAGTTCTGCGTCTGGCCTGCATGTTTGGCATGCAAACAATTAGGAAAACAACTAAATCAATTTAAGCTGCGATCAGTGTTATGATTTATGTTATCGCGCAATTGACATTTAATTTGTGTCAAGCGATCGTTCGTCCAACGCCGCGTATACATAATCTACATATTTTGTTCGCCCATTCTGATGGCTTTTTAATTGCATTTGAGCTGTACGAACTGAAAATTAAAATTGAGTCATTTGAAGTCGACCATTAATTATGAAAAATTAATAAATGCTTAAGTTTTGCATTAATATTAGACTTAAATACGATCTAGCCAGTTGGACATTTGTCTTTAGACCGACTTTTGCTTCTGCTTTAATGAACTTGCGAAACGATTTGTCAGCTGCCAGCATTGACGTCAGTTCTCATAATGATGATAGTATTAGTTGTGCATCTGTCTGACCGTTAAAAAGTATTTTGTTTTTTTAATTTTGAATGCATTTTAAGCATTATCTCAGAGATGGGAAAATCAAGACACGTTCACTTTTGAAAGTGAATTCTGTTGAAGCTTAGACACACACCAAATCTTTCACATTCCACATACATATACAGCTTTGTGTTGGCTGAGATGACTGTCTGCGCGACCTTCTCACAAATGAGTTTGAGAGTGTTAAACTGATAACTCCTCATAAATGCTGTTTGACTGCGAACAGTCGTTCTTATTTGTTAAATCACATTTGAATAGCTGAAAATCTCAGCACGTATTTGTCGCACAGTCACTCACAGACGCACAGGCAATTGTTGGTTCTCATTCAATTGACTCACAATCGGAAATTCTAAAAAACCCACAATGTGAGAGGGTCGCTTCTCGTGATGGTGAGCAGACCTAGGTCAGGCGAGGCAGTGCACCCTGCCAGGCCACAAATTGGACACTTTTTACTCAATTAAGCAAATCAACAGTCGCAGCAGCAGCAGCAGCAAAACCAGCAGCAAGAGCCAATGATATGATTTTGGTTACGATTACGATGCGATTACGAGATAAAGCTGCAACTTAATTAGTTTGACTCGAATTAACCATAAAACGGAAACCAAATTCAGACCAGAATTTTGTGACCTTAGCCAATGTTGTTGATCCACAAAGCAAAGCTGCCCAGTCACCTAGCGCCTAGCGCCTTAGCCAAGTATCTGTTGGCAATTATGTAAATTACAAATTACATGGCACGCTGATAATTATGGAACGATTTTCCGAAAGCCACAAAGAAATCACAGAAGAACGAAACGCAGAAAAACAGAAATAACGAAAACAATCAAACTTAAATCCAACCTTGAGCGGAAAATTATTAAGCTTCACTTCTAACATATATACATATATGCATTATACGATCGTTGATCGTTGATTGTTGGATCGAATAGAACAAAGCTGCACAGAATAGATCATTAATAGCTTTATGCTTTATCGCAATTGCTTAGATTTCACCTCATCAACAGAAGCAGCGATGCGATGCGGTACATTAAATCGATGATGTGAAAAACCACCAGCAGCTACTAACTAATCACAAATCATGTCAAGGCATGAATGACAGACTGCCTGATTCCCTGTAAGCTGAGAAATATATTGCCACTTGCTCTTAAGCATATCAAACTGATATACTTCGCAATGAAATGCATTCGATTGAGTCTGTGAAATAGTTTCAATGTTGTTGCAATCTACTTCAATTACTGCTCTCTTATTTTCCCTCAAATGGCTGCCTCGAAGCGTATATGTTCCTTTGCTTAGATACAGGGTATTTCCAAAGAACTTGGCCTCAAGAATGCAAGCGATCTACTCCGGTCACAACAATGGACAATGGACAAAGATGCGGTTAGAGAGATACCAGCACGGTATACAATACCGTGCAGAGAAATACACACACACCTATACCTATACAATACATATATGTGTGTGTGTGTGTGCCTACAGTTTTCATTCGATATGCGCATGTGTGCGCGCCACATGCCCAACTAATTGGGCGCACACGGCATACGTAATGCGCGCTTGGGAAATGAATTTTGCCTCTTGCCGTCCCGTCCCATACAAAAGCTGTGGACAGCGCCTAAAGCTGTCGAAAAATGTGTGCCAAGCCGCCTAGCCAAACGACTCGGCCAAACGCCTCTAATAAAGCTATGCCAAACATTTGACTAAAAAACAAATATAAATACAGAAATGTTTCACAATCGCGTGTGGAACTTGTTTAGATCGAAGCAATTGGCCGCGTTTTCCTCGCACCTGTTAGAAATCGCAAAGCTATTAACGGAATACATAATGCATAAGGGATCTATTCCGAAAGCAGATGCCACCCAATCCAAAGACTCTTGCTTCCTGGACTTAATCGTAGTCGGAATTGGATTTTAGCCAGGGCCTGTGCCAATGCCAATGTAATTGAGCGACATATTTCATAAAACTAGACAGTCAAGAGTCGGCAGTTAACCTGCTTTAATGAGTTTTTGTTTAATACTTCGCTTAAAATTGAAATGTGGTCGGACTAAGGACAAGTTGACGGGTAATTGTCTTTATAGCACAAACCATTTCCACTTTATGATTGACATTGGAGCCACAGTCGCAGAGCCGGAGAATTGGCAAATCGGCGAATCGGATAGTTGGACATAACCAGAAGTTATATGTTCAATGACATTCAGTTGTATTAAATGTCATAAAAAAGTGCAGCTCAAAGACCTCCAGTGCTAACCAAGTCCGACAGCTAAGTGAGACTTAACAGCGCCGCTTCGAATTGGAACTGTTAATTTAATTTATTTAACGTTCAGTCTTTCCGTACTTAACGAGTTTCCTAGGACAAGCACTAAAATCGCCAAGAGTGCTTTAGCTCTAGAGTAGCTTTCCTGAAGGCTACTACAAATGTCTAATATTTCTGATCAGCACACAATATGTCCCAACACTCGCTTTCAGTAAGTTTCAGAATATCGAAACTTTACTAAGCCCAGTAGCATAAATTATAATATATGTCTCATATGAATATTTATCTTACAAGAATCTGAATCTATTAAATCCATATTTTATCGATATGCAAATGGCTCTAATAGATTTCAATCGAATGCAACTGCAATTATTGAGATTATACAAGCACTTAAGAATTCTATTTGCTCATGGCGCTCTTAATGCACGTCATAAACAACAAAATGCAAAAATTTCCTAAAATTGTCGTATGTATAAGTTGCTATCTAGTTCCTATAACTAATTTGTATGCTAACGGCAATGCATTTATATATCAAATTCAGTTTGAAATGTGGATTGCTGGAAGTAGGAAGCCGAAGGAATTTCAGATCAAGCTCAGCCAATAGAGGCAAGTGCCTAGGGTCGTACAACCTCTGAGGTGAACAGAGATAGAACACAGGATTATTATTTAACAGTTGCTTTTATTTCATATCGTAAATTGTTGACATATTTAGTATTCATCGTAAACATACGATTAACACTCGACAACGCTAACTCGTATTGTGATATAAGCGGAGATTAGACCTTATCTAAATCTATATGTTCCAATGTTTATTCGCTCTTAATTGACTTGATTTGTATTAAATTAGCTTTCATGTCTAGCACTCAATAAAAATGGTTATAAGATAAATAAAATACGGACTGTCGACAGAAAACTATTAATGGCTATAGAGAAAATCCTAAAAGTTAAAAGCATAAAGTGTGGTATGGTAAGGCTAGTAGGATACGATTATAAATAAAAAATGCCCCAAATACGACATATATTAAGCGAAGTCCAAAATATCTTGTAGTGGGTGATTCCCTTACTCATTCATAATTAGTAGACGCGTTGGTTGTCCATTGCCAGCAAGGGGTGTCTATACTCCTGGTTTAATGAACTCTCTAAATGTTATGTCAGCTAATTCCTGCTTATTTTTTCTAATTAGCTATCGATATGGGTTCGCTGCCACAGCTGTCGATTGTGAAGGGCCAGCAGCAGGATTACGTGCCCCGAGCGCTACATCGCATCTTCGAGGAGCAGCAGCTGCGCCATGCCGATAAGGTGGCACTCATCTATCACCAGGGACAGGAACAGACTCAGGCACCCAGCCAGAGCAGCTATCGCCAGATGAACGAGCGTGCGAATCGTGCCGCTCGTCTACTGATTGAGGAGGCCCACGGACGTTTCCTCCAGCCAAACAGCGATGGTGACTTCATTGTGGCCGTTTGCATGCAGCCATCGGAGGCGCTGGTCACCACATTGCTGGCCATTTGGAAGGCGGGTGGTGCTTATCTGCCCATCGATCCGAGCTTCCCGGCAAATCGTGTGCATCACATATTGCTGGAGGCTAAGCCGATTCTGGTGCTGCGTGATGATGACATCGATGCTCAACGCTTCCAGGGCACACCCACACTATCGCTGACTGAACTGTATGCAAAGTCTTTGCAGCTCAGCGGTGGCAATCTGCTGTCGGAGGAGATGCTGCGTGGCGGGAACGAACACATTGCCATCGTTCTCTATACCTCGGGCAGCACAGGAGTGCCCAAGGGCGTGCGTCTGCCTCATGAGAATATATTGAATCGCTTGCAATGGCAGTGGGCCACCTTTCCCTATACGGCCAGTGAGCAGGTTGGCGTGTTTAAGACAGCGCTTACCTTTGTCGACTCCATTGCGGAGCTGTGGGGTCCACTTATGTGCGGGCTGGCTATCTTGGTTGTGCCCAAGGCCGTGACAAAAGATCCGCAACGTCTTGTCACGCTTCTTGAGAAATATAAAATTCGTCGTCTGGTTTTGGTGCCCACTTTATTGCGCTCTCTGCTCATGTACTTGAAGATGGAAGGTGGCGGTGCGGCTCAGAAGTTGCTCTACAATCTGCAGATCTGGGTATGTTCAGGTGAGCCGCTGGCCGTGCCTCTAGCCAGTAGCTTCTTCGATTACTTTGATGAGGGTGTGCATAGACTATACAACTTCTACGGATCCACTGAGGTGATGGGCGATGTTACCTACTTCACCTGCGAAAGCAAGAAGCAGCTCAGCATGTACGACAATGTGCCCATAGGTGAGCTCTCCTCCTGTCTCTCTCCTTCCCTATGCTAACGTATTTGTTGGCAGGCATACCTGTGTCAAACACTGTCATCTACCTGCTGGATGCGGACTATCGTCCGGTCAAGAATGGAGAAATAGGCGAGGTCTTTGCTTCAGGCTTGAATCTGGCTGCGGGATATGTGAATGGTCGCGATCCGGAACGCTTTCTCGAGAATCCACTAGCTGTGGAGAAAAGTACGTGGGACACTTAAAGCCTTTCGTTTATCCTATTTCTAATCGATTATCTCCTTCACAGAATACGCGCGTCTCTATCGTACCGGTGACTATGGCTCGTTGAAGAATGGGAATATCATGTATGAAGGTCGCACCGACTCGCAGATAAAGATACGTGGTCATCGAGTCGATTTGTCCGAGGTGGAGAAGAATGTGGGCGAGCTGCCACTGGTGGAGAAGGCAATTGTCCTTTGCTATCGGGCCGGACATGTGGATCAGGCCATCCTGGCCTTTGTCAAGCTTCGCGATGATTCGCCTATGGTTACTGAGATGCAGTTGGAAGGTAGACTCAAGGATAAGTTGGCTGACTATATGACACCACAGGTCATTATATTGGAGCATGTGCCACTCTTGGTCAATGGCAAGGTCGATCGCCAGGCGCTGCTAAAAACTTACGAGACGGCCAACAACAACGAGGGCGACTCGAGCATTGTTCTCGACTTTGACTACAGCCAGGTACCCGAGGAGCTAAAACTAACGGCACGCGATCTCTTCGAGACCGTGGGCGGTGTCATTGGACGCTCGACCCGAGCAAGTCTGTCGCCTCACAGCAACTTCTACGAGCTGGGCGGCAATTCCCTCAACTCAATTTTCACGGTTACACTGCTAAGAGAGAAAGGCTACAACATTGGCATTTCCGAGTTTATAGCGGCGAAGAATCTGGGCGAGATTATCGAAAAGATGGCTGGCAATCATGATGCAGTGCAGCTGGAGGAAGAGACACTCAATGCTTGCCCTCATCTTAAAATGGAGGCGGTTCCGCTTCAACTGGAGCATCGTCAGCCTGTGATTGAGTAAGTAGTTCGAAGAAGTCAATGGAGTAAATAATCATTACTAATCCTTGATTCTGCAGCATTATCGTATCCAGTTTCTACAACAAAGCAGATTTAGAGCAGTGGCTGAAGCCCGGCGTTTTACGCACCGATTACAGTGATTTACTCAACGTAAGTTAATTGCAAAGCCCAACTGCTCCAAAAGCTTATCCGTGAATTCATTTGCAGGAAATTTGGAGCGTTCTCGTGGAACGTGAACTGAGTTTTGTAGTATACGATCGGAATACGGATCGCATTATCGGTACTGCTCTCAACTTTGATGCGCGCGCCGAGCCCGAAGTGGATATCAAATCTAAGCTAATCACAATCTTTGAATTTCTTGAGTTCTGTGAAGGACCCATACGGTACGGCACAAGGTTTGCTTTTAACTACGTAGATCTCCAAACTAACCCCTTGTAAAATATTTTTAGAGACAACTATCTGCCCAAGGGTTTGAATCAAATATTACACTCATTCATGATGGGCACCGCCGAGCATCTGAATCCTCGCGAGAACATTGCTTGCATGCACTTCATGGAGTACGAGGTGCTACACGTGGCGCGCAATAAAAAATTCGCCGGCATCTTTACCACCAACACCAGTCCTCTGACGCAACAGCTGGCCGATGTCTACCATTATAAGACGTTGCTCAATTATCAGGTCAACGAGTTCGTTAGCTCCGATGGCAGTCGACCATTCCGGGATGCGCCGGACGAGCAGCGCGCCATCGTCCATTGGAAGGAGGTTGCCAGCAAGTAGGGTGTGTCCTAGTAGGATGCATCAGTATGATCGAATTTAAGACGCACCTGTGTTGTATGTAGCTCGTAGCATGTAGAATAGTCTTTAGAATATTGCATATAGATCTACCTTCTAGTATTAGCCCAATGCATTGTCCACTCAAAATTTAGCAATGTATGTTGACTAATTGTAAGTTTTCAATGCAATTAAACAAAAACACTCAATGATATATTTAAATTTAAGTTTCTTTTATTATGGCTTGACGATTCACTAACTACTAAATTGAAGTCAAACACACAACATAGATTGTAAGAGCTGGAAAACAGAACAATTTGGAGAATTTACGTAGTTGATATACTGAAATCTCCGGCACAACGTAAATAGTAAAATCTGAAACTAGACGTGTATGCAGAATTTATTTATTACGTAATGTCCATAAAATTTGACTCTACTGGTCAACTTATTATCGACTTTCTGTGCACATGAAAGTAGAAAGAAGGCTTGATGTAGAGCTAAGCCTGTGTTATTAGCTCACATTTATAATTGAAGCTGTTTTGCAAAACATATAGATCTTGAGAAATACACATTTAGGTATAGGAATTCAGGTATAGCTGAGTAAGAAGAATATTGTGTCTACTATTATATGTAGCTATTCTTGCTGCCTTTCATATAAAAAAGACTCGATTTAAACATTAAAGCCATAAATATGGTTGGTTTATTTTAGACTATTACACATGTCTCAAGATTAATGTTAAATTTTTTCTGCGGTTGCTTTGCCATCATTTTCTTTTTTTTTTATAATGTTACATACATTCAGAATATTAATATTTGATATAATTTTTAATTTTGTAACGTTTAAGGTGAGCGTTGTAGTTTTCGCGTGGCTCCAAATAATTATTATGTTTCTTGCTAAATTAATTATACAGTTGTCTTTACTCGAGAACTAATTACATAATGCTAGCTATGCATATATATATTTATATATATAATTTCGGTATATATATTGTATATATTTGCATACAAATGAACACATACATTAATGTATATGTGGGTGTGTGTAAATGTACGATTATTTGCATTCGCCATTCAATTCATCTGTCAGCGCTCTAGTCAAGCGTGCTAATCATACATATTCATATATATTCGTGCGTATGTTGTGTGAGTGTGGGTGTGGGTGTATGCGTATGTGGGTATGTGTGTGTGTTTGTGTTTGTGGCATGATTTTTAAACGTTTTAAGCGCTAGCATATATACTACATACATATATACTAAGAACTGTACAACTACTAATTTACGTTAATTGTTTTATAGTTCATTTATTCCCATCTTGGAAAGCGGGGCTTAATAATGTAAAGGGGAGGGGAGAACTGGTTAGTAGCCTAATTAGCGGATAAGCCAAGCTGCTGGCCATGCAGAACGAAACAGACGCAGAGAACAAGCCCAGTAGCAATCAAATATAGTCTAGGGTATACACATAGGCTACTTGCGCACTATGCGTATGACCCTCGTGGACTATGAGGCGCCACTCTGGTCTACCAGCCTGTAGTTCTGGAATGTCTTCCATTCGCCCGTATTGTAGTCTAAGCGAATGTGCGATTCGACCTGGCACAGCGCCGTATTACCATCCTCCTGTTGCACTTTTTCCTATACAAATAAAGTATTTATAGTATATATACAACTCAATAGCGAAATAAAACATACCTCGGTTTCGCCCAGCTTTATGACCAACACATTTTCAGAATTGGGTCTTGGATTCTCACGCAGCCCAGCCATAAAGCCCAATATAAGCGCCTTATCAGGACGAGACACGCGATTCGCTTTGCGAAACATTTCGTGAGCCTTGTGAACATGCTCATTCTGAACAAAAAACATATAGAATGAGATTTATGCCATGTGTCGTTTAGCAAATAGTTATTGGTCCTTACTGATAATGAGAGCCCACGTCGCTGCGGCGCTTGCTGTGCAGTGGATGCTGTCGTCTGCTGCTGTGGCTGCTGCTGCTGGGTGACCTGCACCTGGACGGTGCGCGGTATGGTAGCATTGTTCCCTGGAGTACTCGTCGAGGTGACCAAACACTGCTGCAGGGCTGGCTTATGCTGCACCAGTATTTGCTGCTGTTGTGGCTGTTGCTGCTGCTGCTGGCGCGGCTGCTGTTGCGGCGCCGATGCAGCCGGCGATTGCGTTATAATCGTACGCTGTGTGCTGCTCGGCGCTGCCTGCACCTGCACCAGCTGCGGCTGCTGGCCAGGACGCTGAATCAGCGTCAGGCCCTGCGGCAGCGTGGTCAACCCGCCGCCCACATTGGTCATGACAGGTCGGATTATCGTCTGCTGCGTGGACTAAAATGCCATTTAAATTAATTAGTAAAATACATAGCTTTAACTTCACACTAAAGGCGGCTTTACTTTTGCACAATTTATGGTCGGAAATATCTATTTGACTTTGTCCCTATCAGAGACACTCACAGATTGAAGCATTTTAAACAATACATCTTCTAAGTTCTATTGATTTAATTCGGCCTACTTGATTTTAAATCACATTACTTTTAGTTAGTAATTGTATTAAGTAATTTTCATATATATATTGGTTTAGCTTACATCGAAGCAGAGAGGCAGACGAACGGATATTGTAAAGACATGAAAGACGAGGTCTGAACATATGTTATATATGTTGGCATATGCCAACATATTACGTCTTTGATAAAATTGAAAACGTTCTCCATCTTTCTTCCGTCTTTAGCAAACACCCCCTTTAAAACAGTCGAAAGGCTATCGACAAGACTATCTGCCGATCCACTTACATTGCCAATTACACTCGTCGGTGTCTGTTGCTGGACGATTACATGCTGGCCTCCAATGGGGTTGGTTGGTATTAGCGTAGGCATCAACTGCTTGCCGGACTGCACGCTCTGTTGTTGTGATTGTTGTTGCAGCTGTATCGTATGTGGCTGTATGCTCGTTGACGTCGTCGTCTTCACCAGGCTGGGCGGACCGGCCGCCGTGCTTGTCATGAGGGTGGCACCAGCACTGAGTCCGGATAAGCCGCCGACATTACTAATTGGTATCTGGTACATATCGCCACCAATGTTACGTAGTATGACGCCCTTCTGGGTGAGTATGATCGTCTTGTTTTTGGCCGCCGTCGGAGAGACGTTCAATGTGCTGCCCGCTATGGCACCGCCAGGCTGCATTAGCACCTGAGATAGCTTTGGCTGTTGTGTGGCAGTCGTATTGGATACAATCGTGTGTTGCGGATGCGGCAGTGGCTGTTGTTGCTGAAGCTGTGCCTGCAAATGCTGCTGTTGTGCTGCCTGCGAGGCGGGCTGTATGGTAACAGGACGATTCGGCAGCTGTACATTTTGTATATTAAGCGTTTGCTGGCCAGCAGCAACGGCTGCCGTCGTAGCCACCAATGGCGGCGGATTGGTAGACACTAATGTTGTAGCTTGTTGATGCTGTCGTAACGGTGTCATGACCACCCCAGATGTACCTGTGGTCTTCAGCAGTATCTTTGTGGGCGTCTGACTACTGCCGCCCGCTGCTGTTTGGTACAGTGTCGCTGTCTGCGGTCGCGTCTGTGTAAAGGAAGTGAGCGTAGGTAATGCGGGCTGCTGCTGTTGCGGCTGTGGTGCTGCTAGAATGTACTGTGTGGTTTGTGCCTGTGACGGATTAGCTAACAATTGCTGCTGCTGCAGTTGTTGCTGATGTTGCTGAGCAGCAGCTGCCGCTGCGCTGGATGTGGCACCTTGTTGCTGTTGTTGTTGCTGCAGCTGTTGCTGTTGCTGCTGCTGGGCCCGCTTTGCTGGCTGTATGATGGTTTGTGAAATAATGACCGGCCCACTATTTGCTGCTGTCTTTAGCTGACTCAACGGCATGGTCTTAATAGCTTGCGATGGTATTGTGGTGGTTGTGGTGCCAATGCCGCTGCTGCTGGCTGCCAAATGCGGTTTCTAAAAAGTAAAGTTATAAGATATAAAGTATATTAGAGAAAAGCGATGACTTTGTATAAAAGCTACATACCACTCGCTGCGCACTGGGCGTAGATGCCAATATTACGGGTGTGGAGCTGTTAATCAGTATGGGCTGCTGCTGCTGTGCTGTGGCAGCTACTGTTGTTACTGTCTGACTGCCGCTGCTGCCTGCAGCACTGGCGCCTACAACCTTTGCCTTGGCCGATGTTATTTTTACAGAAATGTTGTTCGGCAGATTGGCCAGCGGACTGGTCGCTTGCCGCAATTGCTGAGGCGTCAATATGGTGGTCGTGGTGGTGGTGGTGCTGCTGCTGCCGCTGCTACCACTTCCGCTGGGTGTAGCTGCTGCACGCGACATAGGCTTTATGTCCAGCTTTTCCATTTTAATGGTGGTATTGCCAACGGTTGTTGTTGTTGTAGCAGCTGTTGTTGTTGCTACGTTGTTGCTGTTGTTGAGGCGCTTCTGCTGCTGCGGCGTGCTGCGTATGAGTAAATGCGGTGCACGCTGTGTTGGCTGCTGCTGCTGAATAATGATTCTCTGCGTGGGCGCCGCTGTCAGCGGCGTCTTCGGCGTTGTTTGTGTGGGTGTAGTCGAAATCGTTGGCTCAATCTTCTCCAGCTTAATGTTGGCCGGCACAATGATCTCCTCGCTCTTGATCTCAATCTCCTGCTTGATACGTTTCGGCGTCTGATGGTAGCTGTTATTATTGTTGTTATTCGCCTTAGCCGTCGACTTGGTAACTTTCGCTTTACTCTCCGTCTTGCGCGAGGGCGTAGTTGCTACCGCCGCTGTATTGGTTTGAGCAAATTGCAGCGTAGCTGCCGCATATTCCGGTGTACCCGGCGTTTCCGGTTGCAACGTTTTTGTTGCCAGCTCTGGCGTCTTAAACTCTTGCTCATCCTGTTGTTCATCTATGCTGCCGCTGCTTTGGTTCAGCTGTGGCTCCAGTTTGATTTCAAAGCTGTTATTTACTGATGTAGTTGGCGTCTCTCCACCACTAGCATTATTCGCTGCAGACTCTGCAGGAGGACTGTCGCTGTTGTTGCTGATGTTTGCAGCTGCTTGAGCAGCAGCCGCTGCGGCGGCCTGTTGCTTCTGTTCCTGTTTTTTCTGCTGCTCCTCCAGCTGCTGTTCCCGCTTGCGCTTCTTGGCCGCAGCATAGCCGAGCGGCTGTTCTGTGAATTCGAGTATTTTAATGCCTCCATCTTTGCGGCCGGCAGGCGTCCGACTAAGATTAGGCCGTTGCGCATTACCCGGCACACTGGGCGAACGAAAGCCTGTGGTGGGCATACGTGATGGTATGCCTTTCAGCGGCGTTGTGTCCGTCATTTTCCGTGGCATGCCACGCGAGCGCAATGGGATTGTAGGTGCCGATGACTTCTTCAGCGAGGATTGGGCATCGGCAGACTTATGCAACAGCTCCGTGCGCAGCTGAGCGCTTTTTGGTTTGCGCTTCAGCGTGAAATGCTTAACGGGCACCGGCTGTTGACCAACCTGTTAATATACCATACAATAAATATTATATATATACTCTTATACTTGGGCTGTGTACATATTCATATACTCTGGATACTTACCACCGAGACTAGGGCATTCTTGTTTAGGTACTGGCACTCCAGCGGCAACATCCCCAGATCCGAATGCTTGGTTACCAGTTTACGAAGGTCGTTGACCATGTCGGTGAATATATGCCGTGTATCCTCATAGTCGGAGATTTCTGTATTTAGCGAACTAGTCGCCGGAAATGTTTTCATTGTCTCTGCCAGCATGGCGACCCATAACTCAGAATCCAGGCCGGCTACTTCGATGACCTCCTCTAATTCGCTTTTCCACTGTGAATTTAATATTTGACAAATTAATTACACTTTCACAAATATTATTTTTCAAAATATTTTGTTATAGCAACAGATTGCCAACCAATATATTGATAGCAGCATTCCTATTGAAATTCCCAATATTAAGTGTAATCTTATTCAATTATGTGTAGTTGGGATTTTAAACGTTTCAGAAAAAATATAAAAGGTATATTTTTATGAACATTCCATCGGCAACAACATTTATTGATAGTCGTTCAAACCAAATAATGAGTTTGTCATTCATATTCATAAAATGTATATATTTTCAATTCAATTATACTAGGTTTATCGGAGTTACTATTAAATTTCCCTGTGTTTAAACATAAACAACAAATAACAGTAAATGACTACACATATTCAACAGATTTGTGTTGACCGCCCGCTTAACGCCCACACACACATACACACAAAAAATACCAACACTGAATACTCTGAGACATAAAATCACACACAAGCACACACAATGCACACATCGATCGCGCAGAAGTGGCGGGAAATATTTATTTTCTCTTATGGCTAGCGTACAAAAACACCTAACACTTGTGTGCATACAATTAATTGCTCGAGCTAAAAAAATACTCTTGGCTATTGAAATATTAGGTTTAATAACATATTTGTTTGCATTTAAGTGTTCTGAGCATCAAAAACTCTTCAACACAGCGTGTGTGCGTGCACGCGCGTGTGTTTGTGTGTGAGCAAGTATGTATGCGTGTCCGTCCTGGTGTACTTTTTTCTACTTTATATTACACCAACGGGAATTACCTCTTCAACCAGACGACGCGGTATATGCAGAAAACTGAGCAGCAATTTTAATTTAACCTGCGTCTGCAAATCGGGAAAACACTCTTTGATGTTGCGCAAAACCTCTTTGTTTAATTGGGAGCATATTGAACCATTTATCCACGAATCGTTTGATGTGCCCAGTTTATTATGCAGCCACAGTGATGTGTCGCTGTCCCTTACATTCGCCATTTTTACGTTTAAGCGTAAACACACACGGCGCACATAAAACTTAGCACGTCAGACGGTTGATCACTTTATTGCAGCGCAATTTTCAATGAATATTCGCTTTATATTTTACTTTTTAACGAAAAAACACACACACACACGAAATACCCGTGGAAAATTGTAATAGGAAGCTACGACTGAAAAAAGTGTTGCCATAAGTCAGAGATAAGTGTGTACTCATGATGCATTACACACAAATGTTTGGTGAAACACTGGTCGACTGTTCACCCCTGAAAACATCGATAGGAAAATGTAAAATATTAATTAATAATTTCAATTGTGATTTGCAAATTCATTTATGTGTAAATTTGTAATAACTTAAATTGCTTATTATGTTTATTTGTCTGTCTAAAATTTCAAATTGACTTAATTTATTTCGTTTTATTTGTTTTAACCCTAAGCGCAGGTAATCAGCTGTTTTGCTCTTAGTTGTGTTGTTAGTTGTGCAAGACCTTTTATTTAAAAGTTTATGTATTATGGAAATTTTAAATGAAAGCGCACAATTATCAGTTAAAAAACAGAGCATATCAACGGGTGGTAAACTCTTGATAGGCCTAACTGGTGGCATCGGGATCGGGCTGTCCGTTGTGTGCGCCTCATTTGTGGCGCCCGCGTTTCGCAAATTTTGTTTGCCTTTTGTGCCAGCGACAACAGAACAAATACAAAATGTATTACAATTCTTGCCTAGAAGTACCAGTGGCAAGCTGTTGGACATTGGCTCAGGAGACGGACGCATCGTTGTGGGTGAGCTGCACTTGGATAATCATTTGCGCTCTAATTTAGACAGTTATGTAATCTCTTTTAGCGGCGGCTCAACACGCCCAGGGATTGAAAGCAGATGGCGTGGAGTTGAATCGTTGGTTAATTTACTACTCCCGATTGGCTGCACTTCGTCATGGTGTAGGCCAGCAAACCAGCTTCTTTCGCCGCGATCTGTGGAAGTTCAACATCAAGGATTACAATTATGTGGTTATCTTTGGAGTGGAGCAAATGATGCAGGATCTCGAGCACAAACTGATTGCGGAATGTCCACAGAATGCGAAGATCATAGCGTGTCGTTTCCCACTGCCACAACTGCAGCCGGCACGCGTCATCGAGGAGGGGGTCAACACGGTTTGGTTATACGATCTTAGCAAACAGAATAAACTAAGTTGATTTTATTTAAATATTTAGTCAATTTTATTATGTATACTTAAAGTAAATGCTAGAGCATGGAGCAGTCGGCATACGCATCGGTCGATCTGTCCAATTGGTCAAATACTAGGATTGTATAAAAAGAGCTTTTACCAGAGTACAAAAAGTAAAATAGATTAAGAACGATTAATGCACATAGAAACAGACGTAATTAAATACAATCTTAAAAAGATAATTAGGAAATCATATGGACCAGATGTAGAAGAAGCATTAGCAGAGGTGAAGGCAGTGTTCAAGTAGCCACGAATGCTCAGTCTTGCCTGCTAAAAGCGTCGTCCCAAATAAATGTTCTTGCCATCATTACGGTAGATCTCAATGAATCCAATTTTCGTATAGAAGTTCAATTGCTCTCTGTCTTGCTCTGGCACTCGGACATGTACACCAAAGCAGCCGTTGGCGCGGAGCGCAGCTAGCAACACGGTCAGCATACGCTTAGTAATTCCATTATCATGCTGCTCCGCTTCCCGCAGTGTAGCAGTGCTTATCAGAGCTGGAAAGGAGCCATATACTTCTGTTGGACAAGCCTCATCCGCCTTGGTATGCACGCTCTCAACAATGCGTGCAATTAGCTTTTGAGACTTGTTGCTGCTACCATTGGCTACAATATCCAACAAATCTCTGGGATACTTCTCACGCAGCTCTGTTAACCAGCAAATCTCTGTGTTTCGTTGAAAGACATTGATATCCAAGGCAGCGCAAGCATAGCCAACAATCGAGTCAGTCTTGTCATAGGCCACTAAACACAATTCCGGATGAAGAGTTAAATGTGCGCCCACCAGTACATCTGCCACAATGTCGACTAACTGAGCGGGCATCAAGATCTCATCGTCATCCGGCTCACTGTGCCATTGCAAATAAGTACGCGTGCAAATCCTATTGACGTCTGACTCATCCGAACTCTGATATGGTCTTAGCAGATAATAATTGGCCGTTGGATGTTCGGGCAGCTTGTAGACAAACAGGTCATTTCCGGAATCAACGGGCATTAACCGTTGCAAGTCGGCTGTTAGGCCACCACGAAATACCCAAGGCTCCTGATCACCAGACATGAATGCCTCCTTCCAGCCTTTGCTAAACCCTACAACAAAAAAAGAAGTAATTATATATGTATAGAGAATACGTACAATCTACATATACATATAGTCGTAAGACTTACATGTGTAGCTACCCTCCGTGTAGGTGGCCATGTTCTGTGGAAATTGACCCAAGGCCAGCCACTTCACATAGCAATTGAGCAGTGAGAGCGCGCCAGAAATGTCCCACACATACGAATACAAATCATGGCAGATTTCCTTATTCTCACAGTATGCAATTTTTATCAGTAGCTCTTGGACGCCGCCACATATCTTTCCGAAAAGTTCGGAACGTTGCATCCATTCGCTAACCTCTGGCTTAATAGGCTTTTCCGCATCAGCACCAACAACGTGATCCTGGAGCAACACATTCGCATTGACTTTAAGCCACTGGAATTCGGTGAGTATCTTCAGACCACGACTTCCGTGCTCAAAGGGTAAAAAGAATAGATCACAGAGCAGGTTTAAATCATCTAAAGTTATCTTTTTTCGACCCGCAGTTCTACAAAGGAATATATGTCAGAATGTAGTATTTTAAATTAATTAAAATGCTTACTTGACTGCTAAATCTTCCAGTTCTCCCGGCTCCTGCATTTCCGCGCTGGATTGGGGTGAGGATGAAGTACTTTCTACGTTCATGCTCTGTAAGAAAACCAAGTTCGTATTGCTCAATGTACTGGATAGGTAGTATAGTTCGCTTACATTCATATCATTGGCAGATTCTTCCATTATCACGTCATCGGCTACCAATTTGTTGGCCTCCTTCGGCGAAATTTGCGAGTTGATGCTGCTGCTACACTCCATCGGTTCATTGATGCCCGGGCTCAAGCTGTGTTCATCTAGCATTGTGTCCACATTCAAATTGGCAACCTGCTCCCGCTTCTCAATTATTTCATCTCTATTGATATCTACTATAGGCTGTATATTATTAGCTGGCTCGAAAATCTCACAGGTTAACTTGATAGTCTCCTCAACGCTCTTAGTTTCCATTATGGGCGCTGGCACAATCGATATGGGTATCTTCTTTGGCAGCTCAATGTTGGATGCCACGGTTGTGGGTATGTGATTTATAACCTCATCATTGGTCACAACTTTTGTTGGCGACATCAAAGAGTTCATCACCGGATTCGAAATGGGCGTCAGCGTGGAACTAACAGTGCTGCACACATCTGCCAGTGCCTGAAGCTGTGTGGTATTCACTTCTGGTACTGTGCGCGAATTTGTAGACGTAGTTGTTGTCGTCGTAAGGGTCATGCAGGTATTGATGGAGGGTATTATTGGTATTATGGGCATAACCATCTCTACCTGCGGCTGCGGCTTAGTAATCGGTCCCCAGGCTTCCTTCTCCACAAAAAACTCCGGCAGCCAATCGTTGATGGCGTTTCTGTAGGATTAACCAAGATCATGAGCTACGAAAATACATTTTCAAATGTAGTTACAAAATGACAATTACTTTAGAGCCAGGCGCGGGTGGTATACGTTCTTGGACAGACATTCTACTGGCAAATCGTCCTCGTTTTCAGTCTCCAGTTTAATATCAGCGCTCAGGGAGCTATTCATCTTCGAGTCCATGCTGCAGCGCGACCAGAAGGCTAATGTATGCACTGCTATGAAATTGCCATAGAACTCGCAATTGGGATTAGTCATGACACCGCGCAAATAAGGGATTAGTTCCGGCGAACGACCCGTGTACGGGCCAAGGAAGACACGTTTTTGGTCGTAATCATTCGCATGCAGATTATCCCAAATGACAGGCGGACGACGCAATATCTCAGTTATCTCCCGTATCGATTCAATCGTGATAATCTTCGAAATCACCTTGTCGCCTGTCCAAAGTATATCAATGTCATTGTGCAGCTTAGAGCCTAGCGTATTTAGATATTCCGAGTCCACAACAGTGGGCACAGCACGCGAGGCACAATACTGAGTAGGGCAGAAAAGGAATTTGGGACTGCCTAAATGCGTGAAAATCTCATTGGTCACCGAGACCTGAGCATTGGCAAACGTCTGGAACACCTCCTTGTCGGCCTTGGACAGCTCCGATTCAATGTCATCGAAGAGCAAGGCGTAGCCCTCACAACCAAACTGTGATACCTGATCTAGCTTGCGCTTCAACGTTGCAATCTCCTTCTGGCTGCTATACGTCATATCCAGACCTGGCGACAAAGCATAGTAGAATACAATACCCGCTTCTTTTGCAGATGTAATCAGACCTAATATACAAAATGAATAAGAAATTGCCTTTGAATCACAAGCCGCAATTGTTGAAAACAACTTAAATAAATACTTGATAAGTGATCTGCCTCCTCGACAGTGTAGAGCTCACGCCAGTAGGCACGGTGCTTGTAATCGTCTTTCGGTGCGTACATATACGAATCCATTCCCAGTTTTTTTAATTTGCGAAACAAATCTTTTCGCTGTTCGGTTGTCCATGGTCGCCCATAAAAACCTTCGATTACACCGCATATGAATTGTCGTGGAAGATCTTCAGTTGCGTGCTCCAAAGTTTCACATTTTTCCCTCATGTGACCGTCTTCCATTTTCACAGAATCAGGATAGATGCGAGCTAAATGGTTATTAATTTCAGAACACAAGAGCAAATGCGGCAAACGTATTAGTGGCCTTTAATGAGTGTGACCGAATTTCGCATATGCAAATATTCGAGCAAAAAACAAAGCATCGACGAGCATCGATTTATAATTTGCATCGATAAGTAAGGTATCGATAAATTAACTTAACGTCTATTAATTTAAATGAGCAGAAGTGTAAGTAGATAACAAATTTAAATTTAATTAAAGGGTCTTCTTCCTTAGATCATAAAGAGCTTTTATTTTCTAGTTCTGTTTTTCTGAAATGCAAATAATTTTAATTAATTTGAATTACATTAAATGGCAATGATATTTGAGCATAGCATTTTATGTTAATAAAATTACTTGAAAATATGTCAAGATGAAGTCAAGATACAAAATAGAACTGCAATATAATTAAAATTTTTTTAATTACTGATGTGGATTTTAAATACCAAAGCATCGATTAACGATCAATGGCATGTTTCAATTATCTAATTGCTGCGGTATTTCCTGATACGTGCACTAGTATTTTAAGGCATTTAGCTGACGGTCGCACTGCTTGCTTGTGTTTTTATTTTGTTTTCGTTTTAGATTAACATTTGAAAATTTTAAAAATTAAAGTGGTAACTAATGCAACCATTTATTGTTATACGGAGCTATAGGGAAGATGACGAACTCAAGTGCCAGGAGCTGGTGCGGGATTACATCATGTCATTTTCTTCAAAGTCTTTTTTTACCCTCTGTTTTCGTGAGGTGAGCCGCCGACAATTGCGTGCTTTATCGATGCTCAATCGTGGCTGCATCTGTCAAAAACTTCGCCCTCAGCCCAAATGATGTGTGTGATATATAAGAGTCATCATTATTTCAGATTACACTGCAATTTATAGTCATCACATGGGCCATATTCTTCATATTTCTGGGCGTGCCGCTGCTTTTCTGCGTGCTGACCATACCCGGCTGTGTGTTTTTTCTCTTCACCAGCACCTACTTCTCTTTTTATGCCAAGGCAGTGGAGCTTATGAGGGTAACGAAGTGTATATCTGCTTACTTACATTAAATTTCATTATTCATTTAGGTAAAGCCCTCACAATCTCTGGTGGCCGAGTGTTATGAGCCATTCATATTCCGCTGTGCACCAAACGAGGCCAGCTACCAGATTTTTATGGATAAGCCGCCATACGATGAAAGCTTTTTGAACAAGTTTCGTCGCCGCATAGTGGCCACCATAAGTGTTAAGAATCATCATGCCGTCTACAATGCAGCCTGGATATATCGTTTTGCAATTGCCAAGCACTATCCGCATCAAAAGATCATGGATCCCATGATAAATCTAGTCTCGAAAAACTGCATCAACGGCGGCTACGCCTCGCTGGAATGCACCATATCCGAGTGGCAAGAAAGCGAACGTGACTTCTACGACGATCTAGGCTTTGTGACACGACAAATCTACCACAAGCAAATCATTGGCAGCACACTGACAGTGATGAAGACCCAGTTGACATATAATTTAAAGACAGACGACGCGCTGCAAAAGCAAAACTAGTGGAACTCTAAAGAACAAATCTCCATATAGAGAATCTCTCGGGAAAACAAAACTGTGACACTTAGCACAATTATTTATGTATTGTATAAACATTCCACTCACGAGAATCTATTTATTTTGTATAAAAAGAAACACTGTCTTCGTTTTGTCCTGATTTTTATTATATATATAAATATATATATATATATATGTATATATATTTTTTTTTTTTTGACATATTCTATTTAAATAAATAAAATATATATTAATAAATAAAAGTTGCAAGTGTTTTTAGCTGATTTTACATATCGCATCTAATTTTGAATTAATTAATTTCTCTTCAATTAGTTATTGTTTTATTTTTGTGTGTAAGTAGGTACATTTATTACTTTCTTTGATGCAATTCTCCTTTCTCTTGGATTAGCCGTTGTAGTTTGTTTATAATAAAAAAGCTTTGACTGGCCGTTTAACTAATTGAAATTTGCATACCCCGCAGATTGCCCATAGTATCGCCTGGTTGGAGGGAGTATGCATTGAAGTCGTTTACAATCTCGGACTCAGTGACAGACTTAATTGTTAAATGCTTAGGTTGTACTCTGCTAGGGTATTTGCGGGTCGGCTAGCCGACGTTTCTAGTTTGGTTTCTTATAGAATTTATATAGTTATCAGCGCAACTAATGCTTAAAAAAATAAATTGGAGCTGCCAGCTGGACAGTCCATACTTCAAATGTAACTATTTTCCATCTCTTCTATATACGTTTCTTCTTTTTCTTAATTTTTTTTCAACTATTTGTTTAAAGCGTGTTTCGAAAACTGGCTGTGAAATTAGCATAGTTTTTCTGTTGTTTATGGTTTGGGGGCCTCTTTAAATATGTAGTTAAGAACCACTCAAAATGTTTAGGTAATTGTTTTGGTTTCGTCGCAAGCAGCCGCTCCCGAAGATGCAGCCAGCCATTTAGAAGAGCTTCACGCGTCGCTTCAGCTCGTTGCGCCTCCATTGTGGCAGCCTATAGAACTCCGATCGGGCGCATTGCAGGATGTGCTCGAATTCAATGTCCGACAAATGACGCTGCAAAAGAAAATATAATTTATATATGAGCATATATGGTATTTATTGAGTTCTTTTATCTAGCATGGCTCACCTCCAGGTTGCAGCGATCTACATCCGATGGTAGACGGTAATTCGTTATAAGCAATATGTGATACGGATAGATTTTAGCTGGCTCATGCACCAACATCGAGTGCGCCATATTGGGCAGGCTGCGTCGGATGAGTCCTGCCTGCGGGTAGTGATAGGACAAGGCGCCCGAGTAGGTGCTCGAGGCAGGCAAATCGCCGCCCATCAGGGCACGTCTATCGCCCTCTGTAATTGAGTCAACCGATGCTGCAAAGAGACCGTTTTTATATGTCACAACGATCTAGACAGTAGATTCAATAGTAGTCAATCAAAATTATTCAGTCAGAGTCAGTCACAGGCACAAAGTGATTTGTGCTACAAACACTCGAATAGAAATCTCCAATCAATCACAATCTGTGCCGTGGTTTGACCATCGATTACTCTATCCGTCACGGAGTCGACACAGTATGAAAAGTTTATATTTGTGCTAAGTGATGGATCAATCGCAGGCGGTCAGTTTGGCTAGTAATTAGTTTAGTAGTATTTCCCATGATGTAACTTCTCGCTTACCACTTGCGCTGTGCATCTAACGACAGTCAGTTAATTGACCCCAATGAATCAAACTTACCCTCTGATTTGCCACAGCTTAGATCTGTGCTGTGTGTCTTGTCCCCCAGACCTCCATAGGAAAAGTCCTGTTTGGGTTAGGAAAACATACAATGGATTATCCTCATGTACATCACAGAGTTGAGAGCATGCCAAAACCAAAATATTAAAACTCAACAAATGCAACAGGTCTACAAAAGTTATGGTGTGTTATAGGTGTGTGTGTGATGGGTTAACCAACCAAACAAAGAAGAAGCTTATGCATTCCAAGAAACAAAAAATGAAAAACTCTAAGGAAGTGGAAATCAAAAGGAAAAATCAACGCAAGCATTCTTACAGTGGCACCATGCATCGTGGCAGCGGCTGATGTTGTTGAGCTGAATGTGTGAGAGCGTGGAGCCAAGCCGTATCCGGGTTTCGGCACATGACGCAGCGCGCTCACCACTGAGCCGAGTTGTAAGTGATGTATGTGTGTGTGAGGTTGATTGATTGATTGATCGTAGTGTGATTGTTAGTGTTGATGATAGAGAATATTCATGTAAGATGTTTGATCGATTTTGTGATGTATGTCATCAATATGTTTGATTGATTGAAGTGAGTGTGAATGTAGAATATTTTTAGATATGGCAAACATATAGCATAGGCAAACACACATAAATAGTTGGAAAGTAAGTGTTAGAGACACAGCACAAGGAAGCAGCAGACCAACCAGTTGATTTTTGAATTAGTTAGACCCAAAGAACCGAGCCGAATGATGCAGTTGGAGCAGCAGCAGCAGCAGCCAAAAGAGACAAATGTTTGTTTTTTTAGTGACTGAGCAATAGGAGAAGCAGATGTTAGGTACTTAAGATACTACAGATTGATAAATATATACGCAGATAATTAATGTTAGCTACAAGACAATTGACCGCGCACCAAAGAACAGGAACAACAGGTAACTAAGTCTCAGCACTTACGGAGCTGTAGCCGTTGCGTATGTAGGGCGGCAAGGTTGTTGTTTTGAATCCGTATCCGGGCTTGGGCGGCGAGCGATAGGAATGTATGGCTATAAACGTAATTGTTCCACATGTAATACAAGTTGACAAATTGAATGGAGACACGCCTATACCCTAACAATCTCTATCAAATTAGGGCTGAAAACCAAATGAAGGTTTCAAAAGGAACTTAAGCTTCAATAACATATATTCTAACAACTTTAAGTCACGATCTGCTTTTGTGAATGTAGAAAAGATGTATTTATGCAACTGAAACTGAACCATATATCGAAGTAAAAAAAACATTTGCCAATATATACTCGTTTAATCGTTACAAAAAGAGTATATTTGGTTTATTGAGTCTGTTAGCCAGAACTCCATCTCCGTTGCCATCTCATGGAGTAAAGACAACTAGCTACAACAGAACTGAACTGAGAATCGAAACATATATACCCGTTCGAGCACTAAAAAGTATATCTGTTTTAGAAAACTTAATCTAGATAGTTTTACGGCTTGACATTTGTCCATCTATGCGGTTGAAACTGTTTTTAACGGATACTACTATATCGTTCATAATTCTTGAATCGTGAACGAGTATTGCGCAGTCGGTTGCATCCGACAGCCACTCTTTGGGGGCTTGAGGCCATGACTAGCACATATCTCATGTTTACCATTGTAGCTGGGGGCATTGCCCAGCGATTTGCCCAGTGAGCCACGGTAGCTGGTGGATCGATCGAACATCTCGTCCTCATTGAAGGGCTTCTGATGATCCAGATTGCGTGACGGCGAGGCGCCAATAGGCGATTCGTATCTGTGAACGAAACAGAACTTTGAATGTTTGCTTTTATAGTAATGTATGTCTGGGCTAATACCTCAGCTTGTACAGCGGCTCCTTCGAGGCTGAAGGAGTCCGCGACGCATTGCGCGGATCCAGATTGTTTTGCTTCCATTTCCTATACTTGGCGTGCTCCTTGAGGTCCTTTGCAATAACCGAACCAATGCCAGAATTGAGCTTTTCCAACTGCTCAGCCTCCCGTTGCAGGCGCCTGTTGAAGTTCTCATTAATAATCTGTTCGACCGCTTAATACACTATAAATTCGTTATTCTTCTTTGTCTTAAGACGGGAGGTAAACGGACTTCCGTTTATGATAGCTCTGATCCCTTCCATTTGTATTTAAGCTCAGACATAGCTGTGATATTCCCTGTAAGCCAACTTACGTCTGCTCCTCGCCATTCTTGACATTGCCATTGGTCCGCTTGCCATTCTGGTTCTCCTCGTCGTCGTCATCCGAGACGGGTACACCCTTGTAGGTGTCACTGTAGCGTCGCCTACGCTCCGGATCCGTATAGGGGTATGGAGGAGCCGGAAAGTCGTCTCTCTCGATTTTGGGCTGTTCGCCCGGTGGCGGCTTCTTGGCTGCCGGATAATGCGACAGCTCAATGGGCTCCTCGTTGTTCATGCCGGGGCTTTTGGGCCGTGGCGTCTCTGACCGTATGGCATCCACCAGAACCTTCATGGCGCTGCGCGTTCGCGAATGTGGACGCGATGGTGGACGACTGCCGGCCACAGAGCCCGCGTTACTGGTCGTCGCATAGGAGGCGGGCCTATGGAAATGAGGCGACAGCGGCGTCTTGTCATACGGATCGATGGGCTTGCGCAGATAATGAGGCGCATCGGTCAGATAGCTATAGGTATAGATGCGCGATATATCCTCTCCGATCGGTCGACCATACTCGCGCAGAATCAGCCCCGGACTGACAGTGCGATAGTGCTGCAATATAGAAAATGTCGACTTATGTATATGTATATATGGGATCAATAGGGCGAATGCCAGACACTAGCATGCGATGCATGGGGTTTTTGGATAAGCTTAGGCAGCTTTAGAAACAAGCGATAAATGGCAAAAATAGGAAATTATAATAAAATTATAAAACAAACCTTGCGGCTAGAGGAATAAAGTGAACCATTAAAACTCGGTGTTCTGGAACGGATGTACTGCAAAACGAACGATAATAAATCAAAGGGCAAGCTCAAAAACAGGTGGAAAATAAATAAAATGAAAATGTGTATAAAAACCAAAGTCAAATCATAATAAAAACTCAAAATAAATTGCAAAATAGGTGCAAAAGGCAGGTCAAGGTGTGTTCTCAGTGTGTCGGTTCTGAATGCGTGTGCGTGTATGTGTATATATGTGTGTGTATGCGTGTGTGTGTTTGTGTGTATGTGCGTGTGTATATGTGTATGTGTGTGTGTCTACACTCAGAGAAAAACCCACTTAAGTATCAACGATTCTACAAATTACGTTATCTTAATAGAGACTCAAAAGTTTTTTAAAAAAAAACTTTATATTTAACAACGCATATTTGTAGCTAATACTTGAGTCTTATCGCAAATAGATGAATCTTTCAGAAAATATATTTTTTGTTGATTTCTTGATTAATATCCTATTTAATCATACTTCACCTTTGGCAGTGCATAATTTGGAATAAGAACTGAACTTGAAGCTAGTTTTGGAACTTTAGGGTTTGTCTCTGTGTGCATGAGTGTGGGATAGACATTCATATTAGTAGTAGTTGCAGGAGCATTGGCTGCATCGCTTCTTGGTGCAGTAATTGAGGCCCAGCCTACCCATCCTCTTATTTAGTCTCCACCTACCATGTCGCTGAGCGCACTGGAGCTCATGCGATCGCATTCGGTGTCTGTAAAGTTGCCATTGGAGGCGCCGCCCGTAACTGAGGTGGTGCCTGGCCTACCAGTACCACCGACAACGCCACCACCAGTACCGTTCAGTATGATGCCGGATTCGGAGGGTCCGGGACCACAGCGTGGATGCCAAATGGCGCTGCCCTGCAGGTACATTTCCTCGCCATCGCCGAATGGATCGCCGCACTTGGTGCAGCGGGCACAGGTTGGATGGAAGTGATGGTTGTCACCGGCTTGAAGCACCTTGCCGCTGATGAAGCGATTGCAGTAGGCGCACTTGACGCCAAAGCTCTTCTGGTAGCACTTCTCACAATAGGGCACCGCATCCTTACCCATATACTCGCCATTGAGGACTGCGTTGCAGGACTTGCAACAAAAACACCACACATGCCACTGTCTATCCAATGCGACTAGGGCCTGGCCCTCCTTCAGCAGCTCGCCACAGCCGGCACAATCATTGGGATCATAGTCCTCCTTCAGATGCGCCTTATGGGATAATATGCCGCTCGTCATCTGCTGCGCGGTGGCACGTGTTGGACTCTCCGCCGGCGGCGCAGGCGATTGTACGGCAGCGGTGCGTGCCGGCGAGGCGGGCGCACCTCCCGTCACACACTGCTCGCAGAGCACCTCCTTGCCGGTGTTGGTCACCTTGCTGCCGGATTTAAATGGCTGGGAGCACTTGGAGCAAGTGAAGCATTTCTGATGATACGTCTTGCCCATGGTGCTGACCACCTCGCCTTCCACATACAGCTGGCAGGTGGCACACTTGGTGCCATACAGCCGTTGATAGTCCGGTATGCAATAGTAGGAGCCATCCTTGGTAAAGAAACCGCCGGTGGCTAAGGATTTCTTGCACTGGCAGCACTGGAAGCACGCCTTGTGGAAATGATTGTCAGCCACACGCAGCACCTCTCCAGAGCACTTTTTTGTGCATTTCGCACAGTAGATTTTTTGTTTACCTGACAAAGCGAATGGCGAGAGAAAGAGAGAGAGAGAGAGAGAGGAAGATTAGAGCTGGAATTCATTCAACGTTTACGTATACGTAATGTGGCACAGATTACGTATACGCAAAGTTGTACGCTGATGTCATATGCATGTGATGTGATAATGCCCCAACCTTGTGCCGTTTTGCCCGACTTTAGTCTGAGCGCAGTCAAAGTGTCGTATTCAGATATCTCAAATATATAGCTGTATGTATTTAGGCTTTTGTATAAATGTAGCTTGAGTGACAGTTCGTCTTTGAATATATTTATATATTTCTGTATACATAGAATAAGTCCAGGCACACTTACCTACACAAACATGTACCCACACACGCATGAGTCATAAGCAATTAATCTTATCATCGATAAGGCCAAGGGCGGCACATACTTTGACAAGAGATATCTAAACACATTCAGCGAAAAACAGTCTCAACCCAACACTTTTTTAATGTTAAAAAATTTAATGTTTGGTATTAAAACCCTCAGTGTAAAGTATATTCGGAAAAAGAAAAGCTCCAAATGTTTTTGTTTCTTTTCGAGCAATATGCAAATTGGTCTCTAATTTACTATTATTTACCTGTTAAAGTTTATACCTCTATTAGCAAATAACATGACTAAATGTCTTTTAAAACACATATACCCTGTATGGTAAGCACCTTATAACTGTCTAGTTGCCCTATCTGTTATTTGTGTGCACAAGTGGGGAATAACAGGTGCAGAGGAAGACAAAGAAAAGGTAAAAATGTTGCTCTTAATTATTTTATTGGACTTTTTCAGCAATTGCCTTATATACGATAAACACGTATATAACCTATACTATATATATAGTAGATAGAGAGTCAACAAGGTGACACTAGGGTATAAAGATAGCAGGTTAAAGAAAACAGATAAAGCAGGCAGAATGATCGATAAGGGATAAGTAAAAGAGAAAGGAGATAGCAAAAGCGAGATAGAGAGAAAGAGAGAGAATGAGAGAGAATGAGAGAGACAGCTTAACTGATAAGAAAATTGTAAAGTCCTACATTATGAACAAATTAAAGATATGAAGATATTAAGAAATATTGTTAGAGATATGGAACAAGAGAAAATGGGAGAACGACAGCATATGGAGGGAAAGAGGGAGAGAGAAAGGGAGAGACAGATACACGAAGAGAATGACCATGATAAAGAAACAAATGAAAGGATAAAGAAAATATAAATAATCGGGAAAGAGATAGAGAGAGAGAGATAGAAAGAGAGAAAGAGATAGATAGCGAGAGAGAGAGAGAGAGATACAGAGAGATAGAGGGAGAGAGAGAAAAGACAGGTTCACAATTAGAAATTGAAAGAAAACTTTGTTAACGTTTTCTAGTAATCTTTCTTTTGTTACTTTTGCTATGCTTTTTCGGGCTGAAAGATAATCGAATTAATGACTAATACATTAATAAGGAAATGCGCTCATGACAAAATCACAAAATATACAAATAACATATGCTTATCCGAGAGCTAAAACATTGTCTATAACTAAGTTAGGAGAGTCCCAGGTGGGTTTTTAGAGGCAGTAGGGGAAGGGAAACAAGTTTCGAATAGGTCGCCAGCACAAAACGAAACCAAACGACACAAATTGCCGGCCATGACGGATGTGTGGATGTTTTCAAAGGCGGCTTCCAGCCGGGCCCCAAAACCAACGCGTCGATTGTTTTAAGAGATAACAGAAATAAAAAAGAGCGAAACGAAAAACAGCAACAAAGAACTATAATATATGTGAAAATTTCTAACTTTGTCCAATTTACAATTTCCATGGAAGCGCACAATACTTTGACATCATTCAGATATGCGTATTATGTTTTCAGTCATATAATGTATAATATAGTATAGCGTACAGTATAGTATATATATACAATTGGGCATATTAAAAGTAACGCTAGAGTACTAGCTGACAACTGTTTACAGGATACCTGCTAATCGATCACACTTGCTCTTAACTTTTCATACGTTTTGTATATTTTTCATTTTCGTTGTTGACTTTTGAATGATCATTTTTACTTTTCGGGTTTAGTTCTTTTTTTTTTGCTTTGTGGCTCGCTTTTGCGGTGTTTTTCGGTCTCTCTTTGCTTTCTTCGTTCTGCCTACAAAATAGAATTTATTGATAAGCAATGTGCCGCGCAACAAATAGCAGCAGACGCAACAGCAATAGCAATAGCAACAGCAACAATGCCGTTAGCTCGTCGCATTATAACGGTGACGTATGTCCCATTGAATGAGACCCGCAGCTAGCACAAACAGAAACACAATCGCAAGCACACATAACACATACACCAACACACACACACGCACACACACATTACGCATACGTGTATTTCGTTTCAATTAAACTTTTTTTGCCGCTCGTTTATTATGCAATCACAGACATTTTTCAGCGTCTCGCATATTTAATTTGGCATTTTGTTTATTGACTTTCAGACTCCCCCCTCCCTCCGTCTGCCGACGCCCGCCTGTTCTATTAACAGATCAATGATAATTACATGGCCACAACTCAAAATTATTTTTTCAATGAGTTTTTCACTGTGAAAATGTGGCAAAAATTGTTAATTTTCATGGTAGATCAGCTTCGCTGTGGGTCTGCTATTCTGCGGAGTCGACGAGTGCCTAGCTATATTGTTGGAAAAAATGTTTATTGTAATTACGGCAGCGATTTTAGTGCCGCAGCTCTGGAATGATGTCATCCTCGTCGTCAGAGAGTCGGCGACCCACCACGAATTGGAGTTGTGCCACAAAAAAGTAAAAAAAATAAACACGCACATAACCTCACAAACTGGTTATGGGAAAGAATAGCATTTGGTATCGAATTTGAATTTGAGTAACTAAAAAACCAAAAAAAATAAAGAAACAAACTCGTTTCTTAGCCAGACGTAAGTGAGGGACGCAGTCCCAAGGTTAAATTGTGGGGCTGGCAGAGAGGTCAACTGCAGGGCAAATATTTAATTAATTTAAGCCGCGCCCTACTTTAGCGTAGCATTCCGAGTCTCTAACTTAGTCAAAAACGTGCAATGCGACGTCATTGACTGCGCAATACTCTGCACTGCACAGAGAGTGAGAGAGAGGGAGAGGAGTTTGCCTTATTTGGAATTAAATGCAATCAGAACTGTAAATATTGATTTTTGTGACTCTCCAAATTGGGCTGCACTCAATCTTCGAGTCATTGCTAACAGTACGTTTTACTTATACTATATTTATTATATTTTCGACCTACCATGTACATGTTCAAAACTAAAATGCCATTTTTCCTGTGCATACAGGGTATAAGAACCTTGAAAAGGCCAATGCCAAGAGAAGTCAGAGCCAAGCACAGTACGCATTGTCTATGTCCTTGCCCCTGGCCTGCCTAACGCAACTGTGACTGAAATGTGCGTCAAATCCTTGACAGGAAATGTCGAGGACAAAGCTGAAAGCCAGGCAACATTCGAATGACAGCAAACATTTCCAATATATTATGAATAGAACTAAAGAAAAAAGCAAAAAAGCAGATGCCACACGAGAGAAGCAATTGGAATGACACGCCCACACACTCACACGTATACGAAGTTTATTCGTTATTATATTTATGGTAAAGATCCATAACATAATCAAATACATATCCACAAACACGTATATGTATATATATATATATATATATATATACATATATATATATATATATATATATATATATGTGTGTGTGTATATGTATACGTGTGTATATTTAACGAATTACTCATCAAATCTAAATTGCTTGGCAAGTGTTTTTTTAATGAGCTCAACCTGCCGTATACATAATCTCTCACGGGTTTCTACATGAAAGAATCACACCGGAGTGAACATGCAGAGTATGATTGATAGAAATATATGAAATTAAAGTAAAAAGGTTGCTTTTGCAATATACAATTACAAACTTCTACTGAGATGTTTGAGTGAGAGTTGCTTCGAGTATGTAAACTGAAACAGGGTAATCGTTAGTCGTGCACAATTTGCAGACGTCACTTTAACAGTTAATTTTTGGTTTGTTTGCGTCCGCGTTCAGAGTGCTTCCTGTATGCTTATTAGACGGAAAAAGAAAAGTGAGAAGAAAAGTACATCGCAGAGAAGTACGTGAATGCGAGATCTGATGATGACGCTGCGTCTACGAAAATAGCATTCAATTAGTCGAACGGACGTCGCGACGAAGAGGACGTCTCCACTTTCTCATGCAAGTGCTCTGACCTATATAACCCGTCCCAGCCAAAGGGGGCGAGTAAATGAGATGCAGGCGAGTGCACGACGTGAACAAATCAACGACCAAATAAATGAGAAAAGTGCCACAAAGTAAGGAAGCGGCTGCGATGGGGCACTGAAGCGGGGACAGCGCATTGCGCCCCCTTTCATTTTCATTTGTGCTATGCGCGCAACGGGGGAAAACATAAAACAAAAACAAAAAACAAACACAAAAAGGAAACTACGTAAAAAACCACATCGAACATCAAAAACCACAACCAAAAGCGAGGCCCAATACGACGCGAAGTCAATGCTCTGCACATTAATTCATGTTGAGCAGTTGTTTTTGCTGTAATACCCTGCAAACAATGCATACAATCTTAGAGCTTCTAAGATGAGAGAGTTTATAACATGTTTATTAATAAGGCATTAATACAAATTAGTTGTGCAGATATTAAAACATGTATGAAGCAGTAGCATATCTAGCAGGTTACAGGGTATTTGCTGGTCGGGCACTCTTACTAGTCCTAGTGCTGTTGTCTTTCTAGCTATTGTTAAGCCTTTTGAGTAGAGATCGTTGAACGAGCAACGAGCACTGCACATTATGGACTTGTCTCCATATTCGGAGAGGTTGGGGCGGGAGACGGCTGCCCAAGTCAATTAGGCATTTTAAGCACGCACACAACTACAAGTGTTCGCTGGCGCGGTCCAAAAACTGAGAGCCAAGAGCTAAGCACATGAACTTAATTATGGCCAGAGGACCGGACGATGAGCCAAAGCAATTAATCATAAACAACTGTAGAAGAAGAAGCAGAAGCAGAAGGAGGAGAGAAATAAAGAAAGAGAAGAAACTGCAAAAGGGCTATGCAATTACAGAACAAGCTAGAGACTCAGGTTTCCATTAGACTCCCAGCTGCAGTTGGTTCCCAGGGAGCAAGACGAACGGTAAATGTACAGGTATTCATGATGACGACGTCTTAACGGTAAAGTGTGTATTTCTAGTTGCATTTTGAATGTGGCCGCCAATTTGGGGCATTGTCGCGGGACACGGTGGGCCAGTTAATAGGATGGTATTCGAACCAAAAAAACTTGTTCTTACAACAACACTGACGTCATCGCAGCTGAGAGCCAAAATGGGGAGTGGACAACGAAAACCAATCATATGTGTGTGTGTGTGATAGTATCGGAGTGTGGATTTTTAGTGTTTCGCTCTCAGTCGATGGGCCTAACCAGCTGGCCAGTATTGATTAACAATTGCATGCAAATACACACAACACACATACACAACGCAATTTTACTGGTTTTCTTATACAGTGCCATAATACGCTACTAATGCGTTAATACCATCAACTAAACTATATATGTACACATGTGCACGCATACATTCACGACTATGAGAGCAAACACAAAGAGTAAATACAAGAGAGAGAGTGAGTGAGAAAGAGAGCGGACCTGGCCACCCTCTTTCACTGACGTTCGTGGTCTTTGGCTTTGCGCAATTTTGTTCGCTCACACACACACACTTATTCAAACGTACATATATAGACAATCGTATTCAGTGTCGGCATTACAACTACAAACAACTTACCCATTGTGAGAGATACTGTTATACTCTTCACTCTAGCGCCTGCAATATGGGGGAGGGTAACACACAAATACACGCACGTATAGAAAGCAACAACAAGAACGGTATAGGCGCACAGGTCACCACTACTAATTTAGCCAGCCCCTTCACTTCACTTCACTTCACTAACAAATTTTTTCCTCTGTTAGATTTTTTCTATTTGTATCTTTCTCGTATGCATTCGCAATTCACGTGTATTTATGTATCAATTGTAGGTGGCTGGGGCTGTGTGAATGTGTGTATGTATGGTTTTGACGCGAGCTCGATGCGCATTCGGCTTTTCTCCATTCACAAAATGGTATTTATGTCCAAAAAACCAAGAAAATCACTGTGAAATTATATTGTTTTGGGCTTTTTCTGTATGCTTCTTACTACAGTTGCTTAACAAATATAAATTCCAATTTGAAGCTATTCCAAAAAAACCCCCGCGCAGCAACAAACGGCACCGACAAGCGACGACGACGGCAGCAACAAAACGACTATCTTTTAAATGAGCCGCATTGAGAGAATATCTCAGATACAAATAGAGATGTGCTAACCAATCAGACTATCGATAGCCAAACCAACTACCTATCGATTGATAAGGCGGAAGATTTGATTTTGTTTTTATTTTGTTTTTTTTTTAATGCGTTTTGCGTGTACATTTGCACAATAAGCTTTCTTAAACATTATAATAATAATAATAATAATAATAATAATAATAATAATAATAACATTACTAACAAAACTATTACAATTAGAATAAAATTCATAATTTATATTCACCCAATTTGGTGCACGTTTCACAAGTTAAAATTTAATAGTACATCGAGATTTTGCATAGTTTAAAAGTACATACATACTTAGTTAATTATATGAATCATATACAGATATAATTACCCAATTTACTTCACTTTTTCTTATTTCTCAATTTCCATTCGCATTTCTAAAAGATTATCTTTTTTAAGTAATTTAAGCTACTTTTTAATATTGAATTATAATTGTTTTTCTGTTTTTTAATAATGTTGACAATGTATGCCTGTGCGCACCCAGAGACACGCGAATAAATTTGGCTAAAATCCACTCAGGGTAATGTGGAAACGGATATGAAATATGTGTGCAGGTATATATATATACAGAGATAGATATATATATTTATATGTTGACGCATATATATATATATATATATATATATATATATATATATATATATATATATATATTATTGAATGTATGTATTTTACTATATTGCTGCTTAACCCTTACTTTGCCTGAAACTACAACTTAATAACTGTTATGCATATATTTATATAGATATACACTCATACATTTATATATATATACTATATATATCTCTCTATTTAGATTCCATTTGCTAATTGCATGTGTATAGGATCAATCGAGTACAACTGTTGCCTGCTACCAAATTAAAATATATATATAAATTACTTTTGTTTCTTTGTTTTTTTTTTCACTGTATATGTTTAGGCTTTCATAACCAATCCATTTCCAATCCATTAATCAAGCGGGAAATTTCAGTTACAGAAGACCTTTGACCTTTGTCGCCGCTATTCCTCATCCGAATCCCCATCGCTCGAATAGTGGCTAATCTGCGGCCTACGCACAAAGGGTGCAGTTATCACTTGTCTACAAGTTAAATCAATAAATCAAACTATTTAAATGTATAATTTAGATATAAATAATATATCTATGAATTTTATTGGACTTACGCAATGCGTCTATAATGATTCAGCCATTCCTCCAGCATTTGTGCCACCAGCAGCGGTCGCTTGGATAGCTTTTGCTGTGCCACCAGCAGCCCTCCATCTGTGACACACACATCCAACCATTGACGCATCATTGTTTCCTCATTGCCCACCTGTAAGCGAACAACAGTGAAATCTCTAATTAAGATTTTATCTTCTGTTGATTAACACTCACTTCCGATTGTGTAAGAAAGTGTATGGGCAACAGCTTCAGTTCGCAGTCCATTAAGGGCAGATAAGTGACATCCTCGGCATCATCCCGCCGTCCATCGATACGAGAGAATGGCTCCATGGGCACCAGGGCGCTAAAGTGACCACGTGTATAGCCCAACGCAATGGGCGATTTTGTACAAAAGTTTTGTTCCCAGAATAAAGGTAGATAGACTCCTAGAAATAAACAAATATAAATGATTACAACAAAAAACAAAAGCACAATTATTTACAATCTGTGGCAGTTACAGACGCAGATACAGATATGGATATATGTCTTAATAAGCCAAAAATATTTTATATGCTCTTTGAAGGCCTTATTTAATTGGTTTGATTTATAGCTTCTCATGACAAACGCACCTTCAAATCGAGCATAGCCAATATCTTCGCCACGAAAGCTCTTCACGTATTTAACACCATAGACAATGATTGGACGTCTTAATATGTGGGCCAGGGCAAAAATGTGTAACTGCTCCAATGAAGAACCCGGTTGGCTGGCCAAAGAGAGTAGCGTGCTCCAATCCTCCTCCCATTGTGAATCCTCCAGCGTAAAGTGCAGCATTGATGCCTGCAGCATTTCATATTCTTTCCAGCGGGTAAAGAAACTATGGAATATAAATCAGACTATGAGGAAACTTACTTGGAGCTAACATTAGATAGGCACACTTACACATGTCCACACTGATGTAAAGTGTCAGCCAGGGCGCGCCGAAGTATGTTGTCGCGATCGAAGACTCCCCAGGTGGCCTGCATTGCTGAGTCGAGCAGACAATCCCCGGCACTGCGATTCCAAAGTACCAAAAGACGTGAGCTTAGCCTGGCGGTTATCTCCAGCGACCAATTAAGTGCCGGCGGCGGCATTTCCAACTGTTTCTGTGCATCGCGATCGAGAAGTTCATCGTAAAGCTGCTCCTGTATAGGAATGGGCAGCTCTTCAATCTCTGAGGGCAGCGCGAATGTAGCATGTTTCTGAACATAATGACAGGGCAGGCCGGATTTGCGTATGCGTAGCGTGTTGGAGAAATGGCGACGTATATCCGCTGCCAGATCGGGTGCCACATACGACGGCACACGTTTAATACCCGGCCCAGAGCCAGAGATCTGTGCCAACAGCATCGGCAGCATTTCCTCGCGATGGAAACGTATGGCTAGATGAATGAGCGTGTGACCCACATCGAAAGCCGAATTCCGATTCAAGGCGGCAATTTCATTGCTGGTCAACGAACGAGCTGGATTGCCACCGCACGAGAGATACGCCTCCACAGCACTGTAATTATTCTCCACAACGCCAAGACAGGCATTAAGCCACTGCCAGTCGACCTGGCGCCTTATCTGACGCTGACGACGCTCCTGGCGTTCTTGTAGCGTATCACAGTTGTTGATGGTTTCCGAGGAACCTGTTTAAAGGAAATAAAGATACATAATTATATAGATATGCACAGAAGGGTGGAAACTGAGCTACTACTCACCTAGTTGATAAATATGCTTCTTATTGACCGAATTGTTGACACTGACAGTGTCCGTGTTTATCTGCTGCTGTTGCTGTTCCTCGTGCTGATTTAGCTGCTTGTTGCTGCCGGAATTACTGGCACATGCATGCAAGTCGGACTGTGAGCCTGAGTTGCTCAATTCCCTCGTTTTGCCGCACATGGAGCACTTGAGACTCTTGGGCCAGTTCTCGTATGTGCACGACTGTTGTAAAAGATACATCAATTTGTAATATAAATGAATATACTAGTTAAAGCTGCTCACATTGCACGCCCATTTAGCCACATGGCATAGCTTCTGCTGCGCAGAAGAAATTTGGTGGTGGTGGTGCTGTTGCTGCTGTTGCTGTTGGTTTGTTAACTGTTGCTGCTGCTGCTGCGGTTGCTGTTGCTGGCTGTGAGATGTATTGGCTATATTATTGAGATGCGTTGAATTGCTGCAGATTTGCTGCTGTTCCAAGCTGGGACTGGCATTACGTCGATTTAAATTGGAAGCAACAGCGCCAATTAACTGCCTACTGCCATGTTCCGTGGCATTGAGATCCGTATCGGAGCCGCTAATGCGTAAAGCTTGCAGCGCTTCGCCGGCCTCATTGGTCTCTTTATCTGCAGCTCCTCGTTTCGTGCAGCATTGCACACAGCGTAGGCTGCGTGGCCAGTTTAGATAGGTGCACACTTTGCAGGCCCATTTCTCGCTATCAGCTACGTTGCTGTGCCGCGTCTGCTGAGGCTGGGACTGGGACTGGGATTGTGGATGCTGCTGTGATGGGCATGCAAAGCATGTGGATGTGGGCTCGACTGGCAGACCAGCTGCCGCCTCTTCTGCATTGTTGTAGTTGTCGTGTATTGTCTGCGCTGGACTGAGACTGTTTCAACGGATGAAAATTTGTGTATTTACCAATGGCTTACGTTTTCTTAAATATCATATGCTTTACCGAAAAATATCCTCGTTCAGCAACGGTTTGGATGCCTGGCACATTGTGCATTTTAGTGATGATGGATAATTCTCATAGGTGCATATTTCACATTTCCATTTCTGCGCCTTGTCGCTGGTATCGCACATCTTTTGCGGCGACAAAGACAAACAAATTGGCTTTAAGCTCTGGCTCTCGACGTGTTACGGACTTCCACTTTTCCACCACTTCTTCACTTTCGACAAAACTTTCGACTTGGACGGCCAACTGTTTCGTAAATTAAACGTTAAAATTATATATATAATAAACAAATTTATGTATGTCAGTACACAATATACTTTAATTGCGCTTACAAAGCGACCTTGAACACCCAATCCCCAACCCCCAAGCCTAGTAAGATATAAGACTAGATATTAACAATTCGCTCGATGATTTGATTTCTTTTTGTAGGGTAATTATATTTTTTGTTCAATTGTGTCAAATATTGTAAGAGACAGCTTTACATGAGAATATAAACGACGAAAATAAATATAGAATTTTTTTCTATTTTTCTATCTATTTGAATCTTTATTTTCAATTTAACAAAATATATTTTTAATTTAAAGACATCATTCGTTTTTCTATCTTCTTTAATCTTAACGTAAAGGTCTGAAGTTTTTAGATATGTCCTTTTTTGGTACAACTTACAAATCAGAGAGCTTTAAGTTTTTCATATAAAACATCTTTTTGTTATTCAAATTAAGCAATCCAATAAACTTTTAGTATGCATCTGTTTAAGTCATATTAAGTAGAGAAAAGGGTATTCAATCTTCGAATTTTTTTTTTCTCTTTCTTCACTCTCGTCACAGGCAGCCTTCATTTAGCTGGGCTGCCTGCGATTGTTTGCAGCGTGCAATGAGGGGCAAGGGTAGGGGGCAGGGGATGAGTTTGGGTGTATGTTATTCGATGTAAATAGTTTCGCGCGAGTTTTTTCTGTTCTATATTCTTCTTCTGTCGTATTGATGGTACCTGGCGCAAATAATACAAGGCCAATTCAGGGGGTACGACGCGATTTTTGTATATATATTTATATATACATATGTATAACAAAATAGACAATAAGCGAGCAAAATTGATGTCAGCCACGAACAGCGCTCATACCGTGTGAATATTGGCTCAAAAATGGCAGCCAAGAAAAAAACAATTACAATTACAAAACAAAGACGAGAAAACTTTCACTCGTTGGGGCTTTTTTAGTTTTTTTGATTGGAACAAAACAACAAATTTGGTTGGACTTGCCCTTGCTGGACTGTGGCTGAACGCACAGTCTGCTTATTTGCGAGCACACAAACACAGCACAATTTGGAAATTTGGAATTTTAATTAAACCTCGTAGCGTAGCTGTTGTGTTACATATTAATTAAACGTCGAAATTTTTTTTCTTTTTTGTATTTATCGTCACATCATCTATCAGCTGCTGCATACGAAACTTATCAATATATATCGATAACATTAGCATCGATTAACGAGAAGCTGCAGCCCTGTGGCAGCTGCAGCCCTGTGTAGTAAAATGCTTACAAAAGTGGCGGTAATATATTTTGCGCTGAGTGAATATGTAAAATTATTTTAATTCAATAAATTAAAACTGCTCTCATTAAAAATGGTTAAATCAATTAAAATAAAACTACGCAGAGTGTGTGCTGCAAATATAAGAAACATTTCAACAAATACCCGGAGCATTTCAACAAAGTTAAACAACAAAGTTATCTTGGAAACAACAAACACATCTAATTATAAAGTTGTAAAATTTGCTAAATCAATTCCTGTACGCAATTGCATTGTGCGACTTAAACGATTTAAACATCAAACGAAGGATGTCCCGAAGTACGATATAAGTAAGACGCTAGCAACTGCGCAATTAAAAGACGCGATCAGGGAACACCGGGATGATGCGCAAGAAAGCAGTTGTGAACTGCACTCAGGTAAGAAACTAAGTAAATGTACAATATTCATATAATTACGTTAATTTTGATAATACCACAACAGGTGGTTTCCAGAATATCGGAAATAATGAAGAAAATGTTGATATATCAAATGTCCAAATATCACCTGCGAAAAAGCAAAATCTAGACAGGCAACAAGCGACGACTTCCAGCCACTTTCTTTCCGCATGTCACTCAGGTAAACAATTAACTAAAACTCCTTATTTATCTAATTAGTCAAAACATGTTAGATTTCACAATGAAACCTTGTCGCGTACGCGTGCTTCGCTGTTCGATTATCCGGGATATTGCCGAGAAGCAGTCCGAGATCGAGGACACACCTCCTGCCCAACTCACCGATCTTCATAAGAACCATTTGGTCGACAAGTCCGCAAGGAATTCCATTGAACACGAAGGTAAGCAATTAAAGAAATCTACAATGTTTAACTAACTACTTAAAAATTTAAGAACGTGTCGCCATAACACCATGTGGAGAGAGGATCTTGGATACCTCGAATATCCAGGAAACATGCAAGGATAAACAGGAGAACTGTGTTATTCCACAGAGTGTAAAGCGCTTTTTTCATCGCGATCAGCCTCCAGCTAGAACACGTTCCTCTATTACGCGCCATGTTTATGAGTTTCTCTCCCAATCTGAAATCAAAGACAATGAAAAGCCCGACCCGGCGGCGGATATAATAAAAAATATGATCGCAACTGGTCGAGCATGTGCGATGATTCGTTCAAAGACGGGCAAAACAAGAGCACGTGCTGTCCGTAAAAAAGTGCGTCCAATAGGCAAACGAAAACAGTGCTCCACGAGGAACACGGTTGAAAAGCAGCCAATCATTGTCCAGGAGGCGGAACAACGACACCTCTCACCCATCTGCGAGCAGCAAACTGATTTAAGTAAAGATAATGATGACAATGCGTCGGTACACGTAGAGGTGCCCGTCCAAATGCCACAAATAGCTGCAATGGCTAATAAAACAATAGCAGAAGGTGCGTACAGTCCATTGGCGCGCTCTCTTATGATCAATCAAACCAAGGAGCAGCAATCCATGGAAAGGCGCCTAGAGCTGCTGCATATGGCCAAGAGATTTATTAGCACTCCGTTGAATCGGAAGAGTAACACAACTTTGGATGCTAATACAACGATATTTTCACCAGTGTTAAAGAATTCAGCCAAAGGACAATTGGCTCCGGCAGCTACTGTGGCTACTCGCAGTGACACCAAGTCTCCTTGGCGTGTGCAGGGTGAGACATCTTTGCCTAATACCTTTGCGTTCGGTCTTAACACATCCCAGTTGCCTTCCTACTCAAGTGACTTTATACGCCATCGTCATGTCTATTTACCCGATGAGCCCGTTTGCTCATTCTCCGGTTCTATTGAGCAAAACACTAGCTCCTTTGGCAATGATTCGAATGGCGAAAATGTTCCACCAGCGGTAGTGGTAACTAAAGCATCCAGTGACGCGCAGTCGGTGAAGACAATCAAGCCAATTAACGATCAAGGGAATGAAAATGTAGAGAATCTTGTGCAATTACCAAATCCGCGAAAAACGTTGCAGCATCGTAGTCCTCTGAAGGACATCAATATCTTGGAAGTAGTTGTACTGCCACCGTGGAAGAAAAATGGGCAATTTAGCAAGACGCCCACAAGAGAGCTCGTGCATCAATTTCAGGAGCAGGAACTTAACAGTAACAGTCCAAGGTATCTGAGCACAAATAACAAGCAGCCGCAACAGCAGCAGCAGCCTTGCAATCTGTTTGGATTCGAGGATTTTCTTAGCGAGGAGGACGAAGAACAACTCAGTGTCCATGAGCCCAGCCAACATGTGACGCTACACGAAAGGCTGCACCGCCTAAAGAAGCTGCGACCTGCACAGCAGGAACTGCCGCAGGTATCGCAAGTACCTATTCGGCATGCCCACGACGCTCTTAAAGCGCGAGAACCTCGGCAGCATAACATCAAGGAAATGTTCTGTTCGACAATGATAGACAAGCCAGCGATGAACGAATCGGTAGCGTTATTTAGCGATTTCGAACCAGAGACAACCTTCGATGAAAAGGTGAGCATTAACATAGTCCCTAATCCGTTTTGCGCTTAACAATCACAGGACGTGTTTTAGAGTTAAACATCTTTGTTTATTGTGATTGCGCTATATTAAATCAAATTGAAATGGTTATTTATTTTGATTGAGCCAACAGGGCCGCAAAGACTTAAGCTCATCTTTAAGCGGTAGTAAGTAGCTCGCACAATATAAAATTAATTGTTTAAAAAGGGTATATGATAAGAAAACCGCTAATCAGATCTATTTGAAACTCTGCAGAAACCACGTCGCACCTACATATCAGAGAAACCGAAACGGAAGCGGAAGCAGCGTGTGCATGTTCTCTTCATGGACACAGATTCGTCGGAGAATGAAGACGATCACGGTTCAAAAAACAATAGTGACCAATCGCCGAAACAGGCAGTGCATCCGCATAAGCGAACGCGTAGGGATGCGGAACATGATGCCAAATTGAAGCAGTTCATTACGAGCTTCAATCAAGAGTGTGAAGAGGTGGAAAATTTTCCACTGATCATCGAATAGATGGGATTTAAACGCAGGCGTTAATTCATTTGTTGTCTCTTAACATATTTTTTTATATACTCCAGTGCACATAAACATTAACTTTAATTGATTATGCATTTCAAATTTGTTTCACTAAGCTTAGAAATGTAGTTTAAATATATGATATAAGTGGATTGGATGCGTAGTAGAATGGCAATACATATTTATTTGGCTTTCAGTTAATAAATTATTTACAAGTGTGAACAAATTATGAAAATGTATTACTCTTACAGTACTACATTTATAAATTGTATATAATTGTTTTATTAAGTGGCAGCTTTACCAGTCAGCTGTGCTTGACATAGTGGCAACACTATCCGAGCAGCTGTGTATGACAGGGGCAACACCGCGGTACAAGCCAACAAGCTTTTATTATTTTTAAAATCCAAAATACAACAATGGAGCCACCGTATGCACCTTTAAGTGAGTCCTGTGCCAAAGCATTGGGCGATAAAGTCTACGACAAGCGAAAGGTAGCCTCACAGGAGATTGAAAAGTACATAATGCAAAAAAAACGCCCACTTTACAGCTGCAACGGACTTACTAATAATTTATTATCCTACAGAATGGTCATTGAGTTTAATAATAAGAATAATGCAACACAAATACGAAAGCTGATCGAGGTGCTCTCCAACGACTATGCCACGTCACGTGATGCCAATCGGCGCAAAGGAGCGCTCATTGGGTTGGCTGCCACGGGCTTGGGGTTGGGAAAGGTAACAATTTAATAACTATTAGTCATGGGTATACCGTAATATATATGATGACGAATTTCTTGTATTATTTGTAACCGGAGGTAGATAGATAGCATTACAACAGGCTCTTCTTTATAAAGAATGTATGACATCGACTCTATCTCAATCGTTATCTTTTTCCAAGGATTCGGATAAATACGTGAACGAGCTTGTGACGCCCATTATGAACTGTTTGTCCGATCCTGACTTGCGTGTACGTTACTTTGCTTGTGAGTCCCTATACAATGTGGTTAAAGTAGCCCGTGCAGCCATTATACCCTACTTCCCAGAGCTATTCGCTGCTTTATCGCGTTTGGTCACCGACTCCGATCAAATGGTGAAGGATGGCAGCGAGTTGCTGGATCGCTTGCTAAAGGTTTTGGTTTTAACCATTATATTATAAAATTACAAATAGATTTATTGATGTATTTCCTTAGGACATTGTTACTGAATCGTATGAGACCTTCAATCTAGAGGCCTTTATTCCCCTGCTTAGGGAGCGCATGTATGTGAACAATCCCTTTGCACGTCAATATGTTATTTCGTGGATCTCAATTCTAAATGCTGTACCCGATATTAATATGGTTAATTATTTGACCGAAATACTGGATGGTCTCTTTGTGATGCTAGAGGATAATACGCCGGAAATTCAGCGCATGTGCGAGAATACGATTAGTCAGTTCTTAAAGTCTATACGCAATGATTCTTCCTCAGTACGCATGGAGGAGACTATCAACACGTTGATTACACACGCACAATCGCTCAATGAACTAATCAAATCCATTGCTATTTCATGGATTAGAGAATTTGTTCAAATATTTGGACCTAATGTGTTGCCTTATGCGAGTGGCATATTTACGGCCATTTTGCCATGCCTTGAGTACAATGTGGAGTCCAAGCGCAGTGAGTACAATCAAGCAGAGATCATTAATCAGTATATTAAAGTATTTTATTTTAGGCATAAAGGAGTGCGCTGTCTCTGTGAACAACTCAATGATGCAGCTGGTCTCTTCAAAGGAGTTGAAAACTCAGAATGTGGCCAACATTGATTTACGTTCGATTATGGAGGTGCTCTCGCAATATCTCGCGCACAACTCAATGCATACAAAAATTGCAGTGCTCAAATGGATTCATCATCTCTTTTTAAATTTTCCCAATGAAATGGCGCTGCACGACAGCAATTTGAACAACAATCTGTTGGCCACACTGTCGGACAACTCGGATGAGGTGGTACTGCAAAGCTTATGTGTGCTGGCCGAGATTATCAATTCTCAGGATACAAGGGGTGGGTCACGTGGTATTTCAGTTATTCAACAATACATTATTAATTTGTTTGTGTAATTCTTCAGAACTAGATGATTTCAATAAGCCACATTATCGCAAATTTTTGCTGAGCTTGTTGAATCTGTTCAGCGAAGACAAACTGATATTGGAAAACCGAGCTAGTCTTATTATAAGGTATATTCGTGAATATTTAAAAATATTTTCTTAGCTTTTATGCTTAATTGATCAATTCTTTTTAGAAACCTTTGTGTTCTTCTGAATGCTGAGTACGTTTATCGCACCTTTGCCGAGATCATAGCTGAGGAAGTGCCCAATTTAAAGTTTGCTTCTACGCTTGTGCGACTGTTAAACAATATATTGTTGACCTCAACCGAACTGTTTGAGTTGCGCACTAGCTTGCGCGAGATATCGGATGAGAAATCAGCGGATCTGTTTCAATGCCTTTACAAAAGCTGGGTCTGCTGCCCAGTGTCCACCCTGTCCCTTTGTTTAATAGCTCAGTGCTATCAGCATGTCTCTGAGCTGGTCATTCTATTGTAAGTACCAAGTTCTTACTTTCCTCTATATCCTATGTAACGCATTCTTCTTTAGCGCGGATGTTGAAATCACGCTGGAACTGCTCTGCGAATTGGATAAGCTAGTGCAGCTTATTGAATCTCCAATATTTGCTGCACTGCGCTTAACGCTTGTGTCCAAATCGAATAATTGTGCAGATGCGCAGTATCTGGCACATGCCCTCTTTGGCATACTTATGTTGCTGCCGCAAACTTTGGCCTTTGAAACGCTCCGCAATCGCCTGCAATGTGTGCCCACCTATTGGGCTCGAGAGCCCATGTGAGATACCCTTAATTTATTTGCTATGTAAACATATATAAATGTTTTTTTTTTACAGCGACGAGCGTAACTCCTTGGAGTATAAGAGCGGCATCGACTTTGTATCACTTCGCGTCCATTTCATCGAACGGCAAAAGTCTCAGCGGGCTCAGCGTCTAATACAACGGAAACGTTCGGTAATTACGCCGGATTGTAACTAATTTGATATATAAAGAAGTATTTTATAAGTTAACAATAGGCATAAAGCGTAATTTTTATCCAAATATAAATGTATGTCCTGTTCGAAAAAAAAGCGCCGATGCTAGTTTCTGTAAAGGAAAAAATATTTGTTGTTTGTTAAGGATAGTTGACTCAGAACTGAATTCAAAGCTAGATTACACTTTTTTGTTAAAGATGTCCTTTTATTTGTGTTTTTATATAAGTAGCAAGAGCTATATGTTATAGTGGTAAAAAATGTATATTATTTTTTTATGGCGCCCATGCGACTAGCATCCTGACTGGGGTAAGGCATCTGTCCAGGCGGCGGTGGAATCGAATCGAGATTCACACCAGAGGTACTTGTGGATGTGGTACTTAAGACCGAGGCTGCGCCACTACTAGTGCTGCTGGCCAGTCCACTGTAGGGCGCCGCAAAAGTGGGCTGGGAGTACATCTGGTAGGCGGAAGCTGGAACCAGATTAGAGGGCAACTGATGGAGTTTCATGCCAGCGGGCATGACGTTGATTTGCTCCTGCCGCAAATTAAAGTAGTCGTTTGGCTTAGCACTCGGTGGTGGTACACCGGCAACATCGAAACGTCGATCTGTCTTGGCGGCGGTGCCCTGTTTTGCCTGAGAGTGTGCCCACTTTATGCTCACCTTCCGACCCTGAATTACCAGTTTGTTGAAGGTGCGCTCGGCAGCTAATTCAGCGGCGCTCCGCTTGGTGTATTGGACAAAAGAGCACTGCTGACGTGGCACCAGGGCAATGGAACGTATTTCGCCGTACTGATAGAATTGATCACGTATTTCCGGTTCGGTGATTTCTTCAGGTAAATTTCCGACATACAGTGTTGTTATATTCCGGTCCTCCGGCGGCTCCAGTGTGGGCAATGAGGCGGCACGCTTCATTATCTTTTCGGCAACAGGATCGTTGCGACCGTAGTAGCGGTCTTTGATGTTCTGCTCGCACAGCGGATCATCAGGCTCGTTAGGTTTGTCATGCCGATAGGGACACTCCTCGCCTCGTTTGCACTCGCCCTTCACCCAGAAAGAACAGATGTGCGGCCTATTCCTTTTATAATATGGCGCTGTGCGTGCCAATTTGGATAACATTTCGTTTGCCGCCAGTGAGCGACCCACAGTGCCAGCTGCTTCAGTGCCATCCCCGTCCTGGAGCTGGGCATCAATGTTCTGTATGTAGTACTCCTTGTTGACATCACTCTGTGGCATATTGTCTGCCACTTTGAGTGCAGCATCGCGCACTTGGATGGGCAGACCGTACTCCAAATCGAGTAAGCATGTCTGACACACGTTTTTCAACCGGGCACACGTCTGGCAGACTTCCGTTTTCTTAAAGCGCATTCGTGCACCGGGGCACCAACGGAATATGGTAAAAGGACGCGTGCAGATTTTGCATTCCTTTCCAAAACGCTCCTTGATCATGCGCACGTACGGATTATCGCCCAGGCACGTCTGGCAGAGTATTGGAAACTCGGCGTCCTCCCAATTCTGCCGGTTATATGTGTTTGTTGTCTTTGACATAGACATGACAACGACCAGTTAATTTTGCTATTTTATTTTAAAAAAAAAGTACAATGCACAGTTTTCGAATGGTTGTAATAAGTTTAGTTGGACAACTATGCAATATATTATTTGTCCGATAATTTCATACAAAATTTTCAATGCTAAGTTGATAATATATCGGAATAGCAAAAGTGGCAGCACTCATTCACGGTTGACTTGGGCATTTAATTTTGGAACAGTGTAGCTTAAATAAATATTGAACTTTAAATGGTTTGGGTAATCAAATAAATAAATCTATTATAATTCGATTTGGCATAAAAATGTTAAGTTGGATTCATACTGACCAATCTGGCAATGCAGAAATTTAAAAAATTGTTTTCGGTGTTGCCAGACAGTCTAATTTTAAGATTTCGGTTTTATGAATTTGCTGCCATATGGCAGCACCGTGTTACCGAAAACGTTTGGTTGCAATCGAAAATATAAACAATACTAAGAATTCATGCAATTAAATAAACATGGGCCCACCTATCAAGCGCTATAGACGTAACTCAAAATCATCAGATGAAGAAGAAAAGGAGGACAATTATGTGCCCTACATACCAGTTAAAGAGCGGAAGAAGCAACATTTGATGAAGCTGGGCCGCATTGTTCAGCTGGCAACGGAGACAACGCAGCCAAAATCTTCTAGTGAAAATGAAAACGAAGATGACACACAAGGCGCCCAGGATGCAGAGACTTGGGGCCGCAAATACAACATCAGCTTGCTGGATCAGCATACAGAGCTTAAGAAAATTGCTGAGGCAAAAAAGTTGAGCGCCGTAGAAAAACAGCTTCGCGAGGAGGAAAAGATCATGGAGAGCATTGCGCAGCAGAAGGCACTGATGGGTGTTGCAGAGTTGGCTAAGGGTATCCAGTATGAGGAACCAATTAAGACCTCATGGCGACCGCCACGCTTCATAGAAGCTATGCCGGAATCTGAGCGGCAGGCAATACGCAAGCAGCTGAGAATCTTGGTCGAAGGCGAAAATGTTAGTCCACCCATTCGCAGTTTTCGCGAGATGAAATTTCACAAGGCCATTCTGAATGGACTAGCCGCTAAGGGGATAAAGAAGCCAACACCCATTCAAATACAGGGTCTGCCAACGGTACTTGCTGGTCGCGATTTGATTGGCATTGCCTTTACAGGTTCCGGCAAAACATTGGTATTTGTGTTGCCCATTGTAATGTTTGCACTAGAACAGGAATTCCGTCTGCCGTTCGAACGAAACGAGGGTCCGTATGGCCTCATCATATGTCCGTCCCGTGAGCTGGCCAAGCAGACCCATGAAATCATTCAGCACTACAGTAAGCATCTGCAGATGTGCGGCATGCCCGAGATTCGCTCCTGCTTGGCTATGGGCGGTCTGCCTGTAAGCGAAGCGCTAGATGTGATATCCCGTGGAGTGCACATTGTGGTTGCCACTCCTGGACGACTCATGGACATGCTGGACAAGAAGATATTAACGTTGGACATGTGCCGGTATCTTTGCATGGACGAGGCGGATCGCATGATTGACATGGGCTTCGAGGAGGATGTGCGCACCATATTCTCTTTCTTCAAGGGTCAGCGACAGACGCTGCTCTTCTCTGCCACAATGCCCAAGAAGATTCAGAACTTTGCTCGTTCCGCGCTTGTCAAACCGGTGACTATTAATGTGGGACGTGCCGGTGCCGCCTCCATGAATGTTACCCAGGAAGTGGAGTATGTGAAGCAGGAGGCCAAGGTGGTCTACCTGCTGGACTGCCTGCAAAAGACCGCACCTCCAGTACTTATTTTTGCCGAAAAGAAACAAGACGTGGACACTATACACGAATATCTACTGCTCAAGGGCGTCGAGGCTGTGGCCATACACGGTGGCAAGGATCAGGAGGAGCGTTCACGTGCGGTCGATGCATACCGTGTGGGTAAAAAGGATGTCCTTGTTGCCACCGACGTGGCCTCCAAAGGTCTAGATTTTCCCAATGTACAGCATGTGATTAATTACGATATGCCTGACGATATTGAGAACTATGTGCATCGCATTGGACGAACGGGTCGTTCGAATACCAAGGGATTGGCCACAACACTGATAAACAAGATAACAGAGCAATCTGTTCTACTAGATTTAAAACACCTTCTCATCGAAGCTAAGCAGGAGGTACCCGACTTTCTTGACGAACTGGCGCCCGAGGCGGAGCATCAGCATTTGGATCTGGGCGACTCACATGGCTGCAGCTACTGCGGTGGTCTCGGCCATCGTATTACTGAATGCCCCAAATTGGAGGCGGTGCAAAGCAAACAAGCCTCTAATATTGGCAGACGCGATTATTTGTCCAACACGGCTGCCGATTACTAAATACAGTCCATATATAACACAAAAATATAAAAAATATAATCTAAATGGTATGGTAAGAAAGAAAGGGGGGAAAGAAAAAATTTAGAAAATAAAAAAAATTTACACTATCTTACAAAATATACAACAAACTTAAGAGCTAATTGTGTACTGATCTAAAAAGTAATACAAATCATATTAATATATTTATGATTTTTAATATTGTTTGAATGTTTAAAGAGATAATATTGTAGTATCAACAAATGAACTAAGCATTTAAGATATTTACACTACTTAAGAAAATATGAAAAATGATCTAGAAGTAAAAACAATTCTAAAATGTATCATCTGTTATAAAGTGTAACCAAGCTTACTTGTACTTGGGTTCACAGAATTAAAAGCTGGGTATTCTCTGATTTATAGACTTGCGACCCCTAACCCGGTTTCTAGGAAAGCTCATATTGTGTTTTTCAATTGTTTACAGTTATGATTTGCAAAATGTACTTTTTGTGAGTTGCGACCGAACTTATGTTCTCAGCTGCGTCTTATCAAACAGGAGAGAGTGCGAATGCGCTTGAGTTTGATTTGGTTTCGAGCGGCTTTTTATAAAGACAACAAGAATCGTCACGTTTCGTTCAGTGTCTCAAGCGTCGTTGCTTCGATCACTACGCACGAGAGCCGCGAGTTTGTCAAATCGCTTCCAAAGCCTGGAAGCTTTCAGTTCATCTTGTTGACCGAAGCGTAAGTGATTTATTTGCTTAATGTGAATGTGTGTGTGTGTATTTGTAAAGCCGAGAAAACAGATGTTCAGCTTACAACTGAGAGAAATTGAGATAAATTCAATTAGAAACTATACCATTTAATATTGTTAATATATGGTACACTTAAATGATATTGACTTAAAGGCACTAAATATCTACTGATAACCTTTGTTTGTGATTCGGTAAATCGAAGCATTGCTCAATTGAAAATTGTCTTAGGCTCTAAAATATATATGTACATATATACAGTATAGCAATTAAATTATATTTTGTGCTGATTATCAATTGTTATCAATTGCTCTGAGCTTGGCTTTGTAGCTTGTTTACAGTTATGTTTTTCAAATGTACTTATGTTCTCAACTGCGTCTTATCAAACAGGAGAGAGTGCGAATGCGCTTGAGTTTGATTTGGTTTCGAGCGGCCTTTTATAAAGACAACGAGAATCGTCAAGTTTCGTTCAGTGTCTCAAGCGTCGTTGCTTCGATCACTACACACGAGAGCCGCGTTTGTCCAGTCGCTTCCAAAGCCTGAAAGCTTTCAGTTCATCTTGTTAACAGAAGCGTAAGTGATTTATTTGCTTAATGTGAATGTGTGTGTGTGTATTTGTAAAGCCGAGAAAACAGATGTTATGTTTACAACTGAGAGATAAATTGAGATAAATTCGATTAGAAACTATATCATTTAATATTGTTAATATATGATACACTTAAATGATAATGACTTAAAAGCAATAAACACCTATAGATAACCTTTGTGACACGCTGAATCGAAGCATTGTTCAATTGTACATATACACAGTATAGAGTATAGTAATTATATTATACTTTGTGCCGATTATCAATTGTTATCAATTGCTGTGAGCTTAGCTTATCTTGGGTTAAAGCCTTCAGACTCTTAATTGATAGACCACTATATACAAGCCAATACAGTTTTGTTCATAAGAATAATAGTACTGTAGCACACAAACCATTGACCAAATGAAAAAGTTGTTTTCTCGCTGAAAAATAAGAAAGGCCCGTTTCTATCCACATTTAAGACAACAATCTTAATATTTGTTTCAAATTGTTTAAAAACGCTACACTAGTATTTTACTGTTACTTAAGTTACTTAAGTCTTTATGGGTTTATAGGCTTCAAGTGTTGTTAGTTTTAGGCAAAAAAGCTCGAAGCTTTTCTAGGCATCTATGCATTAGTAGCTTCTTAAATATGTTCAGTTGTCCACAATCTCGCATGCTCCCTGCCAGACTCCCATCTGGATCGACAGATATATTCTTTTTTATTCTTATATACATATTCTTAGTTTGATGATTACAAGTTATAAACCAATCAAAAATATATATTTTAAGTGTAAATGTATGTACACAGATAAGAGGAAGTAATATTATTTACTAGTTAGTGTTTATTTTTCTTAACACATTTATAATGACATATTAAAACGCAGTAGTTCTTATCTCTTTTAATATGCATATATATTCAAGTAAATATTTATTTATGTGTTAACAAGTTTTTAAGCACTTTTCCCTAATGAGTGTTTAAGCATGAATTTTTGTGTTCTTTTTGTGCTGCTTCTTTTGTATCCGCTGTAGTTAACAATTGTCGGATGAGTGATCTATGTGGAGGCTTACGTATGCGTGAGCTATAATACCTGGAATACCTATTGTGAGATATTTGAAATTCAAAGCACATCGTATGAATATATATATATATTTCTGTACAGCTAGTCCAATAACAGGTCGAACTTGAAAATGGCAAATAAACAATGTGAATGTTGTCGTTTATCATAAATCATAAATATATATATATATATATATATATATATATATATATATATATATATATATATATATATATATATATATATATATATGTATATAGCGTTTTTCAATGCTCGTGACCTAGTTGAGAAAAGAGAAAAGGGCTTGCCGATGGGGCTATCTCTTTAATCGTGATATCATACGACACCCAAATGTCGTCATGCTGCAAAACTAATTACTTAAAAAATATAAAGAAAATAAAAAATATACAAATAAAACGTGCGTGACGCGTTTTAATTGACAGCTTCAATGAGTGCTATAAAAACCCAACTATATGTTGCTTTTATCTGAGCATCTTAACATGTTTAAACTAGCTTAAAGTTTAGATTTAAAATTTTTCGTTTATAACAAAAGAAATCAACTTAACGAAGCACGTTCAAAGGAAGTCTATTAGTTGGAGTTCTGAACCGGTTCTGATTAACTTTTTGGTAATAATATTACTTTTCCTATTTGACCTATGTTTATCATTTTGTTACCTCTAATGTAAATAAGTTATATAATAGTTTTGATGTATATTTCATATATACTGAATATATCATAGTGGATATATATATGTTCAGCTGAAGTAGTATATCTATTCTACAGCTGTGAAGTTATTTGTTTGTTTTATTATATGTATATATATAGTTATACTTACGTTTCGATCTTTGTGATTTTTATTTGTTTGAACTGGAGTGTTGTGCGCTTCATTTCATATACTTTACAATGTTTATGTCTCATGTTTTTTATCTATCAATGCTTTAATAACCTGTTGCTCTTTCTTTCTGATTCGCAGCTCATTCTCTCTGCCAGCGGGCAATCATCTGTGTTTGAGTTGGGAAAGATAAAAACAAAGGCGAATACCACATAATAATAGCAACAATTCAACCGCCACACGCACACAGACATAATACAACAATAAACAAAGGCGATCAGTGAGCAGCCTCTCTGCCTGCCCCTCGCTCTATCGTCCAAAAGCCGACGCCGCCACGAAATGGCAAAGCGAAGTGCCGCCCGTCATCTGGCAGTCATCTGCAGGTAATGCAAGCGAGTGGTTCACTAGCAAATAAGCTCCCAGTCTTGAAAGTGTCAAATAAGCTAATAAGCGAAATAGTGCAAATATTATTTATACACCGCGAGTTTATAAAAACAACCAATTATTCATATTCTTAAAATTGTAAGTCCCAATCAGTTTTCCTACATGTTGTTTACTAAAAATCTTTTGTTGTGTGTACACAATTAAATAATGTTGTATTGGCTCTAAAAAAAATACGCATTATTGAAACTCTAACGATCTCTATGTTCATTTCGTATTCTATATTTTATTAGACAATTCACATAGATTACCTTTTTAAGTAAATAAATATTGCAAATAGTGTATTACTCATACGCCGCCTGTTCATCAAAAGAATATGGATTGTTCAAGCACTCATTTTTGTATATATAAACCATATAATTGAGACAGTTTTTCATGTGACCAGTGACCCTCTCCGCGTTTCAACGACCTTTTATGGTCATGACTCATTGGCATTGAAGCCCGAGACAATCCGATTCAGCTAGATAGGTCAACTCGTTGTCTCTAAAAGGCGTCAGCTCGGATTGTTATTAAGCAAAAAACTTTTTTTTACTTTCAGCGGCTTGCTTGTGGTTCTCGCCATCTCAACAAGCTTTTGCTCAGCCGGCACTTTTAACACTCGGCCTGCGTTCCCTGTCCCAACCGGTGAGGTTCAGCCCTCTAGTGGTACTAACAAGCAGCCAGCCAGACGCGTCATGCATCCAGCCTTTGCCAATGCCGGCCGCGCTCCCGGACTAGAAATCTGGCGCATCGAAGTGAGTACATAGAGCCTACATAAACTGTCTGCAAGTTCTGTCGACTCTCTGCGTTTCCTAAAGATAATTTCTAATTCCGAAAATTGAAAAGAAGATTCAAATACAGTTTTTACTTCAGCAAGGCTATAGAGTAAGTTTTCGAAAAATTCAATAGTATTGAAATATTAAAAAAAAAACAATTTGATCAATAATAGTTTGTTTAATCTCAGGACAGAGATCAGATACCATGGTAATTTTTAGGTGCTTCTCAAGTTACAAGAAACAAGAGTTTGGTTTATACTCAAAATATCATAAACAGGAAGAATTCAGATGAGAACATGTTCTATATTTAAATGTACTTAAAACTTTAGTATTAATATGCTTGGCATATAGGTTTTGGAATACACTTGCAATTTCACTTTTATACTCTACATGAGCCGCATTAACGCGAAAAGTGTATATAAATAGTTGTTGCCGCTGCATGTTTACATCGTTTGGGGGAAAGTTCGACACCCACGCACGAATGCGTTGCTCAGCCAGCGGCGCCCCAGCGGCGTCTGTTGCCATTGACATGCAAAGTGTTAACAGACACACACACATACATATATATATATATACATATATATATACATGTGTGCGCTAAAGGAATTATTGACTTGTGTCGTATATTTTCTATTCGCTGAGGCACGCAATAAGAGCAACACATGTTTGGCTAGCGAAGATTCACTGTATTTATATGTGCTGTCAATACCGCCAGCCTGTGTTAATTAACTGGCAAGCAGCATAATTTATTAGCTCCTGGCGGCATATGGCAGACTTTTCTTAGTTTTTGGTTTATTTGTATTCTTTTGCCTTTGTTTATAGAGAATTGATTTCAGCTTTTTTTCAAATGTTTTGACTCTGCCGGCTGCCGGCACCCGAAATAGCACATCAAAACATGTATATATATGTATATATGTAAACGTATATAGTATATAGTATAAAATCATGAATGTCAAATTGTGTTATTATAGAATTTCGAGCCTGTGCCCTATCCACCAAACAACTATGGCAAGTTTTTCACTGGAGATTCCTTCATCATTCTGAATGTAAGTAAAATGGAATAAAAATAACAATAATGAATAATACTTTAACTAGAAATGATATTGAAATAGAATTTAAAAAACTATTCAAAATTGTAATATTAATCTATTTTGTTGTTAAAGTTTCTATAACATCGAATGCGTAATACTAAAACCCTTTTATCACATTTTTATCCACAATTTGTATTTTATTATATTTATTAATCATTTTTATTGCTATATTTGTTTAGTGAATCAGTTTAGTTGGGGGTAGCATATTTTTATTTTTATTTTAATCTAAATTTCTGATTAATTCTAATAACATTACTGCGAAATGAAATGACTAACAATGAGTTCTAATGAGTAGTTATTTAAGTTTTCTAGAGAATATTATAAATTTACTATTTATATGTTACTATTTATATTATTAACTGTAATATTATTGTATATTTACTGAGCTCCACTTTCCTCGTATCAACTCGTAGACCAAGCAGAATCCGAAAGACAAGCAACTCACTTGGGATGTGCACTTCTGGCTGGGTTCGGAGACATCCACCGATGAGGCTGGAGCTGCGGCTATATTGACCGTGCAATTGGACGACATCCTGAATGGAGGGCCCGTGCAGCATCGCGAGGTGCAGGATCACGAGTCACAGCTGTTCCTGGGCTACTTCAAGAATGGTAAGTGTCGTGGAGCCTGCCGAATTGCATTTTTATTAAGAACATTTCCCCTGTCCAGGTGTGCGGTATGAACAGGGCGGCGTTGGCACTGGCTTCAAGCACGTGCAGACGAATGCCCAGGGCGAGAAACGTCTGTTCCAGGTGAAGGGCAAACGTAACGTGCGCGTGCGCCAGGTAAACCTCTCCGTCTCCTCGATGAACAAGGGCGATTGCTTCATTCTGGATGCTGGCAATGATATCTATGTCTATGTGGGTGCTCAGGCCAAGCGCGTAGAAAAGTTGAAAGCCATCAGCGCTGCTAACCAGATTAGGGATCAGGATCACAATGGACGCGCCCGTGTGCAGATCATTGATGAGTTCAGCACGGAAATGGATAAGCAGCAGTTCTTCGATGTGCTCGGCTCTGGCTCAGCCGCCCAAGTGCCCGAGGAGTCCTCCGCCGATGAGGATGGCGCTTTTGAGCGCACAGATGCTGCCACGGTCACACTCTACAAGGTGTCCGATGCCAGTGGCAAGCTCCAAGTGGATACCATTTCCCAAAAGCCGCTACGTCAAGCCATGCTGGACACACGCGATTGCTTCATTTTGGACACGGGCTCTGGCATCTTTGTATGGGTGGGACGCGGCGCCACTTCCAAGGAGAAATCCGACGCCATGGCTAAGGCAGAAGAGTTCCTGCGCACCAAGAAATATCCAGCCTGGACCCAGATCCATCGCATCGTCGAGGGTGCAGAGTCGGCTCCATTCAAGCAATACTTCGATACCTGGCGTGATGCGGGTATGGCTCATACCCGTCTGGTACGCTCTGCTCTAGACATCGGTTCGGATGAGTCTCTCGACATGGATGAGATCGATGCTGTTGTGCAGAAGTTGAAGAAAAGCGGCGGTCGCGCTATTGGCTTCATGCCTGATCATGGCCAGAACAGCATCAAAGACATCACCCAGTATGTCTCCAAGGCGGGCAGCAATGAGGTGCTGAGCAACCATGTGCCCTTCGAGGAGGAGATGCCACTGCTGGGTTTCGGCTCCTATGTCCTGACTTACAACTATGAAGCCAACAATGGCGACAAAGGCGCCATCGTTTATGTCTGGCAAGGCGCCAAGGCCAAGTCGGCTGTTAAAGAGCGTGCTTTCGAAGATGGCATGGCTTTGGCCGTCGATCAGAACGCTTTGCTGGTGCGCACCACACAGGGTCATGAACCTCGTCACTTCTACAAAATTTTCAAGGGCAAGTTGTTGACATCCTATACTGCGTTACCCGTGTCCGCGCAGCTGTTCCGCATACGCGGCACTGTCGAGAGCGATATCCATGCAAGCGAGGTGCACGCGGATAGCTCTTCGTTGGCATCTGGAGACGCCTTTGCCCTAGCTTCCACCAAGACGCACAAGGTGTTCATCTGGCAGGGCTTGGGTGCCTCTACCTTTGAAAAGGAGGCAGCCACGACGCGCTTTGCTCACTATTGGAAGGATGCCGAGCTGGAGTTAATCGAAGAGGGCGCTGAACCCGATGAATTCTGGGCGGATCTGAACGGTGAGGGTCAGTACGACCGCAGCCTAGAGGACGAAACTGCACCACTGCTCGAACCACGTCTCTTCCACTGCCGGCTGACACGCGCTGGTCGTGCCAAGGTCGAGGAAGTCGCTGACTACCAGCAGGAGGATCTCGATACGGATGACATCATGCTGTTGGATGCTGGCGATGAGATCTACATGTGGGTCGGTTCCGGAGCCACCGCCGAGGAGAATGGCAAGATACTGGACATGGCCAAGGTAACATTGTTTTTTTTTTCACTTTGTTCAATCTTTGTATAACTTGGTTAATACCCTATACTATCCATTTGATTATAGCGCTACATCAGCTTGGAGCCCACCGCCCGCACCGTGGACACCGTTAGCATTATTCGCGTCACCCAGAGCCAGGAGCCCCGCGTCTTCAAACGCATGTTCCCCGCCTGGGAAGATAACTACTGGCAGGTTGGTAAAACTCTAACGAACCACATTGTTCCACTTCACATTGACACCTAACAAATGCCTGCTTTGCTCATTCCTGTTTTCGCATGTCTGATATTAATTGCTTCATTGAACTCTGTGCGTGAGTATCTCAGCGCCTACTAATGCTTGTAAATCATATATCATTTGATAGTCCTTTTTTACTACCTCTGATTACATTTTGAATTCTGTTTACCTTTGCAGACCCTGCCTTCCTATGAGGACATCAAACGCCAGGTTCTGGATGCCAACAATGAGGTCTAATACATCCTCGGCTAGAATACTCAGCAAAATTGACCAAAAATTTACGTTCGCTTTTGCCTTAACATAATACAGAATATATACAAAACTTATTGTAATTAATTTTTTGTAATATATAAAAATTTGTTTACTAAAATTATTAATTGTATCTCTTAATTAATATGTATTATATATTCCATTTTTTTTAAATATTTTATTTACTCATTGCCATAATTTTGCTGTCATCAATATATGAAGACATTTTGGTTTCTGTACTTATTTGCTTAGCTCAGATATCGTTAGCTGTAGTATGCATTAAATAAAGTTCCATGAAGCTCAGTTCTCCGGTGTTCCCCACGTGATATTTTCGATCCAGTCCAGGAACGAAAACACACGGGTGTAAACACTTGGATAGCTGCTGCGACAGAATACGCCAAAGGAGGTGATCCCTATAAGATGGTAATGGATATGGCGACGTCTGCGACCGGGCAAATTTAGTTGCAATGGACCGCCGGAGTCACCTTGACAGGTGTCTCGATTCTGAAGGAAATCCTGCGCACAGATCTGACTGTCTATAATGCCATTGGGAGTCTCAGCAAACACGGGCAGATCTCGGGCGCATTCGTCATTGGGTACTATGGTCGCATTTAGATGGGTCAGACGGTATGTCATGGCCTTGCTAAAGCTAGTCGAACCATACCCCATGGCAAATGCAATCGAAGTAGGCAGCTGCTTATCCACCCAAAGCCGTATAGGCCGGACGAACTCACTTAGACTGAAAGCAATCAATAACTTCATTTATTATAATCTACATATCAAGAGGCCCCAACCATTACTCTCTTCTTTCTACTACCAATAAATATAATTACTAATTACATTTTACTACTAAGTTTCACTATTTCGACTTTTACTCTTACTACTACTTACTTCCATTATATATTTCCTCTTTTAAATATGCTGCAGAAATATACTACTACTATGTACTACTACTATCTAGTACTACAATCTACTACTACTATCTAGTACTACAATCTACTACTACTATCTACTACTACTACTGTCTACTACTACTATCTACTATTACTATATATTGCTAGTACTTATTACTTCCATCTGCTACTACTATCTACTATTGCTTTCTACTACTACTTTTTCCAGTTATTACTACTTACTATATGTACTTCTATATTACTATTCTACTACAATCTAGTCTAATGTCTAATATATTAAAACTTTATACTACTTCAAGCTGCTACTATTTTGTCTACTACTATATTATACAGCTTATACCTTATACCTATATTATATTATTCTATACTAGGCTCGATTGAGTCCTATTATCTACAATTTATTTATATAAAATGGATATAGCTTTTTGATAAATGTGGATTTTTCCTCTGACTAAATCCATCAATACTCACATTACATTTGTCGCCAGCTTAAGCAGCGCTATATCATTATAATAGGAATCGACAATGTAGTCGGGATGGTTGAAGATGCTTTCGATGTCAAAACTCTGTGGCTTAACCGTTACCTCATCGATCATAAGATTCAGTCCACCGATGCGCACCCATTTTGGTGCTTCGCTATAAAAATGTTAAATGTGCCAGATGCAGTCAGAGAATCTTCGAGCAGACACTCGCCTCCATCGTCTCGACTAGTCAACTCACCCATCCACCTCGGTGCAATGGGCCACAGTCAATACAAAGTTCTCACTTATCAAGCTGCCGCCACACTTGTAGTCGATTTTCTCCGAGTTTGTCGAAAAACCGACTGCCGCCTGTCAAAATTAATTTTCCGGTTTTATGACGGGTCATTATGATTAAGAAACCCTACACTCAGAGAATAATGTTGCACTTGTGTTTTTTTTTTGACATGCATAGATATCGTATTCAGAATTGTGAAATTGTGAAAGAAGACTTAGGCTTTAAATATATATATATATATATATATATATATATATATATATATATATTTATATATATATCTTTATATATAAATATTTGTTAATCGGCCCGCATTTGACAACATTTTTAGCTGAGCCGAAAAGCATTGAGATGTTCTCTAAGTGCTTCTTATCAGCTTAAGAGCACATACCATATGGGGGTATTCACCAGGCCGGGCAAGTACGCGGCCATCGAAATCTTCGTCATTTGCGTCTTCCTTGACGGCCGTATCGTTAGGAAAGATTCGCTCAACATACTCGGAATACTCTTGATAAGTAGAGTTCATATATTAAATGAATTATGTTTTAGCTGAAAGAGAACTCACTACGCTCGCAGAGGCGTCTATTCTGTCCCATGCGCCTTTTTTTGTACCGTCGCCCATTAGGCGGAGGTGGAAACGGTTGGCCTGGTCTGACATGAATAGGATTCAGCTCACGCCGCGGCGGTAGTGGGAGCTCGAGCTTTTTATCTAGCATACTATTATAGTAAAAGTCACTGATTTTGAATAGTGTATCGAACGGCTTGTTATCTGGAAAGACAATGTCTTGCTCCTTGGGAAATGACACTGGCTGATTCTTGGGCAAACGCTGGCTCACAACCAAACCAAACAGAGCAGCCGATAAAAGTACCAGAAACCGACTCATATTATACGTAATATACAAATACTTTTTGGGATGTTTACACTTGAACTGGTAAGGCGCGACTGAAGCCCTGTCGATCTGAGATGTGTTGAGACGACGCGTCGTCTTATCAGCTTATCAGTAAATTGTCACCGAAAATTCACAACAATTTGTAATTTATTAAACTTATGGGTATTTAAATGTGGATGCCTAGGGTGTGGGGATTGACGACATTTGCGGTGCGTGGTGCATGAATCTGTGTGGTGCCGCCCAGTTGACCCTCGTATTGCGCAATTATGGCACGCTGTATGTTCTCCAGTTCCTGATCGTTTCTGTATCTCAGGATGTTAACGGTGGGCTCGTCGGGAGAGGCTGCGGGTGCTGGGGCAGCATAGACAACAGCCAACAGGGCGAACAGCAAAAGTAACTGAATATCATGTGAAAGGCTTAAATATTACACAAAACATATTCAATTCAAACGGACTTACGCAAATAGTCTTCATTTTTCGCCGATTCTTTAAGCTAAACTGAATCGCGCGGACCCATTCCCAAGCGCTTTTATAGCCAACAAAATATAATACTAATATCAAAAACTTATCATCGCATTCATAATCAAATTATAATTTGCAACTATTGGAACTTGAACAACTTGAAACTACCGAAACGAGTTTTCGAATCTCATTCGTTTAACATAATCCACAGCGAGATGGCCAGACGAGACAAGTTCAAGAGCTAATGTTTTATCAGTAATCGCAAATTGGAGTCTTTTTCCGATGCCCTTTTGGGTGGTATGTAGGTATGTCTTACATTACCATTACCAGTCAACTTTTGACTCGAACCTTTTAATGACCTCTTGCTCTTTTGTATACATATATATATATAGACATGTATCATGGGAAAGTGAAATATATTTCTCTTACATCAGCTGTTTACAGGCCATCACCTAGTCGCTTAATCCCGAGTGGAGAACTGTTTATTGCTTGTACGCCAGCCGACACAGATACTTTAAGATGATTTTTAATTTCAAAATACAACAGCCATTTGGCGTGTTTTTTGCTCCACTGAAATTGAGATTGCTTTGTGTGAAAGTGAGACCATTCAACAGGTTTGTTCGGTATGCAAATTAAAATAGAATGTGGGCTATGTTCTTAGAAGAGTAACTGCTGATATGATAATTAGCTTAGGGCACAGCACATCTGATGCTGATTTCCTTATTATATTTGTTTTTCTGGCCTTTCGGTTTAAAATTAATTTTTCGCTCTTGTTGAGTTTGCCAATTTAACAAAACCAGTTCAATGCTCCAATTTTAAGATGACTTCATAGGCGTAGTAGCTTTGTCAATAAGCTTGCATTATACTAAGCATTCTAATCTTAAATAATTACTTAAATATAAATATTTATTAGCATTGTGTGGGATATATCTATGTACTGTAGAAATGGTTTAACTAGACATTTTTGAAAAGAACTTCAATTGCTCATAAAATTTTATGTTTATTTAATAAATTGAAGAGGCTTAAATAAATTATAAAATAAACAATTCTTGGCTAGTTGTATCTAGATATGGATACCCTTTGAAATACAGCTAATAATAATGATTTTCTATTTAGATAATGAGTGTGTTCATTGGCTGCCATGAAGAGTACAAAAATGTTTTCCAAGGTGTCGCATACTTTTAGGCTGCATATTAAAATCGAGAAAATTTTAAGATCAAGTTGAGAGTAGAGCTAAGCTTTGCCTGTTCGGCTTTAAAATATCCTTCAAACATAATCAAGGTTTTTGAAAAATATTCTTTAATACTGTTTATATTTACCTTGCACATTTATTGTGTTAAGTATATGCACAATATTAGGGCTCCTTTTCAAGATATTTGGAAACTTCGGTAAATTCCCATTATTCAAATTATATATGTGTGACGGCAGTTTCGTCTCAGATGAACCCAGAAGTGCAATGCCGACAAAATGTGGGCAAATCCACAAGTCTGTGGGCCAAATTGAAGACCGAGACGTAATTTGAATACATTTACACATTTTCCGACTTATTAAATTCGATGCAGTCGCTATTTTTCTTTGAAAGCTATATGTTCCAATTAAAAACGTTTGGTATTTTAATTGGAATATGGGGGCAGTTAATGCCGCACTATTGCCCAATGCAGCGCATTTGCATGTGTTGCAGCCAACCATGGGATGCGATGCATCTGAGCCTCTATATAAATAAAGGTCGGACTTGCAATTGCCAGAGACAGACACAGCTCAACAGCTGCCCAGCACGTTTGTACCTTATTGAAAAAAAACCTACAAGCCCATGCACAAGATGCGCGCTTTTCTGGTAAGTAGACGTAGTATATAATCCTAGCCATGAACGGCATCGCTAATCAAGCCATGTTGCAGATGATATGCTTGCTTGCCGTCGCTCGGGGCCAATATGATTATACACCCCAAACGCACGCTGGCGATGGGCGTGGAGGATTGATCGGCACCCCTGATGCTGGACTTGTGCATAGTGGTGCGGCCCAGCTGTCAGAGCCCATAGTCCAGACCAGCGATTTCAACAAGGAATTCTATACGTACAGTGCACCGGAGCAGGAGTTCGACAATGGTCCTATTAACGATCAAATCACGAATAGCTTAAGGCGGAATTTGCGCGTGCTCTTCATCAAAGGGCCCGAGAATACGGGCCTGGAGCATGCCGCCTTAAAGCTGGCATCCACCGCCTCAGATGATCACACAGCCATCTATGTGCTGAACAAACAGGCCGATGTTAGTGAGTTGGCCAACAAACTAAACCAGATTAAGCTCCAGACCAACAACAAGCCCGAGGTGCACTTCGTCAAGTATCGCACGCCCAGCGATGCGGAGAACGCACAACGTGTCATCCAAGCCCAATACGATGCGCTCCCCGGCCGCTCGACCAATCACAATGCCGGCACCTCGGCACAAGTCTTGGATTTTGCCTCAAAGAGTATAACAGTTGGAGCTACTGGAGTCTCTGCAGGCGAAGTACCCTCGAATAGCGCGTACCTGCCGCCCAGCCGTAGGTTTTAACTATAAGCTACTGTTCATTATAGCTAGTAAATACTGTTAATACAAATATAATTTACTTTTTCGAATATGATTTGAAAATGTTTAACTGTATATTTCAAGCGACAATATTTTGGCACGCGACTGTTGCCAATGCTTAATTGAGTTAGTTCAAATGGCGTCGTAACTAACGGATTATGCGAGTTCAATAATTGAGGACGCGACTGTAATAAAAGTGGCTTTGTGTTACCCAAAAACACATTGGATTTTGGTGAAATTTGCTGATTTGCTAAGTTGTCAGATTGATCAGTTTATAGCGCGACTGTAGCAGCAAGTGAGAGTGCTATAATGGGGAATACTCGACTTGTAGATACCCTGTTACCATATATATGATACCAAAAAAGTTCAATAGGATCTAATCTTATGATCCAAAGAATCTGCATTATGAAATTGCAAGTCATAATTGTGACTTTAGCATAACTGAATTCAGTATGACTTAATTTACTTAAATACGAAAAGATCCTTTGCCGTCGCCTAAACAAAATATCGAATTCAATTCAGATTTGCATGCGAATGTATATACGCTTCATTATAAAATAATATTAATCAAGTCGAATGCTATATTTACTATTAGTTAAGATTTAAATCTCATGCCACATTTCATCTTCCATTATGAATTTTATGCCCTGCTCCGCCCACACATCGCATGCGTCATATATAATTTGTGGCAAGATTTACTACAAATTGTAAATAATTATTACATGAGCTTTATCTTTAGAGCATCTACTATCACGTATTTGGGCGCTGAATGGATTAGCATAATGAAAGACAATGACAGCTGGGCTTTTGTTATGTTATATATTTCGAAAGCTAACGACACTCAAGGAGTTGTGTAAAAAATTCAAATTAAAGTGAGGCAGACAATCAAGCCAAGCCAAGCCAAGTCAACCCAAAAAAGAAGATATGCAGACACCTCTGAGAGACTTGGAACCATAAGCTGCTTTCTTTGGCAACAAATATTTGTTTACATGTTGACTTTTTTTATATCACTTGGCTAACTTGTATTTCTTTTTCTTTCAGGCTTAATTAAATTATGCGTAAGATTCGCTCCGCACAACTCAACGAGCTACTAATTTGGCGATCACTAAACGTTTTGGGCATGTGGAATTGGGCTAGGGCCGGGGCTTGGGCTTAGGCTTAGGCAGCTGCATATGCATATGAAATGACTTTCTTTTGGAGGGGGCAGCATTTGATACATGGATGTGTCGTATTAACCAATAATATTTCGCATTAATTCCGCATCGCTCGGTGAAATATTATGTGATTATACAAATTTAAATATCAAGTTGGCTGGCGTTATATAACGGTTTACTATCCAAGATGCAGCTCTAATGCGTTCATCTGAATATTTCCGAATATGGTTCCGTGATTTGCCAACTCTGCAGCTGAAGCTGGAGCTGGACAATAGATTGAATAATTTTATGCCCAGCCGACATCGGGGAGAGCATCTTATAAAAACCTTTGCTAGCGATCTATTGGGGCATCAGTTGAGTTCAAACTGCTCGAGCAGAAGTTCAGTTTACCAAAATGAAACGGTTTAGCTTTCTAGTGGTAAGTCACATGCTTCTAGGAATCAAGTGCCATCTAAATCGGAATATTCATATATATTTGCAGTGCTTGTCTTGTGTGTCGTTCATCGTCGCAGCCCCACAGGGCTACAAATATCAGCAAAATGTGCCCATTCTGCCAGCCGGCAATCTGCGTCCACAGACGCCGATTTCTACCAGCGGAATATATACCGGCCAGCAGACCCTCTCGCAATCCATCTCAACTGGACTTAACAATGTGATTCAGGCCCCTCAGCCGCTGCCTCAGCAGCAGCTACAACAGCAGGTCTTCCAGCAGCAACAATTTGTACCCTCCATTCCTGTTCAGCCTCAGCAGCAGCAACAACAGTTTGTCCAAAGCCTCCAGCAACCGCAGATCCTGAGTCAGCAGATTGTTTCTCAGCCGCAGATTGTTTCTCAGCCGCAGATTGTGTCTCAGCCTCAGCAGCAGTACGCGCAGCGTCCCTCGATCGTGACGAAGGACATCTATATTCACTCAGCTCCCGATGACAGTGACGATCTGCAGGCGGCACCTCAATTGGATAACTCGCCCATTCGCAAGAATTACCGCATTGTATTCATCAAGGCGCCTACACAGAATCTGAAGCACACGGCTGCAGCTTTGAAGCGTGCCCAGGCCAGCAATGAGGAGAAGACCGTCATCTATGTTCTGTCCAAGAAGCCCGACATCAACGAGATTCACCAGCATCTGCAGCTGTCCCAGACTGAGCCCAAGGTGCACAAGCCCGAAGTTTACTTCATTAAGTACAAGACCACGGAGGAGGCCCAGCGCGCCCAGCAGGAGATTCAGGCTCAGTATGATGCTCTCGGCGGTGCCACACACATTTCCGATGAGGGCGTAGCCCCCATCACTAGCTTCTCGGGCTCCGGCTCCCTCAACCTGGGCAACATCGTGCCACATTCCATCCAACAGCAGAACCAGCACCTGCATCACCCACAGACCCAGACAATTGTGCAGAACGGTCAGAGCGTGGGACTAATTGGCCAAGGTATCCAGCAGCAGAACTCATTTGTACCAGCGATCGGCGGTGGTGACCTTGGCCTCCAGGGCGTATCCCTGCAGGGTGGTCTACAGACCTCTTCGCTGTCACCAGGCTCCAGCTTCGGCGGAACTGTTCCATCCAAGCGCTACATCCCCGCCAAGACCAAATAAGCGCTCACTTAACGCATTTCTTTCATTCAGCCTAAAGAATCGTCCAATTGTAGTTTATTCTAATTTATTGTCAATTCAATATTCAAATCAAAATAAATATATATCTTAACCACAAATGTACATGAAAAATATGCTTAAAGTGTAAACAGAAATTAAATAGGAAAACCGATTAGTAGTAGTAGTGAGCTGTCCATTTATATGACTGCATCATTCTCAGAAGCTGAAGTCATCACTGAGTTGACTTCTTGTATAGGTTTTGTGTAAGGCCTAAAACAGTTTTTTGATATACCGAGATCCTCCTCTGTCGGGAATAACTTTCGAATTAATATTGAGATAAAATTTCTGTGGAATATCTTCTTATAGTTTCCAACTTGAAGTCTGTCTCATACAACTAATAATAATAAAAATACAACTAATTATAATAAAAATATTAACATATAACTTTGGTGGCGATTATTTTACTTTATTTTTACCTAAGCTGAAAATGGTCAAATTCTTCAGACCTTGATAGTTCGTTACATAATATCTGTTAATTAATAATATAAACATATTATTTATAGTCCATTGTATAGCTTGAACAATTTAGATTTGGCATAAGTCTAATTGCTAAATTAACACATTTGCAAGAGGTCGCTAGGCATTGTTATAGAGTAGGCCTTGACGACAGCAAAAGCAATTCAAAGATTCTGACCATTTTTGAAACTTTATGTTAAATGAAATTTTATGCTCATAAACTCAGAGTCTGGCAGGTTCCTTAGATGTATCTTATGGCTTTTTCTCAATTAATTTCAGTTTTGTTTGGATTTCTTCCTTCAAGCATTTGGAATTACGAAAAAGAAACCGAAATTAATATGCTAATAGACAGAGTTACGATCATATTTCAAAGCATTTCGAACATCACATATATCCTCCCATATCATATCAGCAATAAAACCTTAATGTTCGCTCACTTACAATGTCTTAGGAGCTTTTATATGGGCCCTATCAAGAGTGAGGGACCACTTAGTGGCTGCACTGTAATCAAGATATTAGTCCATGCGTTCATTATGCAGATATAGATGACAGTTATGCAAGACTAATCAAATGCTAATCGTCTCGACCGGTTTTCCCGACCGGCTAATCAAATGTGGCAATGCAGAGGCATAAATGAGTTTGTCTTCGTTTCTTTGGATGGCTGTTCGTGATCGCCTTTGTCAAATTGGTTGTGTTAATGGGAAAAGTTGTGAAAGACACGCTCGGAGTTCGGAGAAGTCATGTTTATTTAGCTAGATATATACACACACATACATACGTAATAACAATTTGTTACTTATTTAACTAAAACAATAGCAATTCTTGGCATTTCAGTCAATTTTCTATGTCCGCAAATGGGCAGGCAAATATTTGTTGGGTATGGCGCCTGTCAGGCCGCCAATGGTGCCAACGGATCCACCAGTTCCACTTGTTCCGGCTTCACCGACTGCCACGCCTCCACGTTGATTGTCCAGTGCACCGATGACCGATGTAACCGGTGCTACGCCCTCGTCAGATACTTGTGTTGTGCCACCCAGCTGATCGTATTGAGCTGAAATAGGAGAAAAGTCATGTGAGAAGTGGCTGTATAATACCCTTTTACAAATACTTTTCAATATGTTCACAGTCTTTAATAACCCATATATGAGTGTAAGAGACCGGCTCTTCAGGAACACCCACATGAGGAGAGTAAGCTAATATACCCGTTTTAGCACAACACAAACGAGCATCACAACCGCAATGAGCAAGCCATACACGTCGGCCTCCAATTCAAACAGATATTCAAGCATTTCTTGTGACTCAAAAAGCGAGCTGCAAGGTCTTGGCCTTATGCAAAGTTGTGGACTCACCTTGTATGGTGCGTTGTGCATGCGCAGCTTCCTCCTGCGTTTTGTACTTAATAAAGAAGACTTCTGGTTTGCTTATGGGCTTGGGGGCTGCCTCTTCGATGGCTGTTTGCAGCTCGAGAGGATCTGGTTTCTTAGTCAACACATAGATGATGGTTTTTTCTTCCACAGGAGCCTGCTGGACGCGTATAGCTGCCTTGCTGACACTAGGCGTGGGTGCCTTGATAAACACGATGCGATAATGCTTGCGAGGTGGACCCACGGGTAGCGCGGGCTGCGGATAGCGCTCCTCCGATTCTTCGACGGGTGGTACATGCACGTAGATATCCTTTGAGATGACAGGGCTGTAGGCCTGCTGCTGTGCTAACTGATTGAAGCCAAAGTTAGAGCCCTGTTGCTGGAAGATCTGCTGCTGCTGTTGTGGTTGCTGGAAGATCTGCTGTGGCTGCTGGAAGATCTGCTGCTGCTGCTGCTTCTGCTGCAGAGGCTGCTGGAATACCTGCTGTGGCTGTGTTTGCTGTATATTCAGAAGCTGTTGAAGCTTAGGTGCCTGCAGCGCCTGCTGCACCAGCCGTTGTTCATCCAAGCTAGCCGCCTGCTGTTGCTGCAAGTCAGTCAAGCCGGTTATACGGCCCGCCTGATAGTTATATCCTTGCGGCTTGGCCAGTGACAGGCCCAAGAGGCACGTAACCTAACGGTAAACATATTATAGAAAAGCTGACATAGTTTGAGTCAAATATCTTACAATAAACGCGCGCATTTCGGCTCGAATTCGTTCGACTGAAGGTTAGCTGTTGGAAGAGCAGCACCGGGTCTCTCGGTTAACAGAAACCAACTAAATGCTAATCAGTGTCCGGCTGTCACTTATAAAGCGGACACCCGAATTTGTTGTGATGAAGATTGAGCTGCTGCTGCTTGGGTCGATGAGCGACGAAGTTGAGTTCAAATGAAACTGAAACCGAATCAGAAACCACAACAAAACACACGCAGAGCGAGGGCCAATAGATCTCACAAGCACTACTGAAGCAACTTATCTTTTTAATACCCTGTAGGAAAAATACGGTAGTACTGCTAATGCTAATGGTTGAGCCAAGCACTGATTATAACAACATAATTCGCTATATAAAAGCATCTGTCAGAGGCCGTACATGATATACAACTGAAAACTTAGCCGTATGATAAATTTGTCTAATTTAATTTTATTATTATTTATTTTTATTTATATTATATTATTACAGGCTATTTTATAGTCGCTCAGTCTTGACTGTATCACTCTTACCAGTTTTCTTTTAAACAACCTTGAGACCAGTCTTTAGTGCTCACACTCTCCATACACACACACACGCACGCACACATGCAACTGGCTGCTTCATCTGCCAGACAATATATTTTGGGGCTTAGTGCCAGGCACACTCACACACACACACGCACATAGCCCGTCTCGCCGGAAGTCATATGTGAATTAGCATATTCATTGTTTAGGGCCCCCCATTCACAATTCAATTTCGCTGAAGATCGCGGTGGGGATTTGTTTTTGAGAGCTGCCCGTATTATCGCATCAATAATTAAACATAACTTGCACAAATCGCGCGAAATTGTCATTAGTGACGCGCCAAATTGCACAGCTTTTGGGCCATTTATACTTCGCTTCGATGGCCATTGTCGATCGCCTGACCCAGTTGAGCAAAGGCCCAGTTCAATTTGCAGATCGTGCCGTTTAATTGGACTACGCGCTCACGTTACACAATGTCCAATAGGGTAGGAGTCTAGTTGTTAGCTGTATATGTGATCTGTCAATTTTTTTCGCTTTTCAAATTATTATTTGTGTAATTTATGTAATCTTTTGGCCAAATAACAGAAATGGGCATTACTTGCGGCAATTACTAAACTAAAAAATATAGCTGAAAGTACGCCCATATCGTTTTACTGCAGCACAATTAGTGTTTTACCTAACCTCATAATTATTTTACTTATTGGGGATAATCCTATTTGATTTTTTTATATCAACTGGGAAAAAAATAATTATGAAATATAATTTCTGCTATAAGCCCAAATGACGAAATCTGTTTAAGAAAATAAAATGATTGGCTTATATTTGATTTTCCCTGAATTTTAGTATGTAATCTGAACTACTAGATAAACGATTTTCATATCTGGAATCAGTAACTTTTAGTTTCGTATTAGTTTCAGTTTTTCAGTTTTACATTTTTAAGCTATGCTAATTTTTATAGATTTTATATATCATCATAGGGCAGTATCAATCAATGTTCATCATTGCTTGCTGGCAAGACATATATTTAGTTTTTCTTTAATAATATTTATTAAAAATAAAATGTTTGTTTATTTATTTTTTGTTGTCTCAAAATCAATCAATGTCCATCAAAATCTCGGAATATCTAGGTCATAATTCGATTGTGCGCAGATGTTCAGCTGAATGATGACGATGATGTTTTGATGTATGAGCGGAGATTAATCAAACGTTGTGTGTTGGTCATTTCTTGTAAATTATATTCATATATGATTTTTTATGTACTTTTAATTTCACTCGCAGCACAGGCTGATGATATAAGTCCCACACATGGCCGGCGCCACAATCGAAACATTTTCGTTCTTTTGTCTCAACGTACTCGATGGTCCTTTGTGTGTTTTGGTTGTTGTTGCGGTTGTATAACGGGGTTCAACGGCTCATTAGCGATTTATTGTTGCATCACTGAAACGAAACTCAACAACAATTATTTTACACCCGCCATGCCATATTTTTTATAAATATATATTATATATTAGTTTTGAATCTCTTCGGACGACCACAATTTTCACTTTTGCGATGATGGCGTGCATAGGAAATTAACATGGTCAAGGCTCTTGCGATAATACGCAGCAATTACCAACACTCCAAATAGAAACCAAAAATAAAAAACGAATTAAATAATTAAAATATTATGCATAAAACTTATAATAAATATATATAAAATATTAGCAATGGAATTCGACGAAATGTTTATAAAGATGATGAGTTATTAAATATGTTTATTTCATTTTAAGCAAGCTTTAACGTTGCATAACGAGCTATTATTACGACAAATTAAAATAATATTCAATAAAGGTTTTTGTGTTCATATCAAAATCAAATTCCACTTGTCTTATGCGGCTATTGTAATTGTTTAGTGAATCGAGAAAAACTAAGCTTTCAGTTTTTTAGTCATCTTTTGGTTTCGATACCAAATAACGGTTGCTGACTAAGCTATTGCTCAAGCTAAAAGCTCTGTAGACATTTAAGTAGTTAAACTAAAACGAAAAGTATAAGCGCAGCATAGACTTTTCACTTAACAGCCGTTCATTAAAAATACAAATATAGAAAAGCATGTCTACCGATCGCTAGTTGGATGTTGATATAATACGCACACATCAATTTGTCTTTTGGAAATATTGTTTTTGCATTATGAATGAGTATTATGAAGTTGTTGTTTTTGACATTGTTGAAATTAAAACTAAACGAAGATTATAAATGATTTTAAACAAGATTTGCCGAACTCTCTTGATGAAATATATTATATTTATATTTAAATATACACATTATATTATAGCTGAGCTCAAATTAATCATGCCTTGTGAATATTATTCATAGGTATATAATTTTTTTTATTATTATTTGTATAATCATATATACTATATAACTGTCAAATACACTAAAATAATATGATAAGGGTATATTTGCCCTATTGTAGATGTTTATATTTATAATTAATATTTCTAGTACTTGCTATTTAGCAATAGCATATATTATGACCTTTTAATACTTTTTCAAGTTTGGTTTACAACACAAAATGTTTCTCAAATATTGCGTGAAGAGGTCGATGCGATGTCTTATTGTGCAACACCCTCAAGTTGCGGCTTAGCCCCGACCCAGCCGCCGACACTTGACTGAGGAACTTGCTAATGAGAAACGTTGAGGGAGCATTGGATTGCATGTTCATTAGCCTGGGTTAGCTATGGTAAGCCGGCTGGTCCGGCAGCCGAGTAAACGGCTCATTACACCAGCCACAAATAGCTGGATGGGCGTCACGTTTAGGTCAACAATTGCAGCCGTCTTCGTGTATTGACAAAGGGCTTTTGTCCAAATAATCAAAAATAAATTAATCTTGGCCAGCTCGGACAGCTGGAGATATGTTCCACTGAATGGAACAGTGTCTCTCTGGCTTTATCTCTCGCTCTCTTTCTCTCTCTCTCTCTCTCTCTTTGCAGCTCACAACGTGATAAATGGGAACATGAACAGGGGACAGGCGCCCGTCTCTCATGCAAAATTTTCGAAGCTCGACGGGTCATTAATTAAGCCTGAAAATACATGAGCTTGAGCATAAGCCAGAACAGTGGAGAAAGGGGGGGTCCGAGGTGCGGGCTTCAGATTTTTAGTTGAAGCTATTTCTTAGTTTCAGAGATGTACTAAAAATTGATTAGGTGTTTATGTAATTTCTGCTTTTAATAACATTTAATCGATGCGTGGCCCAAAGGGTCCAACCGCATAATGGCAGCTGGGTGCTGAAACTCGGGCTACGGCAAACAATTAAGAGCTCGGCAGCAAAGTGGCCAAAAAGCCGAAAGCTAACAGCACAAAGTCAACAAGCAACAGCCATCTAATACTCGTTTAAGTTGCACGTTTCTCTCATTTTCATTTAATTTCATTTTGACTCAGGTTTTACAGAAGCTTATGCTTGTCTAATCTGTGAAGTAAAGAAATTTTTTATGGTAACATCTGACGTGAATATGAATAAATATATAATATAGACAAATTTGAAATCTTTAGTTTTATAGCGTCCAGTGATGCACTGAACACAGAGCCAATATACCTGCTTCGTAGCCCGTGAGCTAGTATGAAAAGCTTGCAGGGGAATCACGCTAATTGGCCATGTATCGCGGGCCAACTACAAGCAAGTCGCTGTATTTAATGAGAAGGCGATTTGATGGACAACTAAGACCCAAAAAATAGATGGAGACGAAGTCTAACAAAAACAATGAACATGCAACGTAAGAGGGCTGAAAAAACTGAAGTAAAATAGAAAAATGTAAAAAAAATATTGAAGCTGAACTTCACTTATTAAGTTGTCGAAAGCGAAGAGCGTATAAAAGTCAGCTGAAGATGGCAAGAGTCATACAGTTCACAGCGAACAGCCAAGTAAGCCACCAACCACCAATCAACCATCCAGACAGCTCAACCAAGTACAGAAATGCGTGGATTCATTGTAAGGAATAGGCTCGGACAGGATTAACTCCAGACTTCTTACAAGTACCCGCCCGCTTCCTCTCTTGTTCTTTCGCAGGTCTTGTGTCTCTCTGCCGTAGCGTTGGCTGCACCTCAGGGCTACAACTATAATCCTGGACCCTCAGCTGTCGGAGGCCTGAGCAGCGTCAGTGGCAGCGGCGCCAGCTTCTTTCAGGCAGCTCAGCAGCAGCAGCAGCAGCAGGTTCAGTATCAGCAGCCCCAGCAGCAGACCTTCTTCCAGCAACAGTCCGGTGTCAATCAGCAGTACCATGCGGAGCCACATCATCAGCAGCATCAGCAGCCAATTGTATCCAAACGCTTTTTCATTCACTCGGCGCCCGAGGACGTTGAGGAGGAATACAAGGAGCGTCACATTACAGTGGGCGTACCCAAGCGCAACTATAATGTAGTCTTCATCAAGTCCCCACAGCGCTCCAACAAGAAGACATCCATTAAGATCAGCCCCGCCGTCAACGAGGACAAGACTGTCATCTACGTGCTAAGCAAGAAAACCGACAGCTCCGATGTCCATGCCGAGGTTGTCGAGCAGGCTAGCTCCACCAGTAAGCCAGAGGTGTTCTTCATTAAGTACAAGACCAATGAGGAGGCGGCACACGCCCAGCAGCAGATCCAGGCCCAATACGATTCCCTCGGCGGAACCAGCCAGCTGACCGATGAGGGTGTCGCTCCCGTCACCTCTGTCATCGGCGCTCTCGGTGGCCAAGCTGGCGGTGATGCTGGCGTCACAGCTGTTGGTAGCACCGGCATTGGCGCTTCTGCCGGTCAGGTCATCTCACATCAAGCTGTCTCCAGCGGACATGGTCACGCAAGCAATGCTTACCTGCCGCCCAATTTCTAAGTGGTTGAGCTCTACCTCTACCTTTAATTCCTCATGATGGTTGTTAATAAATTTGAAATGTTGTTAAAAAAACTTTTGCTTCTCTTGTTGCTACTTGAATATCTGGCTAGAGTTAAAACAATTCTTTTGTCTTTCTCATATTGAGGTAATCTCAAGGTAATTCAAATATTTGAACAGTTTATTCAGTTGAATACTCAGTCATAACTCATAGGACTAATTACACTTCTTTGAAGTTTCTTAATTATAGCTTTTTCTTAATCTGCTTCAGGCAGCAGCTATTTCAACTCCACATAGCCTATTAAAATATTTGCCTACAAAAAATAACTTTTGCTTTCTTAATTCCAAATGGGATTAATTATAATCTTAATCAGTTTTCTTCAGCATTTTATAATTATAATTAATGACTGATTGAGCACATATTTCAGCTTAAGCAAAATAATTAAGTATTTACGCTGTTTGAGGTCAGGGATAGAGCCGAGCAGAGTCACAATTCATAAGCATCTTTGGTGAATGTCAGCCATAAGACCTGAAAAAAGCAATACAAATTTACTTTCTTAGTCAGCGGATATAATTTTGTGGAAGCAAAGCGAACAGAGCTCACGACGTTTCAATACACTTTCAAATAAAATTGCTTTCCCTTCACAAGCATAGAAAATAAAATAATATTTATGTACCAATGTAATTAAGCATATTTCCGTTCAGGTTATTAAGCATAATTGGACGTCACAGAAGTTTAAAAAAGTTATATCAAAAGCGAACAGCTCATCTTAGATATAGGTTAGAATCTTGCTGCTATTTATGGTTTTACTTTCGTTTTAATGGACACATTTTCTGAAACAACAGACAGTCGACCAAACTAATGGACACACAATAAGTTCATAAGCCAAAAAAGTGAAATTACATCTAATAAAAAAGTGAAAAAATTTTTTTTGCAGTTATTTTGTATCTGAGTGTTGTGAGTGGCGAGTACATTGATTGGGTTTTGATTGCGCACAGTGCGTACCTCTGGCTTATATATAAAAGTGGTAAAAATAAGTCTCACAATACGAATGCAAACTTTCGCTTTAAAGCCAGGAGCTGAACGTTGAAAGGTGGCTATGGGCCGCCTACGCCATGTGGCCAATTAGTGTCAACAATGATAATTTATGATGTCAACATGTCAACAAATGTCCTCGCAATCACAGTTATTAGCCCGGGTAATGTCAAATGTACAATTAATTGAACAGGCCGCCAATTAAAATTGAGTCTCTTTATATAGACAAGTGCCCTCAGCTCTTTAAGCAAAACACTGCAAGCATCGTGAGGTCATGGCTCGTTTGTTCCAGCTGCAGGAGAACTGTCTGCTTCTAATGGGCCACAACATGAAGAGTTTCGGCGAGCGGAGCTCCCTTCATCCGCTTGGCCTCCGGCACATTGTGTCACTAGTATTTGTGCTGTCCGCCGAGTATCCAATGCTGTCGTATGTCGTCTATAATCGGGATGACATGGAGCTGATTACGGCCTGTCTGAGCGTCGCCTTCACCAACTTGGTGACTGTTACCAAGATATGGACGTTTCTCGCGTACAAAGAAAGCTTCTGGCAAATGATGCACAGCTTCAGGCAACTTGACACAAAATGTAAATCATATTCATACTATGCAGCAAAGTACGGTATAAATGTTGTTAATTAAGATTTGGAGATAGACACTAGAGTCTACTAGTTTCAAACTACTTTCAAGTCCGTAAGAGATATAAAAGAACATTTCTATATCAATTCAAATGCCCAAGATTTGTTCAATAGTGTAATATTTGCATGCAACTAATTAAACTTTGAACTCGAAATAGCTCAACATGGAACAGAAGGCTATGGGTATGTGGAGCATGGTAACAAGCTGGCCACGTTGCTGGGCCGTGCGTATAGCATCTCCTGTGGTTTTACTGGACTCTACTTCATGCTTGGACCCATCATCAAGATTGTCACCAACAGCTGGCGGGGCGTGCCCTATGAAAGGGAGCTCCCCATGCCCATGAAGTAAGAATACTTATTACCTTTCACTGAATGTTGCTTGTGCTTTCTTCTTTTTATTAGGGTTTAGTTGGGGTAATCCATCTTAAATTCGCTTTTTAAATGTTGAGCAATCTAATATTAGACCACTGAAACCTTTTTACTTTTTAACTGCGTTACATAGAACGTCAAGATAAAAGGCATGAAAGGTATTTTGCTTTTTATTTATTTCAGAATTTCGAAATGGCATTCTTAAGAAATGTGTCTACTAGGCAATGGCATTTTATACTCTGTTCTCAAAGTGAGACAGAGCATATTTTTCAGGTTGCACATTCACTAAACGTTACATATATAAATATATAAGTATATATAGTATATATATATATATATATATATATATGACAGTGTCCTGTTTTTTTTCAACTTTTAGACGTTTAGGAGGTTAATTTAAAGATTTCAGTTTCAGTCAATCTGAGAGACTTTGATTGAAGGAGGAGAAAACATCCATTATAGTCAATCCTACCTGTTATACATATTTTACTGTTCGACTTGACTTCAATTAGTATGAACAAAGCATTGCGCTGTCAGCTACAGTCAGACTTAATTTTTAATTCATATTTTATTTCTCTTTTTTTCTACATTTATTTAGCTTTTAGCAATCCCCTTTTCATCTTTCGCAAATTCGCAGCTACTCAAAGAGGCCCTTGGGCAAACTGAACGTTAAACCGTGGGCATGTTATACTAATCTTTTTTCTTCTTGTTCCTCTGCGCATCAGATTCCCTTTCAATGATGTCGAGAGTCCTGGGTACGAGTTTGGCTTTGTTTATACTCTGTTCGTAACTATCTTTGTGGTGCTCTATGCCTCAGCTGTGGATGGACTGTTCATATCGTTTGCGATTAATTTGCGTGCCCATTTCCAGGCGCTGCAACAGGATATTCACCTGTTGGCCTTTGGCCAGGAGGAACAGCTGGTAGACAAGCAGCTGGCCGATGTGGTCGAGTACCATGTGCAGCTTCTTAGCTTGTCCAGGCAACTTCGCCACATCTACACGCCCATCGTGTTTGGGCAGTTCTTCATTACCTCGCTGGAAGTGGGTGTCATAATCTATCAGATCGTGACGGTGACTATAGACATCATAATTTATATATACATCTTACTGAAGCTATCCATATACCTTTGCAGCACCTGGATTCGATTATGGCGCTCCTTGTGTATTTTTCTTTCTTTTGCTCCATAATGCTGCAACTGTTCATATACTGTTATGGTGGGGAGATTATTAAAGTTGAGGTATCAGTATCTGTACCTTCATCTGTATCTCTTTAAGCATTTGCATTTAATTTATATTTTATGCAATTCACTATATGTTCTCAGAGCCTACGAGTTGGGGTGGCTATCCAGACATCCACTTGGTATTTGGCATCAAATAAGCAAAGACGTTGCTTGATTTTCATTATGAATCGCTCCCAGCGCGAGGTGCTAATCAAGGCGGGCTTCTACGAGGCTTCCTTGGCCAACTTTCTAGCGGTAATTGATAGATTGGGCTGGGCTGTTGACAGGGGAATTAATGTGTGTCTGATAACTCGCTTTGATTTGTTTCAGATTCTGCGTGCTGCAATGTCGTTTATAACGCTCATTCAATCTATAGAGTAAAGTGCAGGAAGGAAAGAAATAAAATTAAAAATAAATAATTCATATAAATGCATTTGTCCTAGTTAAGAGCAGTAGACAAAATATATAACCTCACCAGCTACAATTGTGAGCAGGTGTCTACGTGGCTCGTTTCTTATCAGGATTTGAATACGCTATCCCACAAAGCTTAAAGTTAGTTCATTATTGTAATCGATGATTTTTTTAATTGTATCGAACTAACTTTAACTTTGCATAAACGCTTGACAATTTATTCGATAATATAGATCTAAAATATAAGTAATAAATAATATTGAATTATACGCTTCAAAACTCCCTACGATGTGCAGGGTATATGTAGATTGTCTCTGTAATACTTGGTTTCTATTGATTATAAAAGCTTGAAGCGGGCATTGAATTGCCATGAAACGAACATAAATCAAATCTAGATTGAAAATATAATTAATAAGCAAGCTTGATAAGCCCGATGGGTGCATTGCTATAAAATGGCAAAAACGTAGAACCTAAATCGTCAATTTTCAACTGTGCAGCGGTCAACGCGTACAAACTGTGTCTGCGAAGGGGCGTTAGTGGGTGTGTCTGTCTATCCGATATAAAATGAGTAATAGTAAGTTAAACGTATTAAGTCCCTAAAGTCGTAATTAAAATCCTTTGTCCTTTGGCCTTTGTTATAGAGCTTACACTGGGCTTGCTGCAGCTGCCCGCAGGCAGGGACGTCGCGGAGAACGTGCGTCAAGCTCTGGAAAGCATTATGCAGCTAAAAGCTGACAATCCGCAGCTTCAGCTGGCCATATTACCGGAGAGCTTCAACGGTCCATACAGCATTGAGGAGTTTGACCGGCATGCCGAAGCTGTACCGGATGGGCCCACCTGTCAGGCGCTGTCCAAGCTCGCCCGCAAGCTGGCTATCTACATCATTGGCGGCAGCATAATTGAGCGGGATGACCGCAGTAAGCTGTACAACACGTGCACAGTATGGGCGCCCAACGGCCAGCTAATTGGCCGACATCGTAAGGTAACTGCCTTGCACAAAATTAAGCAGATCCGCACAGAACCCAGCCTCCCATTGCCCCTTTCAGCTGCATCTCTTTCATGTGAACATTGAACCGGAACAGCTTGGCGGCGTGCAGTTCGATGAAGGCGAAGCTTTGACCGCAGGCAGCGAGCCAACAGTGGTACAAATAGGAACGCAGAAAGTCGGCATTGGCATCTGCCATGACAAGCGATTCGAGGAGCTGGCGCGTCTCTATCGAAACATGGGTAAGTTTTTAAAATCTTATACTCGAATTTATGCAAGAATATATGTATATATGTATATATATATATATATATATATATATATATATATATATATATATATATATATATATATATATATATATATATATATATATATATATATATATACTTGTAATTGTCCGTTTGATTGAAGGTTGCTCCATGATTGTCTATCCCTCGGCCTTCTGCATCTGCCAGGGTCCCATGCACTGGGAGCTATTACAGCGGGCCCGCGCTACGGATAATCAACTCTTTGTGGTCACCTGTGCGCCCGCCCGCAACAACATGTCCGGCTATGTGGCATATGGACATTCGATGATTGTCGATCCCTGGGCGAGAGTACTGCGCGAGGCGGGCCATGGACGTGAACTGATTGTGGAGACAATTGGTAAGTGGATTAGATTGCCCGCTATCCGCGTTGAGATCCACTAAATGCCCCACTTCTCAACAGATTTCGACACGGTGGATGAAGTGCGTCGCCAGATTCCCATCTACAAGCAGCGGCGCACTGATATATATGAGCAGGCCAGGGCGAACATTTAAAAACTGGCGTGCGTCTTAGAAATGTGAACAACTCGAAATAAATATGCATAAAGTTTGCCTATCCAACTAGCAGATGCCCTATAATCGCTCGTAACTCAAGCCTATATTGCACGCTAATAAAGCTTTTTTTGTTGTAGAATATATTCATAAGAGGAATACGATAATGGGTTAGCAAGCTTTAAAATAATTGTGGCATGATACCCCTTAGAGACTTGCCCTTTTCTTACGAGGTATAATTAAGTCACCCGAGCAGCGGGAGAGCAATTAAACATTTGCTGATACGACTCGACATCAGCTCTTATCAGCGTTTGTTGTTGTTTGGGCAACGGCGGATGCCATCAATATAGCTGGCAATACAGCTAGTTGTTCAGTGTATTTCAAAAAGCGTTGAGGAAACAACAACGAGGCGAGCTAAAGCTGAAAGCAAAACTAAAGATCGGAATTTATCAACAGTGGACAAAAGATGTGGACGACGCCACTGACTATGCTACTCTGCGCCAGCTTTGGCGTTGTGGAGGCGCAGATTGCTTACACAGGTCACCTCTCCGAACTGCGCATCAAGGAACTAAGCCAGCTGGCAATGCGCATGGAGCACTCCATTAATGCCAAGAAATATGCTTGCGACAGCTACTACGATCACGTCTGCAGTCGCAATCGCCCACTCTTCTCGGTTATGGGTAGGTACGAATGTAAATAAAGTTGATCTGCTCCGAAGTGAATGTATGTGAATTGATATGATATATTTAGCCAATCGACCGAACGAAAAGAATTAAAATATATAAGAAACTTCTTTCACAGTTTAGTTATAAATTGAATCTCCCACAGGTCACATGCCGCCCAGCAGCGATCTTATCCAGCTGCTAACCAAGCTGCAAAACGACCCGGAGCAATTCGAAGCGAAGCAAAAGCTGATCGACTTTTTCATATCGTGCAACACACTGAAGTCTTTGCAGGACTGCTACCGCGAAACGTTTGAGTACTTCAAGCCGCTCTTCGGCTACATAATTACCAAAGATCTGGTCGAGGGCAGCTCGCATGAGTTGCGCGACTTTCGCGAACTAATCCAACGTTTTGTGGACCGTAGTAAATCGGTTTTTGGAACCGATTCCCACCCATTGAGGAACCGACTGCAGACGTATAAGGAGAAGTTTGCCACACCCAGTATATATTTCTATGCCGGCGACCTAAATCGGGAGTACGCCGGTCTGCGCATCTATAGGGAGAGCTACGAGCACAATTTGCGGAACATTGAACAGCATCGCAAACGCAACTCCACTTTCGAGCTGGGTGTGCAGCGGACGATGCTCGACTGGAGCTTGTATCTCTATCAAAGTCGATTCAAGCCTATGTCTTATTTCTATCCCACGTTCACGGTGCATCTGTATATGACAATGTTTAACATAAGCGAGCGGCAGCGAGACTCAACTCACTTCCGGGAGGAGGTGGAGTGCCTTAAGCTGCCTCAGTACGTTAACGTCCTGAGTGAGGCTCGTATGCTGGCGGTCATCTATCTAAAGAGCTTCAGGCACACCTGGCAGGAGTATAGCGATTGGATACAGTCTTCGACAAAGCATCGCGCGATCTACGACCAAGAAAACGAGATCCTTCGACACTATCAGTTAAGCAATAAGCGCATCTTCTTCACTCTCTTTGCCCAGAACTTTTGTGAGTTTGGCAAAGAGCTAGCCGAGCACGTATTTTACCTGGGCCTCAAAGAAAATACCGACTTCTTCAATACCTACTCGTGCGGTTATCAAACTGAGATCACCAGAAATTGTGTTTGATATAATGGCTAATGTCAAATGTTTTCTCTAAGCCAAGTTAAATGCGTAAATTTGTAACTAAAGGTTTAAGTACATATTCATATTACGATAAGGTCTGTGGACATACAATTTAATATATATAAGGTCTGTCGACATACATTTTAATATATATATAGTGTATACATACACTATTGCCATAAATAATCTTTGAAATTGGAAGTCGAATGTATACTTCAAATTATGCTGATCTTCGAAAATATCTAGTTCCAGCCAATAACCTAGGGTATATCATGTGTTTAGCTCGCAGGAGAACATTCATTAGGTCGTCCTTCGACAGATTTCATCCTGTTAGTCGGCCGGCTGCCCTTAATCCTTTTGGCCAGCTTGTGGTTGCGCGCCAGTCAAAGCCTGCACTGTCTGCGCGGCCTTCGCTTGCTCCTGGCGAAACGCGTGCACCTTATCGAAGTAATCCCTGGCCTGCAGTCGGCGATAAAGCTTGGCCAAATCGCAGCTGCTCTTCCCAAGGCCATCCCGAGCCCCTAGGTCGGCGCCATGTATAACCAAAAGCTTGATAAGCTCCAGTCCAGCATCCATGACCACTGCGGAGCGTAAATGAAAGACAACATAAAAGTATTTGACTTTAAAGTGACTAACTGTCAATGATTGTCGAGAGTGATGTTGATGTGGATGTTGCTACACAGACTGATGGACACAGCAGGATCGAGATATACTGTAGGGATTAGGTGATAACTCTTTCTCTGCCTGTTGCATTCGCTTGTTAAACTCGAACAGTTTCTCAATTAGTCATTTTTCAAAAAGAGGGCCCACTCACCTGCCCGCATTAGAAGGGTCCAGTCGCAAGCATCTCTTGCCTCCAGATTGGCGCCAGACTCCAGGGCAAACTTGACCATTTCAAACTGATTGGCATCAACAGCGCAATGCGCGGGCGTCATCCCATTACAATCGATCGCCTCCAGCTGCGCCTTTTTGTTTAGCAAAATACGGGCCGATGGCAGATGACCGTGATAAAATGCCAACTGCAATGACCAGGCTGGCTTTTATTGGAACCCATCTAAGGAATCCATTCCACTCACATGCAGCGGGCTGCGTTTGTTCTGGGGATTGCCCAGATGAACACTGCAGCCAGCCGAAAGCAGGACATCGATGATGCACATCTCGCCCTGAATAATAGCATTTGCTAATGGAAAATAGCCGTTCGGGCCGGGATAGTCCACCAGGCTGGGTCTCCGGCGCAGCATGCGCTTGACCAGAAATTGCTGCGACTTGCGAATGGCTCGATACAAACAGCTTGTGGAGGGCAGCGCTGCCTCTGTGGTTGCCTAGGTGAGTTTAGAATATGATGAATACTATTAGTATGTCAGACTCTAGCTATTCAAAGGCCTCTAGGGTATACTAGTAAACACATGAATGCATTGTATGCACATGCATGCAGGACGCATATGTCCATGTATGTATGTGTGTGTATGCGCATATGCTTGAAGGCCTGCATGTATGAATGCATCCAATTGTACACGTGTTCATGCAAATATACTGCTTTAAATTTGCATGTATGTTCCCATTTGGTAAACAGATCAAGTTTACTTTTTGCTGCGCCGCAAATGTAAATAAGTAAATAAATGAATTCAGGTAAGCCCCTCAGGCTGTTGTTATATAATCGTAAGAGCTGTGATCGGAACTATACATATGGCTATGTTTAAATGTATGTATTTGCCTGTGCCAAATGCAGACCAGCTAAATGCCTTTCTATGCGATTCTTGCGAACTTAAGTTTTATATTAATTAAGCAATATAAAGTCAGAGCCACGCCAATATTTTCATCTGCATTTTCTCGACTATTCTCGGCTGCACCTGAGCTTCAAATATTTGGTAGACATAATAAGAACAATCAGCATTTTACAATGATGTCCGGTGAGACGGCTAGAGTTTCATAGTGGCTGCCATCCGGAGCACGTCCTAGCGCTCGAATCCGTAGCCGGTAGCCGAAGTTCTCCTCCAGTTTGTCTATGGTCTGGGGACTCGAGCTCGCCCAGAGCACCTGCTGCCAGCCATGTCGCCGGTGGTATTTTTCGATGCTGTAGACGCAAGCAGGGATTTGGCTAACCGTCCAGTCGATGCAGACGCTGTTCACCGTCTGCTTCGATATGCGCGCCTCGAAATTAAGCCAGCCGGGCACCGACGGGCACGGGGAATCGATTGGATACGATGCTATCGATGTCGATTGGGTTGCAATTTTATTGTTCGTGTGGTCCGACTGGCTCGACTTCTGATTGTTGTTTATGTTTTCGGACATGCTGCAAGCCGTATATGCACACATTTGGCCAATTTGCCAGCTTTATTGGTTTTGGCCACATGCCGACTGAGCCGGCTCAGCTTTGATTCCTATTACCAATCCCATTTCCCAGGCAACGTCGACAGAAACTGAGCCAGCAACAGAACAACAGTAACAGACACAGAACAACAACTAAGGAAATTGGCTTTGTTGATTTCACTTTACCCGCAATTCAGCGTGCTGGTGCCGCTCGCATTTACTTTCAAATGAGTCCATTAAACTTTTGCTTGACAATGTAACGCATAAGAGAGGAAATTCAGAGCTCATAATTAGTATGAATAGAAAAGATCAATCTGTTTGCATCGACAGCCATTCCCATACATAAATTTCCCTGAACCACGCTACGAAATAAATAAGGTAAGAGCATTAAATTTGAGCCACTCGAGCAATACGCATTTTTTCTCGTTTATTTCGGTTGTTAAATCAATAAATAGTTGCAACACTGCTGTTGGCTGTTGGCTGTTGGCTGTTGATTGCTTGTCCTGGCGCCCATTTCTGTGTCCAATGCAGCAGGACTCAAATGTATATTCGTGTTGGCTGTTATCAGGGGCGTGGTGCGAGGCGAGGGCGAGTAAATAGTAGAGATAGAGATAGAGACATTTAGAGAAAGAGAGGGAAAGAGATAGAGAGAAAGGCGCTTGTAGCAGTCAGCCCAGATGTAAGTAGTTTTTTGATCTACCAAAACTGAAACTGAAACTGAAACTGAAACTTTTTTCTGTATCATATCAATGTTTGAGTGTGTGTGTGCGAGTGTGTGTATGGCAGCTTGCTTACTTAACGACCCTTTGACACACTCTGCGAGTTGGCACATGGGTTAGGGGGTAGGGGATGGGCAGGCTTCGTATATATGTCGCGCGTATTGTGCCAACTCATCGACCACTACAAAATTACAGACTCAAAGGGCAGCTGACAAAGGGAGGCAGAGATATCGTACTTGTAACTGGGATGACGAAGCAAACACAAAAGCTATCGCACACAGCCTGCCACACGCATACACCTAGCCCGCTACGCTCACCCACACAGCGAGGCACGCAAAAAAAATTATCATTTGTCAAAATCACAACATGAAACCGTTTTAAATTAAGCCACTCCGCCGTGTACATCTTTTTCTCTCACGCCTCTTCCTTTCCCAGCTAAAAAATGACATTTTGTCTGCGGCTGAAGTGAAGTTTAGTTGTCATCTTTGGCGGCAGCGACAGCGGCAGCTCTTGAATTCACATTGATTGACGACGACCGCCAAGAGTATACCAACCTCAGGGACATGAGCGGCTGAATAAAGAAGAAGAGAGGCTGCGGTTAGGGGCGCGGGCAGTTTGTATTAAATATCAGGGCTGTCAGCTAGCAACTGGCAGTGAGGGGTAAATTAACTTTATCGTTTGGCTTGGCATTGTGAAAGAAATCAATTTTGAGCGCCAAGTGAGACTGCTCCATTGCACTTTCAATAGCATTGCGATTCCAAGCATTTCCAAATACAAATCAATATGAAATAAAGTATGAAGTAAATATTAAAAAAGAGAACTCTGAATGAGTCTCTTGGCAATTAAACAAGATGTGATGATTCAAAGATTAAATACATACATAGCAAGAAAAAGGTCTCGATAATGAATAATAAATATGATAGTAAAAATAAGAAGAAATATTTAGTCATATATGATTATTATTACTTGAATTACTTTCTCTCAGAGTACTAAATGCGTTATTTAGATACAATATATTCAAGTATTTATAACCGCTGAGACGGAAAATAAGAGCACCAAGGAGGAATATGCTGCATCAGCAAGAACAGTAAGAACAGCAGTTGAAGTCCTGCTCCCAGCAGTCTTTACATCACCCAACAAAGTCTAAAACTGTTGGCACGCTCCAAAAGTGGCCAATTTGGCTGGCATAGGCATCACGGAAGAGGCGGCAAAAGGCAATGCCAAAAACCATCATAAGAAAACCAATAGACGTTAATGGAAAAGAGAGAGGGGCGAAGGCTTAGGCAGGAGCGAAAAGAATAACGAAGGAAGCGCTCAAGACAGGTGGCATAAAACGTAATGGGTTTGATTTTAATCTAAATAATGGGCTCTGGGCCGCGTGCTGACGTACATGGCTTAATTAAATAATTTATATAAATTACCTATACGCCTCTTACACGCTCATATACAGACACACATCTACAAACACTCACACATACATTAGCTATAAATGTAGGCGCACAGCGCGCGCGCGTTCTCTGCATCTGTGTGAGTCAGGTGTTGCCACCTCGCCCGTACAAATTTCAGAAACTTTTTCGTTCTTTTTTTGGGTGGTAAACAAGACAGTCAGGTTTTAGTCTGTTTTATCAGCGCTTCGTGTATGCTCGACAACTTCCGGTGCGTGTGCTAAAAATTTACAAGCGGAACATCTGAATAAAAAAGCAGACGATACACAACAAAACCCTCACTCACTCCCACCGGCTGTCGCCGGTTCCCATATCCGCGCATTGTTAATCAACCAACAATTTGCCTGTGCAAGCAGCTGGCAAATAGATTTAACAGTTAACATATATCTTATTGTCGCATTGCTGCACTGTCAGCCTGTTTTAGCTAGCCAATTCAAAGTCAGCAAGCTTTTTTTTGGCCAAGAGCTTTCGTTTGGGGTCAACTGTTATAACTGACGTTCAGCCTCCCAGCCTGCCAGCCTACTAGCCAGTGGCCGCCGAATTGAGAGCCACCCGATAGCTTCTCTCGCTCTGGCTGTCGTCGAACTGCTAGCAAGCACTGTTTCTCTCCCACTCTCTCTCACTCGTTTACTTATTCACGCTCTCGCTAGTTTTGCGCTCTTTGCATGTTGGCGTTGTAAATTGTGTGCACTGAATAACAGTTATTTGGTATTTTCGTTGTAGTTGGGCTCGAAAAAAGTGGTTTTTGTGTATGCCAGTGGTGAAACGGATTTGTTGTTGTTGTTGTTGCGCCGCGAGCACAGCAAAGAACGAAAGAAAATAGTAATTTTTCAAAAATTATTGTTGCTGTTGCGTAGTGCGTTTAACGGTGCCTTCAACGGTTGTAGGTAAGCGAATCCCTCTGCGGCCCATCAAATTTTTCAACATTTCATATAAACGAAAAAAATAAAATAAGTAAAATGAAAAGCCAGCACTGAAAACAAAGTAAACGCCATCCACGTTGCCCACTCATTACCCAGGGGAAAACCCAATTCGCCTAGGGCCAGGACGTGACATTCATCTCAAGCAGAACGCACAACTAGCACAGGTAGTCAGCGGCGAGGGGCTGTCCAACGGTAATAAGCAATTTGTGGCTACAAAAAGAAAAATGCGAATAAGTAGAAGGTGAAGAAATTATAATTGATTGGTATATAAAGCAGAGGCAAAGAAACTATAATTGATAAAGTGCAAGACAATAAAGTTGGAGAGCATTTGTTGGATTTATATCAGACTAATTAGAATTCTTGCGACAGACAGCCAGACACTTTACCCTAAAGGCAATTGATGCACTGACCACTGAACAACGGACGTGGCTAAGAACTTTGCAATTTCCTACTTGCAAGCTGTGCGTTTCCGCTGAGCCACAAAAGTTAGTTCTGTGCGTATGTGTGTGAGATTATGGCAAGTGACAGGGAGAACAAAGGCGTCAAGCCCAACTCTTTAGCAGCTGTGTGTGCCATATGCTGAGCTTATCAGTGCCATTTGGGTACATCACTTCTATTATGTTTTGCTTCTTTTTTAGGGGGAAAGGCTATCTCAACAACAACAAATCAATAACGCATAATTTGGCCATATGTAGTGCTTAGCGTAAAACTCAACATTTCTGACGGACTTCTCTCATTTGCGTAGCGCAGGCGCCGGCCGCAAATAAGTAGGCAACACTTTTTATTTCAAAGTCAAAAAGTCAAAAGAGAACGAGAGCGAGAGCGAGAGAGAGAAGGAAAGAGAATGCGCGCGAGTGTAAGCAGTTCGTATAAAAAATTATGTAATAGAAATAGAAGTAGATGAAAAGCGACGGCAAATAAATATATTATTAGTTAAAAAACTAAAAGCTATTATGTACGCACGCATACACACACACAGACGCACGCCCAAAAACAAAATTGTACATACGCATATGTAGGAAGCGTTTCGATGAACCTACTCGAAGAGCGCGTTAGGCTAATGCGTTAGAGCAGTACAGCTAGTGGGCACTCACTCAAAACATAAATCGGGGAAATTTCAAAAGCTTTGGCAAGAATGCTTGCTGCTGAGTGAAATTGTACGAGTGAGTGCTTTTGCTTTTTGTTATTTGTTGTAAGTGTAGGCGCCGTTACGGCTGCGACGCCGACGCTGGCGCCGCAGCTGCCTACAGCTGGTTGTCTGGCTGGCTCTGTTCTGCTTGGCTTTGCTCGCTGCGCGCCGCAACGGCTCGAGTTTTCCATGTAGGCGACTCGGCCGTGCGACACAGAAGAGTGCGAACATAGCATGAAGTAAGAAGCGCCCGTATTAAATACGAAAGTAAAGTGCACAAAAAAGTATTGAATAAAACAAAAAAAGGAAAAATACTAGCAGATACGCATATGCTATATACACTCATATATATATATATATATATATATATATATATGTATATGTATATATGTATATGTATATGTATCTGCTTGTGTATGTAAATCTACACTTAACAGATATATAATAAGATAATACACACATACATACATAAAGAAAACACACATTCACATACAAATCGATCAACAATAAAACAGAATTAATTCAATTAAAAACAATTATATTGCTGCTCTCTGAGCTGCATTGGCAATAGCGAGTTAAGACGGCGACTGCGGCTGCATTGAAGTGGAAGCCGAAGGCAATTTTATGTAATCGGGGGACCAAAAGTGTCAAAGTTCTTAAAAATTTGATTAAAACAGAGTTGTCCAACGTGTGTTACGTAAAAATTTTGTCTGTGTGTGTCTGTGTCTGTGTCTACATATATGCCGCACACACGCCTGGCTCTGCCTCGTAATGGGCACTTACGTGCACGCTCGCATAAAAGAAACCCTAATAAAGAAATATCGATAAAAAAAAAAACAACAAAACACGAACACACATGCACAGCACAAATAATAGGATATAACATCGCCGAATATTAAACTCACTTTAAGACATACTAACAGCAATTACATCTACATTATATGATTTGAATTGCATCTGTGATGATATTTCCTAAGCTAATCTGGTCTTGTATCTATACGTCAGGAACACAACTCGTAACTATTTATAGAACTCGCAAAGTTGAGCACGAAACTAATAGGTCGATAATTCTGAATGGCATTGATTCGAGGTGTTAGCAATCTATCTAGACTGACTTAAACAAGTTTTTACTTTAAGAAATCGATATTTATAGAGATCGCTGAACAATAATAAATATATCATTTGCTTTCTTCTTATGTATGGGAATATATATTGATTATAAAATAACTTAAGCACATATGTCATATTTCGTAACATAACAACCTAACCCTTGCATACTCTGAAGTAACAGTAAAGAAGCACATACATAGGCTGCGTATGTGTAAATGCACGTGTATGCGTGAGCTTATGTTTAAATTAGCTGCAATGTCAATAGGTTATGTGTGCTCAATAGAGCTGACCCCCAAGGCAAACTCATGAAAATTGTTTCGCTATCTATTTCTTATCAACAATTCATCCATACATCCATCTCTCTCTTTCACTCTCGTTCTTATTCTATGTCTTTTTATGCAGTAAATTCAAATAGTTTTTTTTTTTGTTCTTTTTATCTGTGTTTACTTTGCAGCGAACTCTTTCTGTCTGATGCTCGGTCTTCTTAGTGGATTTCTCTAAAAACAACACAAACAACTTTCTAAAACTTTGCTTCTTCTTCTACAACAACAACAACTACTACAGCTACAACAACAACTGCATCACTACAACAACAACAATCACACCATCAAGAACAACACGCACAGCAGCACACGCAAATATAAGCGGAATATTTACGGAACAGTAGGTAAGTTAATGCACAGCTGCCCAGCTGAAAAGCATCTAAAAGTAGCTACAAGTATCTCAAAAGTATCTCTTAGAGTTTAAAGTATGCGAGAAGTGCGCGTCAAGCTGGCAACGCACTAAAACTCTGCATAAACTTTGCGCATTTTCACGCGGGAAGTGGCCAGACGCCGCAGAGCACACGTGATTTACCTGATTTGCCCCCTGCCAATTCAGCTAACAGCCATGTAATGAAAACTTTTGATTTGCGTCCACTGTTAAAAAAGTTCGCCCTAACAGTTAACTTTGACAAAGCTTACGCTGCGTATACTTAATGGCGTCTTAACCTTAAGGTGAGCTCCAAGCTACCTGATTTCGATCTACCAATTCAGCAAACACCTACCCAGTAAAAACTTTTGATTTACTTTGATTTTAATACATGTTGGGGAATAGTGTGACGCGTTAACATTTGCCTTTGAAGGACTACCCCGCATTTACTTAATATATCTTCCGCAGCCAAAGGAGCTCTAGGATAAAGGGTAAAGATGTATGTTCGGCTTTCTCTCATAAAAAATTTCAACAATGCCTGTCATTCCGGCACAGGTTATAGTTTCTCAAAAAGTTTCGCCTTATTAGTTGAGTCCAGTAACACATGCTCTCATCCACGAGGATAGCTCTTGAGCACCCGATGTACACCTTAATACACACTACATTTAATATAGTCAAGTCTTATCTTCGGTTTTGTATCTAGTCGTCGAAACACGGCAGAGTTTCAGCTAAAAAAGTTTATATATGGTCTGCTTACTGCGATTGGGACCCACTGTAAAAGTTGTAAAAAGCTTTCTAGTGGACGTTGCTTACCTTGCGTATTCGCAATATGAGTTCATTTAGGACCATTCATGCCTGAAAATTATGTTAAGTTTCTCTGGGAGAAAAGTTTTGATTTGTTCCACAGTAAAAGTGAGCCGCATTTTGCCAAAGGGTTTCCACTTGACATTGGGCTTTGGGTAGGCTTAGGCCGCGTATACTTGATATCGCTGGTGACCTCTTAACCCCATCCTCCTGTGAACGAGCTCCACTTACTGCGGCGTCATAGGAACGAACCAAACTCAACTTGGCTTATTTGCGTGTTTATTGGCTTTAGCCAACAACTTGAAGCGTAATTGGATAGCCCTGCAAAAGAAATGCGAATTGGCTTTTGTTGGGGCACACCTGAAACAGCGGCAGCTGCTGCTTCTGCTTTTGCCCCACCAAATTCTAAACACGAAACCCATAAATTTTCGCTTTTATTTACATATTTTATAGTAGGAGCAGCCCAAAGCCTTGACTAGGCTGTTAAAACCCGTCTGTTTCGACCAACTTGCCCGCTTTTCGCTTCGAAAATTAAAGTGAATTTCGTCCGTAAACTGACATCCAGAAGTTAGTTCGGGTTTGCTCGATAACCACTTGGCCTGTTAATTCGAGAGAAGGATTTAAGCGAATTACTAAGTCTAAGTAGAATTGGCTAAGATAGAATGAACACAATTAAATAATACTTACAGAATATGAGAATCGTACCTGAAAAGGAACAAGTCTGAAGAGGCTATAGTCTAAGCCGAGCAACAGAGCTTACAGATCTATTCGTAATATATGTAACTTCACAGGTTATAAAATAAATACAGTAAAAATAAGTGAAGTGAACGTATACCCCTTGCTACGTTTAAAGTGCAGGGTATGCTTAAAGTAAATTTCGTAAAAATAAAATATGTTTATCTTTTATTTTTTGTGGGTGGGTCCTGGCGGAAAGTGGTGGGGTGGCTAGGTGTTGGGGCCCAATAAACAATTCTGTTGACGCGTGGCCGCAGGGCGCCTGAAAAGCTAAAAATTCTCTGTTGCGCCAGCTTAATTCATTAGCTTCGCGCAGGAAGCAGGCAGACAGGCATACAGGCAAGCAGAATGGAAGGGAGAGAATGTCCTGAGTCCCGTACATCCTGACGATCTGTCAGGCTAACTGTCTATTCGCTCAGCCTGTCTGCCTGCCAGGCGTATGCTTTTTATGTCAAACTAATTTGGTTGCTCGTTTAGCTGGGCGTTGTTTTAATTTGTTGCAGCCCCAGTCCCAGCCACGCCCCAAGCTTAAGTTTGTTAGCCCAATTTGAGTAAATATTAATACATGGCATGAAGCCACTGGTACTAGATGAAAATGCAAATGTAAATGAAAATAAAAATAAGCTGTCGCCGCGATATTCTACAGAATTGCAAATTTTCTCTCCCTATTCTCGTTGCTGTTGCTGCTGCGCAAGCAAGTATATTGGCTTCTTTGGAGTAACTTATACAGTTGAGTGTTGGCAGACCTTCTCAACTTCATTAGCTCAGTAAGTTTTTAAGCGCAAAGCAAATTATTTGGGGTCTTTGGACTGTGAGCGACTATTGGGTCCTCTGTTACATGCGACTAATAAATTCTTATTTAACTTTTATGTTGCGCCCACATTCATTAGGATATTATTGTGCGAGGCCTCAGATAATATTAGATTATGTGTAGTAGTACAACTGGCAGGCAGGCTGGGCTGCTCTGGGTTGGACTGGTAATTTCAGAAATGTGTTGCATATACTCTCACGCACACAGCTCAGCTGTGGACGGAGAACTGTCGAGCAGTGCAGTCGGCCAGTCGGCGGCATTTAAGCTAATCGGCTTAAAGTATATACTCCAGATACTGGCATTGGCAGTGGCAACGGCACAGGTGACTGGCCAAGTTGGATGTAGGATACAGAAGGAGAGCTCTGGGGCTCATTGTTCTAAGGATTGTTCTGTTTGAACACAATTTAATTTGCTTGACTTTTTTCTTTCTCTCTCACAGTTGGTTTTCTTTTCAGTTGCGACGTTGGGCTCAACGCAAGCCGTGACTGCATTTTCCAGCAGCAGCGTCCACGCCTACAGATCCAACAACAAAAGCCAACAGCAAGAAATAAAACACAATGGCGGCGTTTATTGCGAAACAGATGGTTGGAAACCAATTAAGTGCCGTTAAAGGTAAGCAAAATCTAAATATAAAACTCCAAACAAAACTAACTAGTTTTAATGGACATATTACTGAATTTCATATTATTAAAACAATCGCAAAGCAAGCATAAGCAAAGCCACACCAGAGAGCAAATGTAAATGAAAATTATAATCAAATAAAAACTTACGATTTATAAGCAGAGAACAAGAATAGATCTTCGACGTCAGCTTGAACCTATGTTCATAGAAAGATATATTTGATATATATGTATATTATCTAATATGAAATGTATGCATATTTTTTCTAATTTCTGTAGTTACAATTCATATTTCCTTAATGTAAACTGATATGACCGAGAGAGTTGTTACTCAAGAGATACTCAAAATAGTTAATCGTTCTTATAGTATCTAGATTTTGTGCATGCAATGTATGTATAAAAATGTATAAAATAATATAAAACCCACTCGCTAAGATACGTGCGAAAGATTTGAGGTAGGAATTCCAAACTTGCCTCTGTTTGCTATTTTCGTAATCTTAACTGAATCACAGGTACATGAAAACAAGAATTGGCAATACAAACGAGCTCCCCTCGGAGCAGTATCTTATATGATTATGCTCATGTATACATGCATATGGATATATAGCTAAATGGGGTGAAAACGCACACAGAGCCACACATATATCTATGTAGGTACATATATATATTTTTGGCATACTCGATCGATAAACATACATAATTCATTTTCGAGCTACTGCACAGCGCAGCAGATGGAAGCAAGTACAAGTAACTGCCACACATGAAAGTGGCTAGCGCCCGCAGCTCCGCCATCTCGCGTCCCGCGTCTCTCGTCTCCTGTCTCCATTCTCTAACTCTCTTGGCTGTTGCTGTTTTTGTTTAATCGTTGGCTGTGCAATCGCTTGGAAAATCAATGAATGCTTTCAAAAACGCGGCACTAGAATATTTTATTTAAAACGCTTATCAACTGGAAGCATGCGACATGCCACAATGCAGCATATGGCATGTGGCAAACATTTACATAGCCACTGTATAACGTGTATCTGTGTATCTAGGCGTACGTATTTGTGTAGCTTTAGGTGTGAAACAGAGTCTCGCATTTGCTAGCGCCCGTTGCTGCTGCCCATAAGGCCGAGTAGCCATGGCGTGCCCCAACCCCATTTCCTACTCGACGTTCCCTCGCCAGCCTCGAATGGCTTCTTCTTATCAAGCGCAGAAATTCTGCACGAATGCGTCGCCAAGTGGTTCTAACAAATTGATACAGTTAATTGCGTTGATTGATGCTAAATTTACAGAACTTAGGCAACGACTTGGCTCAGCCATAATACCACTTATAGAGAGCGATAGCAAGTCAGAGACGTCTTGTTAGACAGATAGAGAGAGAAAGAAAGTGTGCGAGCTCAATCATTAGACAGCCCACTTGTCAACCCACCTGCCACAGGCACTTGCTACATGCCACATGCCGCATGCCACTCGCCTCTTTCCACTTGTCAAGCTGTCGACTGCGGCTCTGCGAGTTGGCATTGATAGACTGGTCGAAAAACATGAAAAAGCTATTAGCATGACCATAAAAATTGAGAAATCAAATCGAAGAACCATATATTAGTATTTATGTACATTATATATATATGCTGGCACACGTATGCCAATTACCCAGCCACAAAGCTCAAGATACTCTGTGACTCCCTTTTCTTTTTGCCAGCTACTTACAGTTTCAGCAATTGTGAGCAAAATGATATAAAAAGTGTATAAGTATTGCTTGATTGACTTTAAGATATCCTGTAAGCAAGAGTAAAGTATCCTCTGTATCAAAAGAGTTTTTCTTGAATATCGTAATATCGAGCTAGGCACCTTAGAAGCTTTTATAAATAGTGCCAAATAATCGATAACTGCAAATTGTGTTTATAATAAACTTTCGTTTTACAGAGTATCTAGTAGAGGTCCTTTTGATGGACTCAACACGCCTGGCTGATCTGAAATTGTATAAGGTTTATGGTCTCTTGAAGAGTCTACTTCTCTTATATTTCTAAGCACACTTTCGTTTCGGCATAATAAAAGTAAGAGCAAATCGTAAAATATTTTTTGCCAATAGCTAAAAACTGAATGTTCTACGGTAATATAACATTGTTTCGAAATGCAGACTTACAGTTTTCAATCTGTAAAACACTTTCCGCTCGGTTAGGCAAGAGGAGTGAGTATATGTGCTCAGAGCATGGGCAGCTAATGCGTTTCCATTGTCGTTTTCACAGAGCACAATCGTTGAATTTATTTGAGTTGCTGTCGTGTTAGTCTTTATTACTATTGCCTGTCTTATGCGAGAATAATATATATGGATTAGAAGTAATAAATGGGCCAAACGTGCAGACAGAAAATAGCTCCATGCTAAATGTACTGCAATTCACTTTAAGAGCAACTATCACAGCTATATTTTAATGCAATTCAACTTTTCTCTTCTTTCAGGTAAGCGTTTTGTTTGTGCAATCTAACCGAGTTCGTACTCAGCGCGTAAGTTGCATACAAGAAAATAATCATAACTATCCATAAGTGAATACCTTATCAAACATTATTATAACATACATATATGCGGCACACATTTCGATTATGATTTGAGCCTGATTTTCAGTTTTGAATGAAGAATCAGAAAACGTAATTGATTGACCTTAAAGCATGAATGAAAATAAAAGAAATTGGCCATTTTAGAAATTTGTTAAGATTGCGTCTTAGACTCGTTCGAAATTGAAATTGAAAACAAACAAATACTTATTTATATCATTTCTAACTCCTATGCATAGCGTTGCACCTTTGTTTCTTCTTGTTTTTGTTTTTGTTTTTGGTATTCTACTCTAATTACTAACTCAAACACTTTCATCAGAAATCATTTATGGCACGCAGCTGTCACTAGCTAGCCTGTCACTCAATTGACAACTACGTATTATATTATATACAACTTTATTGTACTCTATTTAAGCTTAAGTGCACACACAAATCATAAAAAGTGCCCATAACCGACTTGAAGATAAAATAAAATGTACATATTTGTACGCTCCTCCCTATTACCTATTCACGGCCGAACTTTACCTCATTGTAAAACACACACTAAACACAAGAGCTTGACAAACACCAGTAACAGCAGAATATAAAATACAAAACTCAGAAAACACACTCACAGAAACACAGCCACCTTCAAACGATACCCAAGTGCACAGCAATCCTTAGAAATGTTCATGCACTTTACACAAAAAACATACAACAATGCCCCAAACGCCCTACTTTCCACACCCTCATGGCCGGCAACAATGAACACAGCTGCCAACGCCTTTATAACAAATATAAAGAAAAAAACGCACAATTCAATTTCTTCTATTACAATCTCTTCGTGCCTTCTTCTGATAAGGCTCTTTCATTTTTTTCACAATTTTTTTTTTTTTTGTAACTTTGTTATTAACATGAATTCCACGCCTCGTTACGCCTCGCATTATAAGATGCCGCCGGAAATTTAATACTTTTGGTATCAAATATTTATCGGGGTTGACTATTTACACAAATATGTTTCACAATTGACAGTTACTTAACGCAAAGCTCAACGTCTTCCAACAATACAAACTTAAAACTTTTATTTTAAATACAGATAAGAAGTTCTTATCGTTAAATACATCCAGGAGAGATTGTTGAAGTTCTCAATACGAAATCAGTCAAAACTGGCTGACTTACCCAAAAATATGCATATCCTGCTTACTTACCGATATTTTCCAAACTAACTTTCTAACACTTTATCACTCAATCGGTTACCTTAATATACCTTATCTGAAGCTTACATATATATACGTATATCTACCTATTCATAAATCGTTCATTTTTCAAGCTCAACAGCACTGAAACAAACTTCAATAATACTTTTTTAATAACAACACACACACACATAGAAAACTATTTACTTACTACTTTCTATCAACTATAATTTTCAACTTATTCAACTATTCTACTTCTCCTACTCCCTCGCCTTTTCTTTCTCTCTATCTTTCTCTATCTGTTATATATTTTGCTAAGCTATTCAATATAAACGCATACTCTCACGATCTGCCTAATGCATCAATATCATTAAGAATCGTAGCCATCTACTAACTATATCTATCTCTATACTATACCACAACTAAAAAGAAAACAAAGAAATAAAGAGGCGTATTAATGAAAATTTAACCTTTACTCTCCTCGACCCCCCACACGCTGAACAGATGCTGCAGGCGGTAATTTCTGAAGAAATAATACCTATATAAAACAATATACTATATATATACGTATATATATAATATAATCTCGTTTCTTTACATTTCCTAATCAAACTTTTGTATGAACCACACGCATTTTTGATTCGAAGTTTGCGAAATTTCAAATTAGATCCCACATGATATCAGTATTTGCTATCGTGTACAAATCATGCTCTATATAACATATATACCTCTTTATAATATAAGTATATAGTATGATTTGTAGACGATATACTTAGTCTTTTAGTTTTTCTTAAATAAAACGAACTCATAATTATTTCGTGCTTAATTTAGTTATATTACTTGGTGCACATACCTATCCCCTCTCTCTCTCTCTTTAAATGAAAATCGAATAAAAGTTTGCACAAGAAAAAATAAGCTTTCGTTAGTACCGTTATTTATGCATATGCAAACTTTTGTCCTACGAAGTTTTTGAACTAAAACTTAGTTGAATGAAGACAAAAATAATAACAGAAAAAGCGTGCATTAAATTTATGATTAACTTTAAGTTTTGGGTTATTTTTTAATTAGCCCAGAGAAAAGCCCTCAACATTTTTTAATTTCTCCAAAAAATTGCCAGCATCTGTACTATATACTAATTATATTAACTATGATTAACAAATTTGAGAAAATTTATAAAAATTTGCATAGTTAGCATTGCATATCCGAGTTTTAGTTTCTTCCAAAACGAATTATGAACGATATGAATTTGTGATTTCATTTTGCATTAAAATATTTTGGAAATTTGAAAAGTAATCTATTTTATTATCTTTGGTTACCTATTACTTCTATATCTACTACTACTTCTACTTCTTCTCTAACTACTACTAACGTCTATTACTAAAACAACAACAACAACAACAAAAATTAAAACAACAACAACCTTTCGTACTCTACTTTGTACTTACAACCATATATGGAACCATACTAACTACAATAAAACAACTTACATCTTCTACTACCTTCTACTACTACTACTACTATAAAACTACTCTTAACTACAACAACAATAAAAACAACAACAAAAACTTCTACAACTATTATACAACGTATTTACAATGAGGTAAAGTATAAGTAAATATTATTTCTATGTATATAACACAATAGCTATCAAAACTATCTATCTACTACATCTCTATCTATATCTTTATCTATTATATTTATATACACATATACCTATATGCATATATATATAAATGGCTGTCTATCTATCTATATTTCAATCTGTATGGACGCCTATATCTGTATCTGTATCTTTATCTTTATCTGTATCCATATATATATTTTGTTAACTCTACACTACTGTGCCCCGCACTTCAGTTAGCTAACAATGTCAATAACACAAATGCTGAGTGTTCTCAATAAAAACATGGAAAATAAAAAACAAATAACTGTTCTGTAGTCAGTACTGACCGACTAGCAGGTTTCATGAAGTCATTACTCTACTGTGAATAATTATCAAACAAGTTAACTATCTAAAATCTGTTTATATTTTAGTACATACAAAATTTGATTATTTTATAAGAATTCAAATCTTAAAGGCGATTCTAATCGATAGTAGAGAAATGCAGAAAATAATTTATTCTTATATATTCTTTGTGATGTGATGTATGTATGATGTGTATAATTTAAGGTATCGCAGATACCTCCTAATGACTCGTTTAATATTTTTTCAATAGATAGCGCATATGCTTGCTATACTCGGCCATTTGGAAAACATTTCTCTCCTGCGAGCTGCCGTTTGCTATTTTCAATTCGTATTTTGACGAGCAAGCATTTTGACACATGCGACACATGCCACAAATAGGCAAGACAACACCACTTACATGACAGCTACAGCTCCATCTAGAGATGCAGATACCGATACAATAGTAGATACCGATACAGATACAGACACAGACACAGCTGGCTACAGCTGTCCAGAACATTTGCAATTGATGTACTTAGCGCCCAAATGTAACTGTCGCTCATTTTTCTCAATTTGTTAGAGAACATTTGTGACGAGTACAAAAGGAAAATTGAAACTTAACTCCATCTGATTTTGCGGTTAACGTGAAAATTCAATTTGCTATTCTTTTTTCATTATTTAAATGGAGCAATTGCTTCCTACGCTCCTATTGTTAACAATTTTCAAAGGATTGAAGCTTAAAGCGATAAGAATAAATTTAAAAGTTTCGTATTAGCTACTTGAGGAGTTTTCAATGGAATTAGTTTTCTTACCGTAATTATAGATTTATGAAATTAAATAGAGAAAAGTAAAGACTTTAATTATTGCCTTTTAAGCAATTTAGTAATAAAAAAATTAGCCCGAAAGATGACAGACTCGAAAGCCTCTAAGGAGCTGACAATTTTATTCGCTCAAGCTCAGCTATCGAACTATCCTGGACCCGAGATACCGACACGTCCTGGCAGGCGCGCAGCATAACTAATTCTGTGGGCGCAAAAGACCACAAAACTAAACGCCAAATGACGCACTTAATGGGCAATGCGAGAGGTGTGGGAGATTCGCCGCTCTCACATAAATGCTGCATATTAAAAATTCTTTAAATATTTGTACTGCGAAAAATATTTGCATGCAGTTTATCAGCTGTCAGAGCTGTAGACGCGGCAGCATTTTTGTCAAATTTTCAACATTTACTGACATGGAAGGCACATTCCCAACACACAGACAACGAATAACAACGCTGGAGTGCGAGAGTGTGCGGCGTGAGTGGGTGAGTTTGTGTGTATGTGTGTATGACTGTATGAGTGTGTGCAAGTGCTGTTGGCTAACAACTAATTGCTAAAGCTCAAGAACTGAGAAAAGAATTGAGTGCACAGCCAGCGAAATGGCAATGAGATTTACTTGCGTCATTATGAAGAGCCATAAGCCAAGGCTTGGCTAAGGGGGCAGGACAGGAAAAGGACGAGACACTCTTTGCCACAAGTACAAGACAACATTATAACACTTGCACACGCCCACTTTTCGACTTACTTATGCACACGCGTGTGCCCAAAGCGGCACAGTTCAAAGATACAACGACTGCTTAAAACGATACCGCTACACGAGCTAAAGATACACTCGAAGAAAATGAGAACTGAAAATTAAGTGATAGTGACTTAAGCCATAGCACGTTCTACTGATAATCCAAATACTTTTCGATTTCTGTCTTTGTCTTATTTAACTTAATTAATGGATCTTTCCTAAGAACTTACATCTTTTACACAGGTTCCCCACTTTTAAGATATTAGATAGGTTTTCGTTAAGTGTACAATTAGAGCCGAAAGTTAAAGATATACGGCCAAATTGTCAATGGTGTGCGTGGGTACGGATGTATGCGAGTGGGTGCGTGGCCATAAGTAAATATCCAGGACTCTTTGAGGCTGTTAAAATGTAATTACGCCGGGAATATGGTAGTTGCTATTAGTGACTATGACAATGAAATCATTTGCTCTGGGGGAAGCAGTGACTAAGGGCTGTGGAAGCTGCGTGCTGAGGTGGGTTGAAGTCGGAGGCCCGGCAACGTTTCAGCTGCTTAAGCTAACATCTACTTAGAAAAGTCGCAGGATTGCGCGACCGAACACCCACTTCCTGTCATTTGTAGATGCCGCCGACGCCTCCAACTCTGACCCAGATGCGGATGCAGAGCCCGATTGCGGCATGGGTGGCCGTAGAGGGTTGCCAACAAAGCTCGGCGGTCTTGAACCGGATTAAGCAAGAAAATAATTTGACGTTCGTGCCTTTTCAGCAGCTCCTTGCAATAAAAAAAGAACAGAAAAATTACGCACACACACAGATAGAGAAAGCAATAGAGAGATAGAGTGGAAAGGTATGTGTGAGACACTCGCGCAAATGGCTGGCGCTTCCTTTAGCTTTTGCTTAGCACTTGCTTCTCATTTGTGTCTGTGTGTGTGTGTGCGTGCATATGTGTGCTGGCAATACAAATGGAAATGGAACTCTAATGTAGTATTCCCTCAGCATGCGCGTATTAAGTCGCATAAATGTCACCAGCTCGCAGCCATCCTCATCCACTCATCCATATATAGATGCCACACCAAAGCCTAAGACAATTCCGAGAGGGAGCTCCAGCCCTCCGGTTCAGCCTCCTGTCCACTTCCTCTCTCGGCTGACGACTGACGTGTTGGTATTCAAAATAGCATTCGAAGCAATAAAACGCAGCGAGAATCTTACTTATCCGGTCTTTGGATCGTATATCAGACTTATGACTGGGACCAGAGCACTTAGGCAGCATCCAAAAGGGATGACACAAATACAAATAAAATATATGTATATCTATACATATATATATATATATATATATATAGAGCTTGGCCGCAGGGCTAGGTATTAAGTACCCTCATTATGGCCAGGACACGCAGCGCTGAAGTAAAGCTTTTAACAAAAAAAAATAAGAAAAGAAAAAATTGTTGCCAAGAACAACCAATTTGTATACCCAGGGTTAGATTCAAAGTGATTTCTTAAAAAAGTGTGAGTGGAGCTGTCAGGCAAATGTTGCACGCAAATTAAAGACTTCCGAGGGGTCCGTCTTAAAGGTTCAGGCCGATAGCCAATGAGTTGTCCGTTAGAAAATAAATAAAATAAACAAAATAGATCAAAAAGATAAAGAAGCTTGTACATATAAATATGTACATGTATATATATAATATATATATAGCTACATATATAAATAAAAAAGAATCTCATGAAAATGAAGAAAAGCTGCCTGACCAGGAGGATTGCAGCTACATGCACAAGCGCTGTTACTTATGCTGCCATGATAATTATATTACAATAGGCTTGATTAGTTTTTAATTGAGTTGCGACGAGTTGTGAACAACTTCAAACATAAGGATAGAGAGAGAGAGTGAGAGAGAGAGAGTATATATAAAAGACACTCAAAGAAAATCTGAATGAGTTTTAAAGCTTTAATAGAAAATTAACTTTGTTAGGCCAAAATTGTGACCGAATTTCAAAGTTTAATAAGTTTTTTCATTTAAACCTCCAAAAGTTAATTTAAGAGATTTTAAATAACAAATTAAGGGTTGTATGATCATATTAAATTTATCTCAAACTGTGACTTAATGATCGAATTAAATGTGAATATTCAAGGAATATACTATCTAAATGAATTACTTTCCTACAATCTATATATATAGCTAGATACATATATGCAAAGATAAACATATCTTAAAATTAAAGAAGTTTTAACTTTGCATAACAAAGATATATTAGTAGTAATAATCCTATAAGAGTCGATATTCCCATTTTGCGTTCAGAGCATATATATATAGAGGCATATATGTATATATATATATATATATATATATATATATATATATATATATATATATATATAGAAGTGCTGCTAAGAGTCACTTGCAGCCACAAATAAAGGAGAGACAGCAAGTGGCAGCATGAGCTGCTGGAGAATAACGGAAAGCGCCAAATGGCATAAAAGGAAGTTCATAAAGTTCATAAAGCAAATTACAAAAGTCTCATAAAAGCGCAACAAACGCAGAGCACAGGGTGGTTGGGGTAAGGAGTTTGAGGGTTGAAGTAGGGGTTGCTTCGTCGTATATGGACTGCTTGGCTGAAAACAATTTAACACCATTTTGCTTGAGCGGGGGTCAATCAATTTTTATTATAAAATACATTGAACTGATTTAAGAAAACAATAAATGGACGTCTACACAAATCAATGCGAATATCCTACAATAAAAAGAAGAAAAAGTTAATTCACGCAGTTATTCAGCAAATTGATGACTATAAATTCAATTTAATGTGCGTTGCCTTTTGCAGCAGCAGCCGCAGCAGCAGCAGCAGCAGTAGCAGTAGCAGCAGCAGCATCGGCAGCAGCAGCAGCAACAGCATCTTCGGCAGCAGAAGTGTGCACCGACTACGACAGTGCCGTCAACTCAGCAGCAGCAATATGTGGTCAACAGCTAATGGCTAACCCCCTCTGACAGCTAGGAAAAAACGCTCAAGAGCAACGCGTGGGAATTTTCTATTGCGTTTGCGCCGTCACATTGGAGGCTGTGCAAACAGCACCATTAACGTCGCGTCGGCAGCGCTGCCCGAGTGCGACAACAATAATTAGAGCGAGACTGCGGCGATAGCTGCTGCTGCTGCGGCTGCTGCTGCTTCTGTTATCAGACGCAATGCCAGAGTCAAAGACAAAACCTGCGCAGGCGCTGCACAGCGTACAGTTAACAGTTAACAGAGTCAACCCCAAGCACTTGGGTCAAACACGATATGGTCCAGCTCTGCTGCAGCAAACTGCGACTGCGACTGCGACTGTGGCAGCGACAGCGACAGAGACTTTGGCGTTTGGGCATAAAAAGCCCAGCGAATGCTGGATTGACTCCTACTCCATCTTTGCGCTTCTGCGACTAGAGTTCACTCACGTAGCCACGCAGTTGATGTAACCGAGTGCGTCGCCGCTCGAAAGTCGGCAACAGTCAAGTTCAACTTTTGTGCATTCAGTTCGTGTGCGCTCGTGGCCGGGTACGCAGTTCGTTTTGTATGCCGCTGTGCGAGCAAATCGATTTGATAGACATGAAAACAGACACACAGACCACAGCTAACGATGCCGGAGCCAAGTGGTTACGAAGCCCAGCAAGACGATGGCGAGCACGAAGACGAAAGCGCAGCGTCAGTGTGTCACAGTTGCAGCGAACGACTGGGGCCTTTCCACTCTCAGTGTGGTGCGGCGATGCGGTGACGCTACTAACTGGCCAGTCGTAACCACAACGGCAGCGACATCGGTGCCTGCATTTAACGTATTCGCGTGTTTTTCACAAAAAGCCACCAGCACGGAGAGATAGCATTGGCCTAAAAGCGTCACGAAATCATGAATTTCATTGGTATGAAAACAACAGTTAAATCAAAAAAAAAATCAAAAATTTAGAAGAGAACTTGGTGTTGTGAACACTTTAATTTCAATTTTAACTCTTTGCGCTCTCTCTCTCTCTCTCTCTATCTGTCTAACTCTTTCTCTCTGTGTGTTTCGCTCTTTATACTAATACAACTGTACTCTGCTAAATGTAAGTCACAAAAATTAATTTTGTTTTACATATTTACACTCAAACAATTTAAGTGCAAGCATGCAAGAAAAACAAGAAAACAGAAACGCGAAAACTAAGCAAAAATCAATTGATTTTATCCCCAACAACCCCATGTGCTTGCTAAACTTATTGATTTCTTGTCAGAGGAGAAAAAAGAAAAAGTTCAAGGTTGATACACTCACATTTGCCTGCTTCGATTCACTTTTATTATGCACTAAAGATGTTCGGCGAGCTGGCAACGCTGTTGCTGTACATAAAGTGCATCGCCGTGGCGACAGCCAAATGCCTCGCTGAATTCGGGAGTGTTACGCAAGAGCTTGTGCTGCAGCTGGCTCTTGTGCTCCTGCTGTCCTTCTCGGCACTCCATCAGCAGACTGCCAATGAAGTAAAGACGCTGCAGCGTCAGCTGCAGCTTACCTGCGGTCAGCAGCGCATTCACTCTGTTCACAGTGGCCTGCTGGCCCAGCCACTCTCTGTAGCTGCTGCCCGCCAAACGCTGAGCCAACATGTTTAGAAGCAGCTCGTGGGCATTTGTGTTGGTCGCCGTCTTGCTGCAATTCACAAACTGGATGAATTGTCGGTCTGAGTCGATGCTGCGCCAAGCGCCGGGTGTTCGGCTGCTGCTGCCAGCGGCCACCAGATGATTCGCAAAGCGTTCCGCTAGCAGCACATAACTCAGTGGAGCTGTCAGGTTCTGCGGTTGCTGTCTTGGCAACAGTTCATAAATTGTCTCGAAGCTTTGCGCATATTGGCGCAGTTGCAATGCGGCTAGCGTAGGCGGTGGCCGCTTATGCTGGAAGCGTCGCAGTTTCTCCATGTTCCTATAGAAGTTTCGACGACCAAGCTGTAGATCTTGGTAGGCAGCATCCAAATACTCATCTCCATTGAGCATTATATGCATCACTTGGCTCAGAAAACGCTTCGACGACTGTTCGGAAATCTCGTCTATCCACACACTGCCTACCAGCTGCTCCTTGTAGGCTCTGCCAATGCCCGCATACATCTGCGTCAGCTGCACGCGATCTGTGCTCAAGCGCTGCAGCAAATGCGCATAGACGTCGCCGGCATATATCTCCACCAACTGCTGGCAGTCGGCGGCGGAAATGTCTGCAACAAAAAGTTGGCGCAAATAAGTAAGATACATTCAAAACGCTAAAGCAACTGCCAACTAGGCTAATCCTCTTGTAGGAAGTAAATCAATCGTCCAGACAGATGAAAACATACATGAAATACGTGGTAATGTGTTAACATAGTACGTATGCCCAGCATTGTGTTATCAGATATTACGCATACACACCTATCAAATAATCAATCCAAATCCAATTGAGCAGTCGATGAATGCTCGTATTCTGCAGTAGCTGCATGTAGTCTACAAGGCGTGGCAACTGCTTCACAACAATAGCGTCCGTGGATTTTAACGTCTTGCCACCAAGCAGCTTCCGGAAATAGGCATCCCAATCGAGGCGAGCCATCGAAAAGTTGCCGAATGAGCTGCGCTTGAAATTTGCATAGCTGAACTGCACCTGATCGTCGATGCGCTCCGTCTTAATAATATCGCGGCGATTGCGTTCCAGGCTGAGGACCTCCAGCGAAGCGACATGGGCGCGACTCTGCTCGACGCCAAAGCTCTGGAGCAATTCACCCACACGTTGCTCGAATTTGCGTAACGTGTGGCGCCTGGTTACATCTGGCTGCAGTGTGACCAGCCGCTTATTCGACTGCATGCTGATGCGGGTCTCGAAGAAGTACGGGGTTCCCATTTCGTGGAACTGGCTAAGTAATCCCAACCAGCCGAGCCCGGTCTGATTATTGTTGCTGGATTCAAGAGCGGGCCAGCCACCGCTGCTCTTGTACAGCTGTGTGGACATGAGCGAGTCCAGGTTGCGACTGCTCTGGCAGGACTTGTAAAAGTTGAGCAGCTTTTGCTCCATGGCCAGCAGCTGGCCAGGATTGCTCGACCGCAGTAACTGCTGAAAACGCTGTTTTTCCTGTTGATGCCGTAATGTTTGGTTCGATATGCGTCCGCACACATATCCATAGAAATCCTGGCAAGGCGAATATGTAGTATTCAGGAGGTGCTCGAGCTCCTGGCCAAAGCGCAAAACATCCTGCTCCACAATTGATACGCTGTAACAACTTCCAACTAACCACAACACGAAGAACAATTGCACTAGCAGCTCAGCCATCTGTTTGTCACGAGCTATAAATTTCAAATGTTTTTTCTAGCTGTAAACTTGGTTCGCACTGTAACTGACCTTAGACGATGAGAGGTTAACTGGTTGAAAGGTCACACCGCTTGCAAATTACCGGAAATTGCCCCCAGTTCCACTTCCGCAAAAATTTTCTGTTTTTGTGGCACGTCGTGTCGTATTCAATGCTGCCGACCAACTAATCGTATTTTCTATAAGCCCCAGATAAGCCCCAAAACTCAGACCTCAAACTCAAACCCAGGTCTTTAGCCAGACTACACTCAGCGACTCAATTCAAAACACATTTAAATTCCAATTTTTTATAAAAATACATTTTTTATAAGATATTTTATAAAGTTGAAATTTGGGTTCTCAGCTCATATCCAGCTCATATACAAAGCTGAATCATTTACAATATGACGAAAATAAGTGTAATAACTATAAGCATTTAATATAATTCTTTTAATTAAAAAACGATTATTCCCAATTTAAGTAAATTTCAGTGTATAGCTAATCGCTCTGATTTTGTGTCAAAATGTCAAGCTAGAATTGGTCATGACCTATTTTGATTAAAATAGACAGAATACAGAGCAGCACTGAAAGTGTAGCCAACTAGTGTGTACTGTACAGTCAATATACGCTTAAGAATACATATAAAGTTAAGATTAGATTGCTGTGTGCTAATACCGATATTGATTGCATCTTTGTGCAGGCGCGGTAGGAGGCGATGGCGGAGATGATGGTGACGATAAGGAAAAGGCAGAGGAGGAGGAGAGGGAGCGTCAGGAGGCCATACGCGAGGCCGAGGAGCGGCGCAAGGAAAAACACCGCAAAATGGAAGAGGAGCGTGAGAAAATGAGACAGGACATACGCGATAAGGTAAGAAATATATATAAATATTTGTTAAATAAATAATGGTATATATAGAGCTAAGTAAGTTCATTCAAGTTAAGTGCGCTACGAAGTTCCTGCTGCAGTTCAAATTGACTCTAGTAGGGAGTCCTTTTTACGAGCGACTCCCTAACGGAGTCAGATTGAATTTCAAAGGACACGAACAACGAAGATGAGCAAGCATTAATATGGTAATGGTAAAGTGTCGAATAAGAAACCAAATAAGTGAATACAATTTACGTTACGTCACAGTAGTAGAAGTTGCAGGCTAAATTCTTGATCATAATCGAGCATATGTATATAAAAAAAACCTATCTTGCAGTACAATATCAAGAAAAAGGAAGAAATTGTGGAGGCTGCGCCACAGGAGGAGCCCAATCCGCTAATGCGGAAAAAAAAGACGCCCGAAGAGCTGGCCGCCGAGGCTGAGCAGGAGGAGCTCGACGACTTTACAAGTAAGTCAACGATTGTCCGAATCCATACCCCCTCAAAATACCGTTATGTATGTGTGTATTTAGTACTCGTACTCATATGTATCTAGTATATGTATATAGGAACTATCTACAACTGATCCTAAATCGAAGTTCGCTGTATGCTAAATGCGACTTTAAAACACCTTAAGTCGCGGTCAACAACTCTTTCTCTCTCTCTCTCTCTCTCTCTCTCAGTATATCGCCGTCTCTCTCTCTTTCGCTCTCTCTCTCTTTCGCTCTCTCTCTCTCTCTCTTTATGAGCACTTTCATTTGTGTACATTGCATATTTACATTTTTTATTTTTATGTGTATTCAACAATATTTTTTCAAACAGCTGTCAACAAAATTATAACAAAAACAAAAAAACATTATTCTAAACAACAAAAAGACACACTCGCAAGTAGTATTATATTGTGTGTGTATTTGTATCGTTATCTGTTCGAAACCTTATACGGAAGTGCCTATGAAACTGTCCAACTAAAGCTATCTATCTCTATCGACTGCTACTACGACTACTAATATTACTCCTATTTCTACTACTATATGTGTGTCTCTATCTGTATTCTATGTTTCCTGTGCGTAAGATCGTATCGTATATAAGCTAAAGTAAACTCTGCTCAACTAAACTTTAAATCTATCAAATAATCTATTTTTAAAGCAACGTTTGAAAGAATCTATCAAGTGTGCACCTCCATTCTCTCTCATTTAACTATAATTTTGACTGGTTTTTTATCAATTCGTTTATTGTTTTTCTTTTGGTTTCGACTTTTGATTGTTTTTAATGGTATTTAACTATGACAAATATGTGTTGTATTCGAAAAATGGGTTGAAATAATTAAATAATTGATGTTAGTTGGCAATCGAAAATTGTGTCATACTTGGGTTTAAATATATTAGACTAAGGTAAGTGCATAAAAATGTCATATTATCATTTCTGTGTGTTTTAAATAATTGCAAAAACTCTTGCATACTTAATTCATCCATTCCACCTGTCTCACTCTCTATCTCTCTCTCGCTCTATTTCTGTATATTGTTGTCTAAAACCATCAAACTGTACAATCCAATGACAACTTAGTGAGAATGTATACAATTTCCATTAGTATTTCCGTAACACAACATAACCAAATGAAAAATAATAACACAAAGGTCCAGAAAATGATAAAGGCTAAGAATATTTTTCATGTGGGGTCTTTTGTTTTTGAGGTTAGGTAGGTTATTCAATTAAACTTACATTATATTTCTCGTTTACAACAAAATTAATTCTTCTGTTTAACAACATAAAAAAATACTCACCAACTGCACTAACTAACTAATAAATATAACTTTGTATGATTTCCTTTCAAACGAATACTAAAACTAAAACTAAAAACGAAAAAACAACTATACTTCTATCTATGAAAACTAAACATGCATAACAACAAAAATATATATAAAGCTCGATGAAAACTTTATGCCAATTGTTTTTTATGCTAAACTAAAGTAATAAAAAAACCAATACAACAACAAAACAAAACTAACTAAACGTTCTTATAAACTTTTTCCCTCTTGCAATTGTTTACTCTCTTTCTCCTTTACGTCTTATGTAATATATGTACTATACATAGTTCAAATCTGTCTATGTAAAATATATATAATGCATATGCTGTCTATGTATGTGTATTTCTCCTACTTCACACACTCACACATTCACATATTTTAAGTATCGCTATCTCAAGCTTCACACACACACAGACACGACTCTTACTGTGACTATCTCTCACTCTCTGTCTGTCTACGTCTCTCTATCTGTTATCTGTTAATTACAAGAATACTTATCCTGCTATACGAAATATATTACAGATTTTTGTTATATTTAGTTTGGTACTTAAATTAAAATTTTGATTTGGCAAGCAAAAGAATAAAGTTTGATTTTCTGACTGTCGCCCAAACTCCTCTGCCTACACATGCTGCTTTGCATTTTGAGTAATGTATTTTTAGCAATAAATTGATCGAAAAAAAACATTTAACACTTAACAATTTTCATTTGGAACAATTAAATATATTTATATAGTTTTGGCTACCGTACAGTTAACAGTTGCACTCAATTACATAACTTTACGCAAACGTTGCGCTATGTTTATTAACATGAGCCTCTAATCAAAATACATATACATATACCAGTTGAACACACATATACCATTTGTAGTCTACTCTACAAAATATGCTTATTTATTGCTGTTTCCATACTCAATTTCTTTTTACAGAACTGAAAAATCAAATAGAAACGCAAGTAAATGAGCTAAAAACTCAAATAGAGGGAAAATGTGTCATGCAGTGATATGTCAGTCATCATAAAAGATATATATTAAAATAATAATACAAGAGTAACTCGAATAATAACTGAAAGAGTCAAAACGAAACATTTCTAAAATGCAATTGATTTCATACACTTGAATTTGTTGATATAAAGTTTAAAAATAATATAAATATTATGTTCCAAATACGTTCTGCATAATATTGAAATAATCTACTTATTTAACATATACATATATATATAAACACGAACTCACAAATCGGCAGCAATAATCAAGCAAAACTCTAAAACGCCGCAAAAAATGGATATATGTATATATACATATATCTAGAAATAAAAACATAAACAACAAATAATACAAATAGTATAATAGTAATAACAAAAATAAACAAATAATGAGGAAAACAATATACATGCATATGTATTGTGTGTATAAAAACCAGGACGGTGAAATCCTATTGAATTTTTAAAGTAGTTAAAACATAAACTAAATTATGTATAAATGAAATATATAGTAAACGCCTTTAATAATATATTCAAATCACTTTTGCTTCGATGATAATGTAATATACTCAATGCCCCAATGCTATTAAAAAGAAGAAAAATCAAAAAAAAAAAAATTAAGGAAACAAAAGACAAACAAAAATAATACATAATCGTTGTTTAGCGATAATGATACCAAAAACGTCATCTGTGACAGAATCGTTATCGTAACTAAAACATAACTGCGATTGGTGCGACAGAGACAGAGTCAGAAAACAGTTATAATGGAGAGGTTGCTGAATCATGTCGAACCGTCGAAATACGTTGCTGAAAAATCTTCTTTTGGACTTTAATGAAACTTAATGAAACATAAATACATACACATGCCTATAAACATATACACGAACCTCCAAGGAAACTGGATATGATAGCTTACATTTACACTTTCGAACTTTTTCTGTTATCGATATGTTATGTATTTACATATATGTGAATTGCGTAACAAATTCAAATCAAATTCCCAAATATGAATTAAAAAATCATCGCTGGTACTCGAAATGAAGGCAAAAATCTTGATGAGCAAAACCCACGAATTCACGATTGTTTTGTTTCTTTAAAATTCTCCTTTAACAGCTGTAACATTTTGTTTCTTTTCTGTACAAATAAAAAATACACACCACAAACTGACAACATTCTAAGCTATTTGAGATACTTATTGAACATACTGATTGAAGCTTCTGAAATGTAAGTAAAACCAACTCCTATACCTAAACTAAAAACTGAATTCTATATACATTAAACATTTTTACAAGACTTTCAGTTTCTTAATTACAAATCTATATATATTTATTAAGTTCCACAATTATCAAATAGGATATAATGTATGATAAAAGAAAAGAGATTGAAGATTAGATAAAACTTTATATTGTAGCCATTTAGCCCAGGACAATAGTCTGTAAGAAAACGCTAGGCAGTTCGAGAGCATAATGCTGTGATACATTTAGCATACATTTTCTCACGCCCTCCTTCACAACAAAAAAACCAAAACAAACAGATGCATGCTTTAAAGTGCAAATATAACCTTAAAATAATCACATACTTAATACGTAATACCAAAATACATTCAGACAATTCCAAGAATTAAAGACGGAACCATAAACTATATATATTCTATACATATATCTTTCTATTGTCTGCTCCGACTCTGTAATGCTTGGGTCTCAAGAGTAGGTACTCGCCTACATCCCATTCGATATCCACAAACATATATACTATAAATATATACATATACCATACCAGAATTGTATATAATACGATGTTTCACGTAAACCAAAAATACTCCGGTACAGAATGCTATGCATGAATGTACATAAGCCATGCACATATACGAGACTAGTATATATCGATTGTTTAATGATTGTATGTGAAATTATCGTATATCGTTGATCTATCGCTTATCGATAAGCTATCGAGTCAACACTCGTATGTATGCCTACAATCTATAACCATATATATATATATATATATATATATATATCTATTTATATATTTATATATATATATATATAAACATGTATGTATATATATCACACTTTCTGTACTTTACATGCCCTTTCCAAATGCGAGTCAAATTGAAATCCGTCTTTATATATGCCTGTAGTATGCCTTATAGAGATAATCTTCATATAAAAACCAGAAAAAATATCTGCTTGAACATGAGAAATATTTGGAAAGGACATTTCGACTTCGGGTCATCGAAGCTCGCATTCTTCTCACTTTTAATTTTTATAAATATGCAATTTACTTTATATATATATATATATATATATATATATATATATATATATATATATATATATATATATATATATATATATATATATATATATATATATATATATATATATATATATAAATATAAATACAAATGAATAAATGTTTTAATCACATTGCATTCTCTATATTTCTCTCTCTTTCTCTGGTGTCTCTCTTTTCTCTCTCTCTCTCTTCTCTCTCTTTTAATTTAAAACACTATTTTGAATCTTTAATCTGCGCCACTACTACTACTTTGCCTAAATATACAACAACAACAACCACACGAAACAACAACAATCTTCACCACAACATCAACAACGACTCGCTGGTCTCTTTTAGACATATGTACTCTCGGTGTTATAATATATGATATACCACTCATCATCTACAACAACAAAAACAGCACAAGACAACAACAAGTACAACAACATCTACAGAAGTAACCTTATAAGTACTATATATACTATAGTATATATACATATATATAGAAAGAAAAAAAAAAAAATATATATATATATATATATATATATATATATATATATATATATGAACAAATCATTTTAAAACAGAAACAATGAAAATCTATAGTTCACCATTATCTCTGAACGTTGTGAATATCTTGATCAACATTTTCCTTATCTTATATAGTTCGAACACACCCACACATACTCATTTATATTTACATGCATATATCGAATGAAATATACATATACGATGTTGTAAATGTTAAAAGTTATATGTACAGATTCAACAAAAACGAACAGACAAAAATACCAAAACAAATAAATGTACAATTTACACATACAGTCAAATAATACCACATAGTGAAGAAAGTGTTTTCAGTAATATATATATTATATGGAATGAACAAAAAACCAAAGACCCGAAACCGAGTTACAGCAGTTATTGAGTAACAAGAAAATTGTTGTGTGTTGTTCAACACTTCTTTCAGCATAAACAATATCCAATTATGTGTGTTTTTAACACTGTTTCTAGAAATTTTCTTGCTACATCACTGATCCTGTCAGTGTTAATTTTTGAGCACCGTTTAAATCCTTTGACTTTAAAAGCAACTTCTAAGACCTCTCTGTCAATCCACTCTCTGTCAATCCAAAGAAGCAATTCCCTAGTGCCCCTCGTTCAACTAAACGATTGAACGATTAAATTGCCTTAAAGTGGCTCCTAGATACTATCCGAAAAGTTATGAAATATCTTTAGCTTCATAACTCTACTCAGCAACTACTACAACTAGAAGCTAGCCGTTATACTTCCTAACTATTCTATCTTATATTTATATGTATGTATATATACATAAATATGCCCCATAAAAAATTTTACTAGTTTTACCGAACCCAAGTCTTATGCTCTTTCCAATTCTTAGCTCTTACAACTAAATGGAAAATGCTTTCAACATATAGCAACATGTTTAACTAGATTCTATTAAAGGAAATATATCTCTATTGCGTTCTTTCAAAATACATACATATATGATATTGAAGTTCACTTGAATTGATTACTAAACATTTAAAAAACCAAAAAAAAACACAAAATACAAAATATATACAAATCCAAAATAAAAGAAAAAACATTATATTCAATCATAACGAAAGATTTTAACGTAAATCATAAATCTTGCAAATGTTAAAAATGGTTCAGATGAATTTTGTTTAGTTTCACGTTTAATATTACATATAGTTATGATATAATATATATGTATATGTATATCGAAAAGTTTATAGCAACCAGATCATTATTAAAAATTATTAATTACATATACCCATTCATATATATATATATATATATATATATATATATATATATATATATATATATATATGGGTATTTGTTTAACTAAATAGGGAAATGAATTTAAAAAAACATCAAACAAAACCAAAAAACGAGAATAATGTTGAAAATTATACCATTCAAGTCATTATTAGATGTGAAAGCAGATCTATATACAAACAAAAGTTAAAAAAAAGTAAAAAAACATAAGAAAACGTTAATAGTTGATTAATTATATTGTTACTTTGAACATTTAAAAAAAAATAAAAATAAAAAAAAAAAACAAAATGAATAATAAAAACATGATATATATGTATAAATATATACTTATATGAGAAAAAACACAAATAATACAATGGGTTTTTTTGTATTTCTCTGGGCAAGTTATCTGTTCCTCTCCTTTTCTCTGTGTTTCCTTCTCTATCTCTCTCTCTCTCTCTCTCTCTCTCTCTCTCTACGTTTAGCATTCTTGATTTGGCATGACTGTTAGTCTAAATGTTTTTCCATCTACCATAAATTCCTTATTTGTGTGTCTGTTCGTGTCTATCTCTCTCACACACTCTGTCACTCTCTCTCTCTTTCCCAATCTATCCATTCTTTGCTCACTATGATTTCCTGTTCCTTTAATTGAAGAAGCGCAGGTGCTGCTGTCTAATGTCTATCTTAACCATTCTTAACGCTAAGTATACCTAATCTTTAAAAACGTTGTCTAATGGAATGTGCTGCGTTTTCTACTAAGTATTAAGCACATATTCGTATACCATGCATCTCTGCATCTGCATCTCTATATATCTGAGCTGACTCTCAGGTATATTATTTTAAGCCAAAGGTAAAAAGGTAAGTTATGTCTAGCTCTAAAATCTTCTTCAGGAATAACTGTAGCGTAAGTATCTTGTGTATCTCGTAGTTTCCGTTGAGTTCTTAAAAGTCATTTCATTAGTCTGCTCCACAGTCAGGTAGGTTATCCCCCAAATACATAGGATTCATATAAAAAACACACAACAGACGCAAAAAAACGTAAAAAGAGAAAAATGTTTCCCGTATAATAAATTGGTCTTGTGTGTTCAAGGCTGAACAAAAATCAAAACCTGTCAACAAAATGTAACTTTCATTTTATACGTTTTCTTCTTTTGTGTTGACACAAGTATTCTTTTGTTTTCGTTTTGTAGTCAACTTGAGTAACTTGTAACATGTGTCTTCAATAAAAACTGATTTCTTTTCGATTTTGTACTTTCAGCGAAATTAAGAAAACGTCTTAGCGACGCTTTCAAGAATTGCCC